AGGCAGAAGAAAAGCTTTCCAGGCAGCAAGGAACCACGAGCCCAAAAGCTCTCTGTAGAGGAACAGCGCTGCAAATGTGGGCTCTGACCGCTTGCTTGGTGTTTTGTAGACTGTGCTCAGAATGTTGATCTTTAACCTCACAGCGTAGGCACCCAAAGGAGGCTGACAGCGTGCTTCGCGTGGCAATGTGACATAGGAATCGTCTGTTTTGCTGGCCACTAAATTCCCCGTGTTCTGGACAGAGGGACAAATGACCTGCATTTCTGAAAGGATAAGGGGAGAGAGGAAGAGAAAGGAAAGAGAGGGAGGTGAAGAGGGGGTTGGTTCTCAGCAGCATTTTGGGATTTAGGCCTGACCCAAGTCTCTGGCTGCAGTGAGGGGCTGGGCAGGCTCGGGATGTAAGCAAGCTTCCTTCCCCTGCTCAAGCTGCATAGCAAAGCGTCACAGACCTAGGGGTTTAGGCAGCAGACGTTTATTTTCTTTCAGCTCTAGGGCTGAAGTCCAGGATCAGTGTCCATGAGGGTTGATGCGGAGGCACACTCCTCACTGTACCCTTATGTGGCATTTCCTCTAAACTCTCTTAGAAGGAAAACGGTATTTCTATTATTTCTTCTCTTTCTCCTGCCTCATACCTGTCCTGGTAGATTAGACTCCTTCCTTTATGACCTCATTTAACCTTAATTATCTCCTTAAAACCCCTGTCTCCAACTTCTCATAAAAACAGTATATGTTGCCAACAATTATATAAAAAAAAAGTTTAATGTCTTTAGCCATCGAGGAAGTACAAATCAAAACTACATTGAGATTCTTCTTACTCCAGTCAGAATGGCTATGATCAAGAACACAAACGCAGCAAATGCCAGCAAAGATGCAGGCTCTTCTACACCATGGATGGGAATGTGAATTAGGAAGCCACTATGGAAATCAGTATGGAGGGTCCCCAAAAAACTAAAACTACAGCTACCGTATGATCAAGCTATACCACTTCTTAAGAAATACCCACAAGAATTAAAGTCACCTTCCTATAGAAAGATCTGTGTACTGTTTATGACAGCACTGTGCACACTATAAGTTATGGAACCCACCTGTGTGCCCACAATAGATAAAGCAAATGTAGCACTTATACATAGTAGAGAACTATTCCGTCTAAAGAAGCAGAATCATATCATTTGTAGGAAAGTAAATGGAACTGGAGATCATCATGTTATGGTGAGTCATAGCATCCCCGAAAATTAAAATAAGCCAGTCTCAGAAAGACAAATATTGCATGTCTTCTTTCATACGTGGAATCCAGATGGAAAATAGAGGAGGACATAATAGGAAGTAAGTATGTCACAGTTAGTTATGCACATATGTGAAAAGGCCACAATGAAACCCATTATTCTATAATTAATTTTCACTAATAAATTTGCATTTGAAAATCCCAGTCTCAAATAACACAGGAATTTTGAGGAGATACATCTCAATCCATAATAGGGTGGGTGCAGAAAACCCAATGAAAAGGCTAGTCCGGTCTAGAACCGGATTGTTGATAGTTTAAACCAAGCATTGGCAAAAAGATGGGGGGATTTGAGCAGCAGAGTCTATCGGAACCCAGGCCAGGTTGCCTGAGGCCGGAGGGCAAAAGCATTATCAAGGGTAACTCCTAGGTTTCTACCATGAGTACGACGGAGTGAACTGGGTCCCGGGTCTTAACCTGCGGAATCTGTGATCATGAACCTCTCTGGAATCGGTCTTTGGAAATGTAATTAAATTGAGGATCCAGACATGAACATCCTAGATTATCCAGGTGGGTAATCCAGGACGAAAGGGGGCCCAGGTCTTACAGGATAGGAAAAAGAACAGCAATTTTGATTTAGAAATGTAGTTTGTGGTAGCTTTAATAAACTGTCAAGAAAGTGGACGGGCTGTGGCCAGCCTTACAATCAATACTGAACAATGGTTAGTTGTGACTCTATTTCCTTTCAGTATACTTCTATATTAGATGTGATTGCTCCTGACAAGAATATCTGACTTTCTGTAATCTTAGGACTGCAAACAGGTTTAAATTCTGCCCACGCCACAGCAAAGCTTAGATGTACTTTGTACATCTTGGTTTGAACATCAACATTTCCTGGTACAAAGTTCTGTTTGTACTTCTTCACCTCGGGCCAATATCAACTGTATCCCCACCCAGAAAGTTTTTATCACAACAGCCCAGTGGGAACCTCTTTCCCTTCTTCCTGCCTTTCTTTCCATCCAGAAGACTCCATTCGCAGCAAAAGTTCGCCATCTTGTGGGCACGCAGGGTTCCAACAGCTGGGCCCTGGATCAGAGAGCCCAGATCAGAGATGTCTATGGTCCAGCCTCTCCTGTCTTCCTAATTCCAAACACAGCTTCATCTGACTCTAGAAGTCAAGGGTCACACAGTATCCTGGTCTGTAAAATAGCACCGAGTATGCAAAATGGCATCAGAGCAGGTCCTGGACAATTACTGTCTCAGGCTTTGGAGAACTGAGACCTTTGGCTACTGCTAAGTCCCTGGGTCTCTGCAGTTCATGGAAAAGTGTGTTTAGAAAAATTCTTCCATCCCACAGAAGAGCTGCCTGCATAAACTATGTGAACTTGAAAAAGTCCGTTCCCATGCCCCCTTCTTTCCCTGTCCATGTATTTAAAAGCTGGTCTAAGGCAGCAGGGGGTGGAGGAGAGAGAGGTTAATCAGTTTTAACAAGTTGCAGTCAGATAGAAGTAAGAAACCCTAGTGTGCTATTCACACTGATGATGTACTGGACATCCCAAAAAGCTAGACAGGGATTTGAGTGTTTTTCAAAATAAAGAAGTGATAAATGTTTGAGGGGACAGCTATGTGTAACTTGATTACACAAACATCTGCAAGTATTGAAATATTACAGGGTACCCATTAATATGTGCAAGCTTTATGTTTACATGTACCAGTTACCTTGATTTCTCCATCCATAAAATGGGGATAATAATAGTATCTACCCAACATTATGAGTTAATACATACATACATGAGTTCATGCGTACAAAACACTTAGTATACTGCCTAGCCCAATAAATTTAGCACATGTTAATTACTACATCCTTCATCATTAAACTCAATATCCATAAAATACTTTTAAGTGCGTTCCCTCTCACACTGGGTACTGTTAACATCCAAGTATGTCAGGGACGGTGGAAGAGGAAGAGGAGTAAGTAACAGTTCTTACCTCCTGCAAATTGTGGCACAGTCAGGCATGAACAACATACACATGTGTGTGATAGAGTGAGGCAAAAACTAAAATGCTATAAAGCAATGAATGTGAAATACAAAGAAGACCAGGAGAAGAACATTCTCATGCCTAGAGGAGGAAATTAGAGAAATGTAATTAAAGCCTGGTAAACTATCAGCAAACGGACGTGATCTGGACAAAGGCAGCAGGGGACGGTCGAGCGTTTCTGTGATGAGTTTGCTGCCCCTCCAGCCTGTCCTTTGCCAAATAGGTTCAAAACCTTAAGTTTGCCCTCAGGCAGAGGATGAAGGTGTTTTATTACTATCATTCCTGCAGACATCCCTGGTGTGGTTATGTCCCCAGCGCTGGTCCCTTGAGCTTCTTTACTCTCAGGTGACTGGGACCCTCCTAGTCTTGACGAGCATCAGCTCCTTCCCAGCCCCAGTAAGTCCTCCTGGCTGAACTTGGCTTCTCCCCTGGGTTCTCTTGGGGCAGCTTGTACACCAGAGTCCAAGCACATCTGTCCTGGGCTCCCTGCTCACTGCTCCAGGCTCATGGTGCCATCAGGAAGAAGTCAAACTCCTCCCCTGTGCCTGCCCAGCATCCTCCTCCTCCATGCATGCCCCACTGCCCAGGCCTGGTGACCTTCAGGATCCAGGACTTCCTTCCTCCTGCTTTCACCCACTCATCCTCCGGAGCGTGGCCTGAGAGTCATCTCCTCAGGAAGTTTCTGGATGCCTGGGAAGAGGTCAGAGCCCCTGGTTGCACCACATTCCCATAGCACCTGTGATGGTTAATCTTCATGGTTGACTTGATTGGCTTGGAAGACACCTATGAGATTAGCAAAGCATAATCCCTGGTGTAGCATAGGGTCATAACCTGGGGACTCTGTGTGGTCTGTTCCCCTATTTTCTGCCTCCCGACTGCAATGATGGGAGCAACTTTCCCCTCCAACACCTTTCCATGATGATCACTCTGCTTTGGAGGCAGGTAACCATGGACTGAAACCTCTGAAGTCATGAGCCAATGTCAACATTTTCTCTTTCCAACTGTGTACATCAGGGATTTTTTTCCAGTGATTAAAAGGTTGCTATGACTTGCTTGCTATGACTGCTTACTGACTGGGGTAGTGTCTGGTCTGTTAAAGCCCGAGGTTCTCATCTTCCTGACCACATCTTCAGTATTAGCCTAGTGTCTGACACAAAGGACATCATGACTGCCTAACAGATGGATGAATGGCCCCATGAGTGTCTAACACCAGTAAAGAGCACAGGGTGGATACAGGTGAAGGGCACACTGAATTCTATTCTCTTTCCAGTGGCAAAAGGGGACATTTGAGGAATTATCTTTGAGCCAGGTGTCGTTCCTTGTCAATCGATCCAAGTGAGCTTTAGAGTTATTTCATACCATGAGCTGTGTTGGCTAACAGTAGATACCGAAGACTAGGTGGGCTTGAGAGAAGGGTATCAGGGCTTTCTGCGGTAAGGGGCATGTCTGAGTTCAGACACGTTAGAAGAGGTGCAGCCCAGAAGAGAACACACACACACATGTACACGCACACACATACACATGCATGCACATACACTCGCGCACGAGTTCTATTGCAAATCCTGGCCTCCCCTATCACTGCCCTGCATGAGACAAGCAGAGACTAGAGAGCACATGGCCTGGTCTTTACTGACTAGTGTGTTGAGCAGAGGGAAGCACATGGGACAGTTTGTGGCTCAGGGAGCAACGCTGACCCCTGACATCCATGTCCCCCCACTTTGTGAGTGTCATCAGGACTCACCATCGAGATGCCTCAATGGAAGAGGATCGATTCACTTGGTTTCACATTTCGCCACACCAGCCCCAGCTGCAGAGCTGCTGATCACACCTGGAAGGGCAGATGACATCAACTTAGGACACCTGGCTCGGTGAACAGTGCTGTGCAGAAAACAACATTCAAGGAGCTTGACCAGAAGCTGAACCCTCCAGCATTACAGCCAAAGGAGGGGCAGAGTGTGAACTTCCTCTCAGCCCTCATATAGCCCATGAGGCTCGCCTACCAAGGATGTCTAAGCGTCTACTCCCACACAGCAATGCATGCCCTCTGGTCTGTGCGAAAGACCTTGGCTGCATCTAGTTCTGGATTGTGGCTGAATGTCCCTTGCGCGCCCATCCCCCTCTGCTTCTCTGATGTATGCTGGTGAGATTGTCAGCCTCCCCCTCGCCCTGACCTCATGGCCTGGGGCGCCATCTGCATCCACCAAGCAGCCTGCCTGTCTGCTCCACCTCTCACTATTGGATTTATAATCCTAATGAGCATGCATCTCTTTTTCCAACTTCCTGGAAGAGAGATGACCACACGCTGCCCATCCACTGCTGGGTTCCGGCAGAGCAGCAGGTCCTCCCCTCCTCACACTGTGGCTGCAGGTACCTCCGTGATGCTACTGCCCTTTCTGCAGCAGAAAGCCAGTTTTGCCAGACAAGCCCTAACTCTCTTCAAAACCTCATCGACACTAGTCATGCAACACATTTTTCATTAACAAGGAAAATAAAAACAGTCCTGAAGCAGAGTTTGTTGAGATACTGGGTCCATGTAAATTTATTTCCCATTACTTCTCAGCTAAGCCTTCTCTTCTCTTCCTTATCTACCCAACGTCTGGACAAACCTATAGAAGAAAGATTTAGAGGAATTCAAGCATTGAATACCGACTTGAAAAGTCATCATCCTTTGTTGTGAATGACAAAAGTATACACATGGCTTGATGTAAATTAGGGACTTTTTCAACCTGCAAGAGTTGAAAGGCAGCTCCAGCTTCAGGCAAAGCTGGATCCAGAACACCCAGCAGCCAGGTGAACAGCTTTCTGAATCCTTTACTTCTTCCATATCTAGCTAGGAAAGGCTTTCTGAAACAGTTTCTCTTAACAGTCCCAGGACCACACTGTATCAGCTCAACACAGTCAGCAAAAACAGTTTCTCCCGTAGTCCACTTAGGGTTACCAGACTTAGCTAATATCTGGGACATAGTTATACTCTAAAGTTACTTATTCTTGAGTCGAAAGGCTAAGCATCCTATAATTTGACACGGGGGCAAGCTAGGGAGCCTTGAAAATTCCTGGAAGAGGAGGGGGCAGGCATGCATCACCAGTGGCAAATGCACACTTTCTAAGTCACTGGGACACAATACTTGGCACCCCAAACTTAAAGGAGGAAAGCCTTCTGTTGGCTCATATTTTCAATCCACAGTCCACCAGCTCCAAGGCAGAACAGCACAGCAGAGGGGCACAGAGCGGGGAACGCTGCTGATGTCACAGTGGTAGGAAGTAGAAAGCTAGAGGCTGAGTTGGGAGGTGCACCCACCCTCGTGGGTTATGCCCCAATGAAGGCCCTTTTCCAAGGAGATCCCACCTCCTGACAGCAACTCACCTATATTGCCCGCATGATTCGGCCACCATCCGAAGGCTCCACCTATGACCTCGTGGGGCCTTTGGAGAATGATCTCCATCTAAATCAGACAGACTTCCCCCTAATAATCAAGATGTTGACCCTAGAAATAAAGGAGACGACCCCTACCGAGACAAAACACATCTTCATCTCTTTCTTTGTAAGTTCTATAATCATTCCTTGCATTAATTTGCTAGGACTATCAGAACAGTGTTAGCAGTCAAACCACAACATTTTATTATCTCACAATCGGGCAGGCCAGTGTGGAGGGTCCCGGTGACTGCACGGCAGGTTTCCACGGAGGAGTCTTCCAGGTTGTTACTTGGTCTTTTGGGAGCACCTGTGTCTCAGTCCCCTCTTCAGCCAGGGACATCAGTCCATTGGAACAGGACCTACCTTCATGACCTCTGTTTGATGTCTTAGTCACTTCTTTAAGGTCTGTCACCTTTGAGTACAGTTCCTGCTTGGGGAACTAAGGCTGAGAGCTTCAGTGTGCGGATTTGGAGAGTGGGGACAGGACACCTAGTTCACCCTGTAAAGCTCCCCTCTATTCTTCTTCCGTAAGGATGAGCACTGAGGGAGGTGAGGCTTGTCCCCATCCCAGGGCTGGGCAGCCACAGGACTCAGTATGAAGACTTGTGCCAACCCCAAGCGAAGGTGGTCCCTGGAATCCTACCCCCACCCCTTGTCCCCAAACATCCCTTCCTAGACAGGACACAGCAAACCAGCCTGGGCCCCGCTCCTAGCGCAGCCCAGACACCCAGCCCGTGACAACATTTCTGAAATTGTTTCGGGAAAGGAATGAAACCAAGAAAGGGAACAAAAATCTCCCTAAATGGTTTAATGAGACTTAGCTAAAGGAGGACCAGATCACAAGCTCCTGTGATTTGAAGTGACAAAGGCTCTTTGGAAGACAAAAATGATTGAGGCTATGGATGTGCAAATGAGCCTACAAGAACCAATCAGAAGGGTGAATTACAAAACAGAAAAAGACCTAGACAAGGGAGTGGAGAGCAGGGAATATGTCAGTTTCTCTCCTTCATAAGAAATTCATGAGCAAGGCGTACAGGAAATTTTGTTGGTTTTGGTGGTGGGAGAGAATTGTAAATATGTATAATATGTAAATACTTTTTATAATAAAGGCCCATGAGCATAAGTGAGTGTCTGCAACAAAACTGTGAGCTGGATGGGATGTGAATATAAACCTCATCACTGTGCAAATTAGCATAACACTTACAAGGCTTTCCTAAGCTTGGGAAGGCAATGCATAAATTCCACCCAGAGAACATATCCGCGACCCCCACAGGGGTTGGGTCTAGGTGGACTCAACCAAGACAGTGCTGAGCTACATCCCCAGATCTAATGTTTCCTTTTGAAATAAAGTCTACATTGACCAGGCTGGCCTTTACCATTGCAGTCTTCCTGCCTCAGCCTCCCATGTAAAGTAACTGAAATTACAGGCAAAACATGTTTCTTTCCCTTTTCTTTGCACACCCCGACGAACACGGGCCCCTCCACGGAGCTCACACTGGGGTTAACTCAGGGGCTGCTAAATCTCCAGCTGCACAGGCTGGGCTTCAGTGTGTGAAACTCCTGCTCAGAGGGCTGAATTTACAGGCCTGCACCATCAAGACTTCCTTCCTCCCTTCCTTCCTTCCTTCCTCCCTCCCTCCCTCCCTCCCTTCCTTCCTTCCTTCCTTCCTCCCTTCCTCCCTTCCTCCCTTCCTTCCTTCCTTCCTTCCTTCCTTCCTTCCTTCCTTCCTTCCTTCCTTCCTATCTTTCTCCCCCTCCCCTCTGCTGTTTTTAAAGCAGCCTGGCCTTGGTGGGCTCAGCCTGTGAGCAGGCCCTGCAGGGACGCGGGGCCCAGCACCACCTCCCGGCCGCCCGCCCGGAGCCCTGCGCCCTGGGCGGGCAGGTCACTCCCTGCTCTGCGCAGCGCCCGGAGCGCACGCTGGCCGGGAGGGGGCGAGGGGAGCCGGCGGCCAGGCCATGGCGCCCGCGGCGGGGCGCGGGGTCCCCGGGCTGTGGCGGGCCTGCAGCGCGCTCATGGCCACCTTCTTCGCGCTGGCCGCCTGCGTGCAGGTCAGGGGCGCGGGGCGCGGGGTGCGGGGTGCAGGGCGCGGGGACCTGCGGGGGGACCGGCGGCGCCGTGTGCGGGGACCCGAGCTGAGGTCCGTCGGCGCTCAGCCGGCCTGCGCGCTGGGCCGCGGCTCGTCTGTATTTTGTGCCCTGGTGCCCTCTGCGGCCGCCCCTCACCAAGTGACTAACTGTGAGTTACAGGCAGGTGGGAAGGCGGGACCAGCATCTGCTAACGGCCGGTGTTCTGGCTTCCAGGTCAACGACCCCGACGCCGCGCTGTGGGTGGTGAGTGTGCCTGCTGCCGGAGCCTCCCTGGGCTCGTGCTGCTGTCCGGGCAGGAGCCGCAGCCCGCTGCTGGCTGCGGTTTGCCTCCCCCACTCTCTTATCAATCAGACTCTTTGCTCTTCTGTTCCTACGTTTTTCCTTTGGGGTGGGGGAGGGGTCAGTGCAGTGTGCGTGTGTGTGTGTGTGTGTGTGTGTGTGTGTGTGTGTGTAAAGTCTGAACTTTCCGGAGACACTGGGATTCCCCCAGCAGACACCCAGATATCCCAGCAAACCTATCACTTCATTGCAGCCGGTTTGACAGCAGCGTGAGGTTACAAGCACATCTATGATCCCAGCACTGCAGGAAGCTGAGGCAGCAGGATCTCAGATTCCAGCCCAACCTGGGCAACTCAGCAAGTTGGTGAAATCCTGTCTTACCATAATACTTAGTATGTACTAAGCGCCTCCAGTGTGCTAGCCCCTTTACATACATAATTGCTAACCTTTACAATAACCATGCAAAGGACTGCATGAGTTATATGCCAGTACTTGAATAACCACAGATTTTAGTGAGGCACAGGTCGGGGTGGGGGTGTCCTGAACACGATGTCCTCCTAGAGAAGACTGTATTCCCTCTAGGAGATGGCCTCATGGAGGAGGACACTGTACTTGTTGGCCTGGAGTTGACCTCTCCAAATCACCCAATGATCTCACAAGTTTCTAGTCAGAAACTCTACAGTGTTTGAGGGACAGGCTTAGATTCTGTGTTTCAGCTAATTCAGTGAGTTATTTTTATAGAAACTAAAGTCCATAAAATGTACCTTATTCATTTAGCCAGTGCTCTGAACAGAACCATTTGGGAAAAGGGGAGACCATCCCATACATTTCCGGAAACACCTGAACTATGCCCTGTCTTTCAATACAAATGTGTAACCTTACACAGTATCAACGAGCAGGTGACTTTATGGCTTTGGAGTACTATTGACCAGGTACAGATGAGCTATAAATGAAAATATAGGCGATATTATGTGAATGTCTAGTGCAGAGTGTGAGATATCCAGAACAGTACCGAATCTCTAAGGGACTGGTGTGTGTCCGCCTAAACACGGCAGTGTGCCTCCAGTACGCTAAGGTTCTCCCCAGCATCTGTCCCTCCCAAACCCACTCCTCTCCTGACTTAACCATTTGTGTTTTCAGCAGAATGTTCCCTCAGTCATCCTTGTTTAAACCCTCAGTCACCTTTAACATCTGTCTGTTCCCTACCACAGCCTTTGAGATCCCTCAAACAAAATAGAATTTTAAAAGTAAGCCAATGAGAAAGACCAGACTGAGCTACACAGGGAGAAGAGCCTGTCTCCCTCCACCCCGAGAAGCTATTTGGATCCACTTGTGTGTCTTTAGTTTACAGTACCCGCAGCTTACCCTTCACTTCCCGTCTGGTGACTCTGCAGGAAAGTAAGCCCCCACATCCTGACAGCCTCCCTCATCCCCAGTGCTGCCTCCCCCACCTCCTGTATGCACAGTCCCCATCCTTGGGTCAGCTTCTAATCTCTTGTGCTCCTAGGACCCCTCTTATGTGTCACTGTCTGCTGCAAAATCTTCTATCATTTCTCAAACTGTCTTAAGTTGCACATCCACTTGGATTTCAGGCCCTGCACACTATGGCCGCAGCCACCTCCCCAGCATGGTCTGCAAAACCAGCCCAGCATGATGGTCACTGCATCTTGGCCCTGAACTCCTGTATGTCGTGGCCTACGCGGCTTCACGGACCGTCTCCAAATACTGCCTCTTTGAACAAGCCAACTGGGCATCTTTCTCGTAGGTTCTGAGCCTTCTTCCTTTGAGCACTTACTGTAGCACCCGGGTGTTCAGCTTCATAAAAGCATTAGACTTAGCTCTGTACGCGCCCGCGCTCAGGAGGACAAAGTAAGGTATTCTATTTCATTGGGAGTCTCTAGGAATTTAATGTAGAGCTTCCACTATAGAAACTCTTCCTGTGTTGGCTCCCGTCATCCACCCCCAGTCCCAGGGATTGAACCCCGATCTTCACATATGCTAGGGAAGCTCTCTACTCCTCAGCTACATTCCCAGCCCTGTTATTTTCTTTTGAGACAGAGTCTCCATAAATTAACTAACCTGGCCTCAGACTTGCCATCCTCCTGCCACAGCCTCCCAGGTAGCTGAGATTATAGATGTGCACCACTTCAGCTGGCCCGTGTTGACTCTGAAAATGAATGGACACACAGATGAACAACGAGTACGTTCCTGTGCTTTGGGGACTGTCTCTGGGCCCAGCTCGTCCCCATGTTCCCTGCTTCTCTTTGCTCATGGGGGATATCGCTATCAGAATCTGTACAGACACGATTAGCACCAGTTAGAAAAATACAGAATCACTCACTAAGATGTCACTGGAATCATCAAGGGCCTGGACTTGCTCTTCTCCACTGTCTCATGTTTACACCACAGCTGCTGCAGCTCCAAACATCTCATCTCCAAGTAAGGAGAAGCAAAGCAGGAACACAATAAGTTTCTTTTTTGTGTCTTCATCCTTTTATTTAGGAGAACAATGTTTCCCAAAAAGCTATTCAGACAGGGCTGCAGTTCAGTGTGCCCCCCCAGTGTGGTACGTTGTGGGGTTCCATTCTGAGTGATCAGCACACGCCCACACCAGCTGTTAAATACTTTGTGCATTATCAGCCTTCTTCTGGAAGATCACTCCTGGAATCTTGTTGCTGGAACTGTGACTGTTCCCAGCTGTGAGAGCTGCTAGGAAAGTAGTTTTCCTGGTGGCAGGTAGACCAGAAAGTGTGGGATCAGGAAGGCTGCCACGGTACTCAGTGTATTGAGTATTCTGATGCTTAGTGTTTTTTAAACATCCAACAAAAATAAAAAAAGACCAGTGTGAGTTCTATTGAGTTCATGTTTGAGCACTTTTAATGTGCATTCTTTTAACTTGTGTACAAGAGGAAATTATTTTCAGTCTTCAATTTCTTTTCTCTCATTCAAGATATAGAGATGCGCTTATGTAAGAATATGTCAGGATTGTGCAGCAAAACTGTTACTTAGCTTAAAGGACTGTTTTTTTCCTGTGTTTGCAATGCACTGAAACACTGTTTTAATCTATTCATGACAGATGTGTGTTGCACTGATGCACATGTTAAAAATCTCTGCCTAACTTTTCTTGTGGAAAGCACAATTGAATATTGTAGGACGTGTGTGTTTATCTTTCATTCTTTCTTGGGCTCCTTTGGGATCTTTGTCTCTTGGTTTTCTCTCATTCATGTGTGCGTGCGTGCGTGTGTGTGTGTGTGTGTGTGTGTGTGTGACAGAGAGGGTCTGAGTCATGTAGTTTTGCGCAGGGTGGGGATGAGAAGCTAACCTCTCAGTGCTCCAAGTGTGGGAGCTTCCACAAGTCCTGGGAGCTTGTTAGAAAAGCCCTCTCCTCTCAGACCTTCCAAACTGGAAACTGAGTTTAAGATCCCAAGCACATTAAGTTTGAGAAGTACTGGGTTAACCCTGGGGAGCACCTCTGTCCACCTTTGGTAGATCACCTGGCTTGCAAACATCAGTACTGACTGATGTTCCAGTAATCATTAAGGCCAGAGAAAGAAAGATGAACAAAGGGGCTGTAATCCAAATGTGTTCTCTGCCCAACGGCAAGATATACATGACTTTAAAGTGAAAACAAATCACATAATATGATCAGCTCTCACAGCTTCCAAATAAAGTGAAGGATTCTGATATAAGCAATGCAGCGGTTAAGAACTACACTTCTTGGAAACTCTCCAGACTTCTTATAAACTTAGGCTCCCTACCTTCCCTCTGTCCACAACAGACTCATACACAGCACCAAGTTTTGCCAGAGATTGCTTGCTGTGAGAAGAGGACCATCGTAGGGCCAGTCTTCTAACTTCCTAGCCAGCCTAGCCGTTTCCTAGTGAAGAGCCTCATGTCAGTACGTGACACAACGTATCCGTTCGTGATGGTCTGGCTTGCAGAGATGTTCCATGAGGTCAAACCCAGCAAGATCACCAAGGTAGCTATGACTGCCTCTCGACCCCCTTTGCAAAGAACCTTTTAGTTTATGTGAGAGGGCTTGGCCGTGGCAGCATAGAAGTTATTTGGGAGAGACTAGGAAGTCAGCACCTAGACCAAAACTCTACGTGCTCGAGCATAAAGATGACTGAGTCTTTCCTGCAATAACCAACCATCTAGGAAGAAGGAGGTAGAATTACAGCCTGACACACTTATCAGGTTACACAGGAGCACAGATGGCCGCTTCCTAATAGTTCCTGAAACTTAGTGGTAAACCGTGGAACACGACAAGCACTGATCTCGTGTTTCTTCGCTTCCTGGATGGCTGTGAGCGTCTCGTGCAGTGGGCATCCTCCTCATGCATGTATTTCCTCTCTGTTTGCTGTCAGGTGGTGTACATGATACCTGCCGTGCTGACCCTGCTTGTTGGACTTAACCCTCTTGTCACGGGTATGAACCTCTGCACAGAGCTCCAGCCAATCAGATTTCCTTTATAAAGATGAGACTCTCCCTGCCAGACTCTGGAGAAAGACAGAACTCAGCATTCCTTCTCATTTCTGATAGTGAAAGGGCTCATTCGAACACAGCTCATCCTGACCCGTCTTATGAGAACTCCAGAAGGATTTGCGGTCCGTAGCCATTCTTCCTCAGCTTGGTCCCAAGACCTCTCAGCCTAATTTGGGAGGCTGGTTATGCAGGCGACGCGTGAGAGAAGGGTTTCAGTTGTACTGATTTCCTTAGTCACCAAACTCATGTAAAATCAGCAGCAATCCGGCTGCCCTTGTAATCACGTACAGGTAATACAGGTAATCAATGCCTGGTATATATTTATCAGCTACAACTCAGATCCACTGACTTTCTTTACATTAAGTCCCAGAGAATATCGATTCCCTGCCTCCTCCCTTCCTTTATAATGTTTTCTCTTTTCAGTACTGGAGATTGAACTCAGTGCTTTGACGTAGCTCCCTCCCCAAACCTTGCTTTGTTTTATTTTGTTTTATTTTATTATTTTTTGCTTTGAGATAGGATCTCAGTAACTCACCAAATTACCCAGGTGATACTTGAACTTGCAAACCTCCTGCCTCAGCCACTTGAGTGCTGGGATCACAGGTGGTGCCCTGTGCCCAGCTTAATTGTTTCTTCACTCTTTCAAAGTATCAAAAATGAATTATTATATGAAATATGAATGAATCATCAGTTTGTCATGAGCCACATGACAGTGGCTAAGGTAATAAATGCTTGGCTGACCTAAGGTCCGTTTCTCTGGCCTGCATGGACTAGCGGTGTGGGAAGTGAGGCTTCCCGAAGAAAATAAGCGTTATTGTCCTAGGAAAGGGAATGTGTCCACTTATGTTATAACTAGTGGTCTAATGTCTAATTGTCCCTTTAAAAGTATTTTTTTCTGAGTGTCTTTCTGGAAAGCAGATTAGGACAGAACAGGAACAGAGATGGCTCTTTTCCAAATGTGAGGGTCCATGGTTAACAGCATCGGGGTATCCGCTTTTAGGAAGCTGCATCTGGAAGACTGTTTCTGCAGCGCACGTCTTATTCTGCCTGCTGTGGGCTGCCGGCCTGGCCTGCTCCCTCCTGCTGCGTGCACAGCACAACATCTTACACGAGGAAGAAGGCAGGTGAGCAGGGACATTCGGTTTTGGGGTGGGCGTAGGGGTAGAACCGGGCAATCTTTCACCCCTTTCCAACCTCATCTTACCTGTTCATGGTGATGGTTTCATGCCCCTGACTGCTCCGTGCAGAAGGTTTCTCAGCTGAGGAAATGATGCACCCAGGACCAACCAGCCCCGTCTGTGCAGCTCCATGATCACTGCTCTCAGCAATCCTTATACCTGTCTCCCCTCTCACGGTCTCAGACTTTGGCCGCCTTGCAAGAGCACGTACAGTCATGCTCAGGTCCAGCCAGCAGGGTGAGATCTCTGTCAGAACTCGGATCCAGCGCTAAGTGGAACCCTCATCTACAAGAGCGATCGGCCGTCCGTGTCAGAGGCCAGTACTGGCCTCCTGCTGGCCTTGCCTTGGTGCGTCTCATGTCCTCTCCTCTCTGTCATGGCCAAATGTTCCTGTTCTATCACCTCTTCTTTTGTTTCCTGCCGCCCATGACTCGTGGCATTATTAAAAATTCCCTCTTTGTTACCTGTCTGCCGACACCGGCCAACTTCAGCCTCAGAGACCTGTAAGTCAGGGATCACGCGTGAGGTGCTGCTGTGTTACCCAGGGAAGGCTGGAGAAGCCGTCCAGCTGGGTCTGCAGGGAGGAATGCAGATCAGACGGGCTGAATTGCCTCCAGCTTGAAGGCCACGAGGTACAGTGAGCCCAAGAAGGGGCTCTGACGGGCACCATGGCTGAATAGATTCTCTTTATTCTGTGTAATGTGTGGGCTTGAGCACACATGGCTAGAAGGACACACTCACCCCGATGGTTGATCCACAATCAAAACCATTTCCCCTGTATTCTCCTCCACGCTCCTGAAGTATGTACTCCAGTAGTGCACTGATTTGAGCTCCTCCTAATTAAACCTCTGAAAATGTAAAAATAACAAATCAGGATTATTTTATTGGTTATGTTATTCTTCCCACTGACCTGAAATAAGTGATGTTGCCATCGCTTAAAAATTTGAAATATGTGCTGTTTTGCAGGGAGCTGTCTGGTCTGGTGATTATCATAGCATGGATGAGTCTGTGCCACAGTTCTTCAAAGTAAGTTTTCAACTCATCAGTTAAAATCAGATGGCCTGGGGCTGGAGATTTAGCTCAGTGGCATAAGCGCCTGCCTTGGAAGCAGGCAGTCGTGAGTTTGATCCCTGGTACTGATAAAAATGAAAAAGACAAAAAAAAAAAAATCAGATGGCTCTCGGTCAATCAAGTTAGACAGTAAATGAAATTTTCACACACAAATGAAAACAATAATCTTTTGGAAGGAATCTTTCCTTTTGTAAGGAAAGCAAGGGTGGTTGATTTAAATGTTCTTGACCTTGCATGCATTCTTGAGTAAGGCAGTTTCCTGTGAGGCCCAGTACTAACTGGTAGTTGTTAGTCTCAGGAGCATGCTTCAAAGTGGAGGAAAATCATCTTAGAAGGAAACTTAGAAATTCAGAAAGGAAGGGCAAGAAAAGATATATAGTTGGGCATTTACAAATAAACATTAACTTACAATACAAGAATAATGATGTTTGGTAGAGCTTAAAAATACAGAATAAAAATACACGACAATAGTAATACATAGATTGGAGTAGAAGTATTGTAGGAATCTTGGATTTTCTGAAGTGAGTTAAAGTACACATTTATGTTAGACTCTGATTCATTCTGTAGGTGTTAGGGGAACCTCTAAAGAGTAGAAATTGAATAGAGAAGGCAAGAAAAATGGGGAAAAGCACAGAGCAACTAGGACAAAGAGGAATCACATGTTAAGGTAGAGATTTAAACCCAGCTGTATCTGAAATTATGTTAAATGTAAATGTATCAAATAATAAAGAGTCAAAGATTTTCAGAGAGAAAGAAAGGTTGTAAAGTAGTTTGCATGAATTTTACATGAAGATTTTCAGGTCATAAAGTAATTTACATAAGTTTTCTTGTAATACATGCACAGTTACATTTTGACATTTAAATGTTTAGAATTGAGCTGAGCACAGGGTTCACTGGTACAGTTCTTGCTTGCTTAGCATGTTCAGGGCCCTGAGTGTGATCACCATTACCAAAACACACACACACTACGTGCACACACACACACACACACACACGCACGCACACACACACGCAATTTAGAATTACTGTGAAGAAATGAAGAAAGGGAGTCCAGCGTTACCTTTTTTTACATGGGTATCTGATTATCTCAGAACACTTATTAAAAAATGGATATAAGATACCAAAAAGAGATACTTTTTTTGACAATAGCTTATACCAAGAACATATAACAATTCTAAATTTTTATATACTGAAAAAGAGTTATAAAAGTTGACAGAATGAAAAGGAATTGAAAAATCCACAATTATTTTGGGAAACATTAACACACTTTTCTTAGTTACTAATAACAGCAAACAAAAAATCAATGAAAACACAGAAAATTTAAATATGCAATAAAAGGGGCTGGGGATTTAGCTCAGCAGCATAAGCGCCTGCCTTGCAAGTGTGCAGTCGTGAGTTCGATCCCTGGTACCCATAAAAAACGAAAAAGACAAAAATAAATAAATAAATACACAATAAAAACTTAACCTAACCCACTTTCTTTTCACATACACTGAATATTTACACATAGACGAGCTGGTTGGCCACTGAAATACAACCTGAACACATTTCAAAGGACTCCTAGAATATGCTCTTTGACCACAGTGCAGTTAAGCTAGAAATCATTAACAAAATGACAATCAATCAGTGTAAATTTAGAAGTTAGGAAATTACCTTTCAGGTAACTCTTGTGTCAAAAAACAAAATGAAACTGGAAATTTAAAAATATAAATGAATAAGGAGAACACTACATACCAAAATTTATGGGATATAGCTCAAAATGATTCTTAGAGGAAAATTTATAAATTTAAATACATAATCTTCTTTATAATTAAGTTTATTGGTGCAATTTAGATATGCATAATGATCACATTCATCATAAGGCATTTTAATCTTTACATGACATATCTTAGTTCCTCTTTTTTTCTGTTCCTCTCCCCTTTTTAACCCCTCTTCCCCAACTTATTTACAAAAGTTTGTTTCCATTTTATCCTTTTCTCTTAAATACATACATTTTAAAAGGAAGAAAAAGCAAGAAAAGATGAAAATTAATGAGCTAAACTTCAAATAGTTCAGAATTCTCTAATGCAAATTTGAAGAATATCAAATGAAACACAAAGTAGCAAGAAATTACATGTAAAAGCAGAAATCCATTAAAAGAAAAATCATCATAAATATAGAGAATTTAATCCACATACTTATCATTCCAAAACTGAGAGGGTAAGGCAGGGTTGCAACTTCAAACCCAACCTGGGCCATTGAGCAAGGCTTTAGCAAGACCTTGTCTCAAAATTTAAATTTTTAAAAAGGCTAGAGATGTAGTTCAGTGTGAAGGCCCCAGTCACAACCAAAAAGATTTTAAAAGATAAGGCCAAATACAGACTCTCCAAATGATCTACAGCAGTTACAAGCCGTGGTGAGACTAAGGAGGAGAAATAAATAAAAGAACAAGTACAAACAAAAAATATCAGGGAGGAGAAACCTTATGACATATCTAACATATTTTAAAAGTTATAGGATACAATGAAAAGCATTATGCCATTAAATTTGAATATTTAGATTAAATGGACAGATTTTTAAAAAAAATTTGATGAAGATTTACATAAGGAGAAATGTTCAGAGCAGTCACACACCAATTAAAGAAACTGAATCCATAATATAAATTTTTCCTAAAACAAACCTGCAGACCTAGGTAGCATAGCTAGAGAATTCTGACATTTAAGGAAAATATAATGCCAACCAACAAACACTTCTAGGAACTACAAAAAGGAGAAATACTGCCCACTTTTGAGGACAGAATGACCCTGATCACAAACTTGCCAAGAATATTACAAAATAAAGGGAAATTTTTACAGCAGTCCCACTCATGACCATAGATGGAAAACTCCTAAATGAAATATTAGCAAATTGAAACCTACAAAATATAACCCAACAATCAAGGTGATTTCATTCTAGGATACAATTAGTTTATCACTTAAAAAGCAGTATTTGCCAGTATGTTTGCGAAATAAGGTGAAAAAGTAAACGCTTCTTGAACTACAGACACATCCAAAAAGCTCACCATCTGCTCGAGATGACAGCTCTCAAAACACAGGTTTGAATACAGGTGTAGGTACCCAGTAAAGAGTATCTGTCATTAAGTGAAAAGTGTCTGTATCTATACGGAACCAAGTAAAACAACCCTGACCTCAAAATTTTCATAAAAAAACAATTCAAGGCAGTTTGTAGATCTAATAGAGGGAAAACAATAAAACGTTTAGAGAAGTTTGCGATATTTTCAAGAGCTTGAAGAGGAAAATGTTTCTTAAAAACCAAGAGAAGATCAATTTTAACACTGTCTAATGAATCAGGGTTCCTCATAAGAAATCATTTGAGTGTGGTAGGAAGCTTGCAACAGTCATAAATAGTAAGAATTGTATTAAGTAGATATAAAGAATTTCTATAAATCAGTGAGTTATATTATAATTTCAAGAACTGATGACAATGACAAGGGAACCTAGAGATGGAGGGAAGGAGGAATAGAGGGGAAAGGAACAGAAAAGAATTAAGACGTGGTATGCACCAACTCCCCATAATGAAAGTCATTACTGCATATTGCAAACAGGTACTAAATAACTTTAAAAAATTTTTTAAAGAATTGAGAACCAATATATTAAAGTATATTTGTGTTTACCAGTTAAATCTTTATCCTTTGTCCCCCATGCATCCCATAATTTTTATTAAATTTTTACTTTCAATTTTTTTGTATGTTTTTATAGGAATCCAGTTGTTGGAAGAGTTCAGCTTCTTCTTGCCATTGTAATATCTCTTTTCCCATTTATTTTATGGGTCTATGTGTATATAAACAAGGAGATGCGTTCTTCCTGGCCGACACACTGCAAGACAGTGATTTAAGTGAATCCAAGAAGGGTGTGCTCTAAAAATGAAAATATTCTATTCCCTATAAACTTTGGCATAACAGAAGAGTTTTCCAGTTTAAGGTAGTGTGAACAGACATAAGAGATTATCTACAAATAAGGAATCTATAAAAGCTCTTGAGAATTTTTTAAGACTGCATACAGTACATTGTAAGATTGTACAGAACAATAAGAATGGGGTCTGACATTCTCTGGCTGCCTTTCATGAAGGACATTGTGCTAAGTGTAGTCACAAGGTGCAAGAATGGAACTTAAGAAATCTGTCTTCTGTTGGGCACAATGACACATGCCTGATAGTTGTTTTCTTATCTGTAGAATGAAATACCAGATCCTCTACTTATTTATACAGCTGTTAAAATCCAAGTAGACATGAAATACTCTGAAAATATAAAGTACTGGAAATTACGAAGTGCTAAACATAACTAAAATTGAGAAACATTGAAAGAGAGGTAGGTCCCAGAGATGCCTATAGCCCTAAATTAATCTCATATACTGTTTTAGAGTCAGGAATTAAAGACTGTAGTTGAATGAAATCAACCATTGTGTCTTGGAATAAAAGATTATTGAAGGGGGGATGTTATGGTTTGTGTCTGGATGTCCCCCTGAAGCCTCATGCAATCATGAGGGCAGGCTTCTAGATTTTGTGCTTCATGGTCCAGTGCTGGGATTATGGGTGTGGGTGCCTCGTCCACCATAGGTGGGTGTGGCCTACGTACAATATATCGGACAGAAAGAGTCTTCTTTCCACTCCTCCCTTTTTGCTCCTGTGGCTTTTGTTGTCTTCTGCTGCCATCAACTGTTGCCCTCTGACATGTACCATTCTGCCTTGGAGCCAGCAGATTACAGAGTGAAACCTCCACAAACCGTGAGCTAAATAAACCTCTCCTCCTGTAACTTGGGGCATCAGGTATTTTATCTCAGCAATGAGAAAAGTAACTAAGAAGGGGGAAAGGACCTTAGGACCAATCAAGAAGGAAACAGAATATTAATTAAGAATAATTAATTTCATTATTCTGAAAAAGGCCAAAATATCCACATTTTTTTAAAAAAAAATGAATGTTGTAAGTGACCCTAGAATACAGAGCTTCTTTTTTTTTTTTTACATCTTTTTATCAGTACCGGGGATCAAACTCATGACCACCTGCTTGCAAGGCAGGTGCTTATGCCACTGAGCTAAATCCCCAGCCAAAATAGAGAGCATTTTTTTTTTTTAATTTTATTTAAGGAGAAAAGAAAAAAAAAGCAGGGAAAGGGTACAAGTTATACAGATAATAGAGAGCATTTTTAAAAAGCTGTTCTCTCCAATATGACAGCCAATGGCCACACGCTGTTATTGAGCATTTGCAATGTAGCTAGGGTGACTGGCAAAGTAAATTTGCAGTGTTTTTGATTTTTAAAATGATATTCAATTATCAGAAAATATTTAAGTGTGCCTGGAACAACTTGGGCATTTGAACCTACGTTTTCAACTGCAAATTTTGATATCTACATGCAGATCGTCTTTGCAACAATTTACTGTTCAAATGAGTGGGCTGTTAAGTATAAAATACACACCAGATTTTAAAGAAATTGTACAAAAAGAATGTAAAATATTTTATATTGATCTCATGTTGAAAAGATTTAAATATATATTGAATAAAATACTATTAAAACTATTTCATCTGTTTCTAGTTTTTTTTAAAGTAAGTACTAGAATATTGTTATTTATGTGATTCACACTGCATTTCTTTTTTTTATTTGTTTATTTTTATCTGAAAGAGAATAAAACACAACAGAACAAAGTCAAGCAAAACAAACCGGTGTGACACAGGACTTCAAAACACTAGGAAATCCACAGTGGTGACCATAATGCCTCCTGCTGTCTTCAAAATAGCTGCAGATACCTTCAGGCACAGTAAAAATCAAACAAAACAGAACAGATTAGAACCAATAAAAACAAAACAATGAATGCAATACAGGACTTCAAAACAAGATAATAGAAAACCCCAAATGGCTCCATAATATAGCTTGTTATCCTTGAAATACCTGCCCATGCCATTGGACACAATAAAATCAAACAAAACAATGAAAATGATACAGAACTTCACACCAAGACAATAGTGAGTCAGCAGTGGCCACCACCCCCAGAAGGAGATCCCCACAGATGCTATACTGAGTATTGCGGTCCTCTGAGTAGATGATCAGACCACTGACTTTAGACCTGCAAAGTCAGTGAAACACTCAGCACTGCAGCATTAAATTGTATTCCACCTCAGTAGCCATCATCACAGCCTGCGTTTCTCTGGATCACCTGGTCACTTTCGGCGGGGTCAGGGTGGGCGTGGGGTGCTGGTTCTTCCCTTCCCAGCCTGCACACCAGAAGGGGCTGGCATCGGGCTCTCTCCCCAGCAACCCACACATGGCAGCAATTCACAGGGAGGGCTTGCTGCTTGTGACTTCTTGTTCTCTCCCACACTGCATTTCAGTGAGATGTCTACACTGCAACTTTTTTTACACATGCTAGCCTCAAATTCAGAGACTGTTTTCATAAGGGTTAGGAAATACTTGAAAAGAAGTAGTAAGCCAGGATCCTAGCAGTCAGGGAGGCTGAGGAAAGAAATTTTGAGCCAAGTCTGTGACTTGGCAAGACTCTTTCTTAAAGTAAAACAATTTTAAGTGTGTAGCTATAGCTTGGTGTGAAGGCTGAGTTCAGTCCCCAGCACCTACATGTTAGGTGTGAAAATGACTTTGACAGTTTGTTGCTTTGTTTTTATACCATTTAATACAATAAGCATTCTGTAAGTGTTCCTTTAAAAAGGTAGGAATGTTTTTTGTTTTGCACACAGGGGCCACTGAAGTCAGATATGCTGTATTAAGGAAAAATAATCTTGTTGATATTACAGCAGTTATGGTATAACTGAAGAGTCAATAAAACACATGTACTTTCCATCTAGCTCATGTTATCTATGGCTTTATAGCTCCATTAGAATTAAGTAAAGTCGCAGATAAATAAATGAACTCACTGGCAAATTCTGTGTCAGCTCTACCCATTTTCCAAATCATACTTAACTCTCTGCTTAAATGACAGTAATGTTCAAGTAATGTATTCACAGTATTTGCTGTTCCCATATCGGGACTGTAAATTCTGTGAATAGTCACAGTACTTTTGCATATCGAGTTAAACATAAAAGCCACCTGTGGCAGAGCACCCTAAGAGTTTTTAGCAAGCCAATCATTTTCAACTGTTTTAGTATCCAACTTATTATTAGTAAACACTATTTCAATTCTCAGTATGCCTCCCCCCCGTTTTCTTCCCATTATCCCTCTCCTACGTTAGCCTCTGGCTGTCTACTGCGTGGCCTACACACCTCTGGTCATGAATTCCTCAGCTCCTCTTAGGTGAAATTCTTAGCTCACCATTTAAGGGCTCCACAGCATAGTCCTTCCCTATCTGCTGAAGCTTCATTTCTCACTGTACCCCAAGCACCTTCTGGTTGAATCCTCATAGTGTTACTTGCTGCTCCTAAATTCAGCAGATCCTGATTCCTCTGCTTGTTTTTCTGCTTGAAATGCTCTTTCCCACTTAAACCATTTGTCTTCTTTTTTCATGCCATCATTGATACTGCAAATAACTGAACCTCCACGTTCCAAGCCCTTTCTTCAAATGACAGCTAATTTCACACATCTGTTGTTTCTTTCATTATGATCTATGTTTATAGGAGCACATTACTAATTCATCTGTCATGGTTTAGGTGAGTGGCCCCCAGGCCTCATGCAATGGTGGACAGCCAAATCTGGCACTGTGATTGGTCCGTTGTCTAGACTTGGGTTGGTGTACCAGTGCTACACCCACCTAGGGGTGGAGCCAGCATAGGATGTAAGGGCAGGAAGGGGTATCTCTATTTGTCCAACTTGCACCTTGTTGTTTGTGGAGGCCATGAATGGCTGCCCCGCCATGCCATCTTGCCTTGGAGCCAACTGTGTATAGACTAAAATTTCCAACCTGTAAGAAATAAACCTTCCTTCCTAACTTTGGGTGCCATGTATTTGTTGCAAGGAGTAAAAAGTAACTAAGACATCATTTCTGCCCAGTTGATTGTGGGCCACGTACATACACAGGTTTTAATGCCTCAAAGCGGTATCACCTTATGTTACAAAATGGACCTTGCAGATGTGGTTAGGGATTTTGAGGTGCAGACATTACCAGACATTAACTTTTTAAGTCATCAACTACTTAAAAGTTTTTATTCACAAAATGGGAATGGAAGCCTATAAAGTCCAAGCCTGAGCAAAACCTGTCCAAAGCTCATTTACACACAAATGAACAGAAAAATCTTAACAGAACTTCATTTTTTATTATATTTTAAGTTATTCAGCTAACATGAATACATTCTCTTTATAAACCAACATTTTTTTAGGTAAACACAACTAAGATCCCTCATTAGCACTATATACTCCCACTGCAGACTCCTCCTTTGTTTTTTCTAACTCTCAGGAATGAATGTATCATTCGAAAGTGCAATTTTCAAGTATTTTATCAACAAACTCTGAAGCATGAACACATTTGGTTATCAAAGATGCACAACAATGAGGTTCAGGATATTTATTTTGTGATTTCCTTGTTGTGTGACTGGAACGAGCCCAGAGCAAAGTCTTCCTCTTTCTATACACAAGGTAAAGCAATCTCAGAGGAGTTCCTTCTTATAGTTCATAATTCTGTCTGGAACTCTGCCTCTTCCTTTCAACACCATTTTGTCAGAGTAGACATGAACTGTGCCAAAAGCCTGGCTGTCTGGAGCAGTTTCAATGACTCCTTCTAGGTCGACGTGGTGCACACCAGAAGGATCTTCAGAGTAGCCACCGTCATGTGTGTGACCGGCCAAGAAACACACCACACACTTGTGAGACCAAATGACTTCCAGGGCCTCTCTGTAATTCCAGGCCAGGCACACAGAGTCAGAGGCTTCTGGGTAAATGGGGATATGACCTGTTAAAAGAAGTCATGAGTCAGCGAAGAAATATCTTTCTTTCACGATAAATGGCTAAAAGCTAATACTAAACTGCATATTATTACTTAATCATGCAAATAGACAGGAGAACAGAGAAAACCCATATATAGTCTCAGACTGCACAAACACTGAAGATCACAGGCATCCTGTGCACGGGTCTGTAAAGTCTGCTAGAATTCAGGCAGGTGCCATGCTAGAACCCAATGCCATGGATTTCCTTATATATGTTATATATACAGACCGATGTGATACAAAATAAAGGAACACTTTAGGGACTAGCCATGGATTATATGTCATTCATACAAATAACAATACAGAGCTGATTAGTGAGACTTTACACATCCCCGTGCAGTCAACGCAGCCCTAAGCAATCTACAGATGAGAAAACTAATTCAAGCAGGAAAGGTCTGATTGGGCCCCACAGAAGACATGTGGAAGGAGATGCAGCAGAATCCTGAGCCAGCACAAGTGTGAGCCCAGGTATATATTAGGCCAGTTTCATTCTGATGTCCAGGCAACATAGGTCACTGACCTCTGCTTCCGACCAATTAATCACTTTTTTTGATCATTATTCATTTTTATTCTGAAATTTAAATATTCTCTTCATAAATATGTTATAATTCAAGTCAAAAGGAAAGAAGGAGCCCAGAGGCTACTAAAGCAGGGGTGGAATCCATGTACCTTGCCCGCCCATCTCTTGCACAGACAAGACACATTAGAAATTTCCCGCGGTAAGAGCTAATTGTGTAGAAGCTATACTGACCCACGTATCAAATGACACAGTTAGGAGTCCCCTTCTCCTGGAAGTACTCGACATCTAGGACGCTGCTGGTCTTCCTCCCGTTTCAGTGACCACTAATTTTCAAGCTCCTGTGCTGGTTTCTCCTGAGCTCCCCAGCATCTGGTCAGGAGTACTAGCCAAATGCCTGGTTCTCGGACTTCTCTATGTACACCGAGTGCCGTGTTGGGCGCTCCGGGATGTTCACATCTCTAACTCTAACAGGCATATGGAGCCCAGTGTGTCTCCCGCTGATGGACCCTCCTCTCTCCTTTTCTGCAGTGATTGTCACCTCAGCTAGGGGCTGTCTACCGTTCCAGCTGCAAACTGCACGGCAAAATTCAAAAGCTTCAAACTCCAAAAGTAGACATACTCAAACTTTACCTTTTAACTGTACTAAAGGAAGACCGTTGTTCAGGGTTTGCTTATCAGCTTCTAAACTTTCAGCCAATGGTGAAGACATGAAAGAGAGACTGCCGTAGACTGACGCGGTGCACACAGCAAGGGAGGCGCGGCCGGGCGCGCCCCTCACACCTATGACCCCAGCACTCAGCAGGCCGAGCGGGAGGACTGAGGCAGAGCCCAGCCTGGGCTACACAGCAAGACCCCATCTCAGGAAACCAAACAGAAAAGCAGATGTGAAGGGAACAGGCAGACGCGGAAGGGGCACGGACGCCAGTGTCAGTGCTGTCAGCCGACTGTAGGACTTTAGCTGTGGGGTTTAATCTCTTGGGCTTCAGGCTCTCTGCCTTCAAAAATTAAAAGATCTGTCTACATGATCTTGTTTCCAGCTCAAATACTCCAGCTCAAACTGGCAGTGGCAAATCAAAAAGCAGACACAAGGCAGGAAGCACCCCGTTTTCTAAGGGCACTACAGGCAGAGTCACATGGTGTCGTGACATCCCAGTGACCTGCGGGGACCTTACCTCTCCCAAGTTGTGATACCTGACAGTCAGATAGCAGCACAGAATCCCCTCCACCACTGTTTATCAGTGGACCATTAATATGCAAAACTACATTTATGAATAGGAATATAATTTTATATTAACTACATGAACTGCCCATCATTTATTTTCAAAGGGTTCCACAGTCATAGTTTTATTTGAGGCAATACTGAGAAAACTTCCGTCTGCATGTTCAGTATTTTTCCAGGGCTACACAGCTCATCTAACAAATGAGAGCCAGAGAGACATGCCGCCCTCTGCTCTCAGTCCAGGCTTCTCGACTACTGAAGTCATGATGCTTTCGAAACAAGGGCTGTAAGGTCAGTCCCAAACCAAGCCTAGCGGCCATACTGCAAATTCAGATTCAGTTCTGCATGTGTCGGTTCACACACACGCGTGTTTTAAGTCCTTCCAGGTTCCCAGATGGCATCTGTCAAAACCGTTCTGAACGGAAAGAATGTAAATCTAATTCCCGTGGGATCACGTGGTTGACACAGACAGAAAAAGTGCTCCCTGCCACCTGCGCCTGTCACACTCATCCCGTAAGGCTTGCACCTGGGCAGCAGTGGCCTGCTTGGTGGCCACCTCAGGGACAGGTTTGGAAGACTGACATTTGGAATGGAGCCTGTACTGAATTTCTCATTTAAAAATTGTTCCATAAATTGATCCCATTTAGGGAAATCATATCTTGAGATCAACAAGGGCAAACTCAGACTCAATATATGACAAGATGGCTTTTTTATTGTTTTATAATTCTCTCCTTGTTCTTTGTTTTGAGAGAGGGTCTCACTATGTAGCTCAGTTTGGAACTGGAACTCACTGTGTAGCCAGGCTGGGCCCGAACTCACGCCAATCCTTCCCCCTCAGCCTTCCAACTGCTGGGATGACAAGCGAGCACCACAACACCAGGCTCTCTCCTAACTCATTCTTAAATATTCATCTTGGATTCAGCTTCTCTTTCAATAAAAAATTTTAAAGCAAGTATTCATTTTCTAGAAAGCGGGTACCAAAACATATATATCATGAGTATGCTAACATTTCCCAATCTCTAAAAGACTACTGTAATCAGATAAACAATTTACATACTTACTCACGATCACCACCTTTTCTTGGTTTATGTCAGAGAACTTCAGAACATCATTCAACCAGTTCAGCTGGTCTTGGCTGAATCCTCCATTGAACTGCACAAACTGGGGCTCACACAGTCCTGAATGAATTCAGTAAATCACATGCATCAAACGTCACTCTTCCCCTCACGTGGGCGATCAAACAAGGATACTTGTTCTGTTCTTTAGGAAACTTGATTAGCAGCAATAAACTTTAGAGATTCATAAGAATTTTGATCAATATATAAATTACACTGTGTCTTATTTCTGGTCTTGGCATTCTTTTATTTTACTGGCTTTCCACTTCACTCAAAAGAAAATACAAACTCCTGGCTCTGTCCTTAGCCCCATGAGAGAGTCCAGGCCCTGTTCACTGTTCAAAATCAGCTCATAGCTCACTGGCCCTTTTCTGTCTTGTTTAATGATGTCACGGTCCTATTACACTCTGTGTCTGTGCATTTGTTTTTCCTCTTGTCTGCTAACCTCTTTCCCATTGTTCTTCCTAAGGACAATGCCTTCAGCTTTAATGATCTTCTCCTTGGAGAGGTTCTCTGATCAAATAATCTAAAGCTGCGTCCTGAATCCTCACCTGTAACATTACAATCTGTTTTCTGGGCAGCACTTACCACTGTAGAAATAACGTTTCTGTTTTGTATTGCTACGAGTTGGGCCTTAATGCCCCCAGTGGCCCGAGTGTTAAAGGCTTAGGCGCTTGCCCATGGAGGCACCAGGAGGTGGTGGACTCTTCTAGAGGGGCCTGGTGGGGACAGGTTAGGTCAGGAGGGGTGTGAACTTGAATGGGGTGTTTGGGCCCCGGCTCCCCTCCACACACTGCTTCCCGCCACCACAAGGCAGGCAGCTGCTCCCCGACACACTTCCTGCCACGATGCACTGCCTCGTCAAAGGTCCAAAGGTAACGGGGCCCAGGGAAGAAAGCTGACACCTCTGAAATCATGAGCCTAAATAACCTTTTTCTCCTCATAGCTTATCTCAGGTGCTTCATCATGATACAGTTAACACACTTATTAAATGTCCTGCTCACCTACTTCTTTGGTTCCCTCCATTCCATTCACAAGGAAAAGGAAAATGTGATATTTTAAGGTGACTGGCCCAGAATGAAACTTGAATCAATTACAACCAAACCATGTGATATCAGGCTTGTGTGAATCCTGACCCTGAATGACAGTGAAAAACATTTTTACCTGAATCATCCATTTTCCTGCTGAACAAAAGGTAGCTGAAGAATGTAAAGACAATGTATTAGATTCTCAGTTCAAAGACATAATTCACCTTGAGGACTATTCAATTCCGCGTTTGGATTGTGCTCCTTCAGAATCTTCAGACACTGCTGGTATCTTGGAGAAGACTGATCTATACCCAAGATACTCAAGTCATAAGCATCAAGTAAAATGAACCGGAATTCAGGGAAGGGGACAAAATGGTAAGCATAATAATTCTCTGAAGGGACGGTCTCGGGGTGATGCATAATCCGGTCTTCTAGAAACTTTGTGTTAAGTTTAGAGTTTGTGAGGTAGTCTCTGCTGAAGTTATAAAATTCATGGTTTCCCCACGTATGATGAACGGGGACTTGAAGCAGCTGAAACGCGTCCATAACGAGCTCTAGAGACTTCTCGGATGTCTTACACTGCGCATTGTAGCCGTCGATGACATCCCCAAGTTGGAGGACACAGCAGGGCACGATGCCTTCTTTGTTCCACTCTTCAATGGCACTCTGCAGGTGACGAAGGCTGTGTCTGTAGTACCGCCGTCTGTTTCTCTGGAAATTGTACCCATCTTCTAAGTCAGCATATTGAATATCAGCTATAACTCCGAAGGAGAAGAGCCATTCTGAACTGTCTCGTGGGGCCTCAGGATCGGGCTCTTCAGCCATAGCCTCCAAAGAGGTTGCTAAATAAAGACAGTAAAAAAGACAACCAAGTTTCAAACATCTGAATTTTCTAACTGGACTGAAGAAAACAGGAAAATTAATACTGAACTGAATAGTTAATTCTGTAGGACGCGTGATAGAAAAAGAGTTCATGAACTTTAAAACTCACTTGACAGCATAAGGTCTAAAACAGGAAGACTCGCAAACAGGCCAGTTTTCTCCAACTGTAAAGCAGATGATAAACTCTCCTTCAGGAAAGTAACAACTTACAAGGGTATTAACCTATGAGTGAACCGGCATTTTAATTCTAGCAAAGCCACATTTGAATCTGACATTGAAATGTATGCATTCATTTAAAAAATACGACACATATTCTTTTCCACAAACATCACATGATTCCGTTAAACATTCTAGGTTTTCGGAAACGTGCATATTACACTTATCCACTCATTGTACTTCATACAGAAGATTCTTGTTATGAGTCTAGACCTTTTCTGCTGATGGGGAGGGACACGTGAAATCAGTTTCTTACATCTGAAGTAATTGGAACAGATAGTGAAGATATGCATGGTGGGCGGACAACTGGTGGCCCACTTGTAACACCCAGCAGAACTGAACCAGTGTGGTGCTGGGTGCGGAGGGGCCACCTGAGGATTGCTGCTAACAGCTTCAAAGGAGAACTGGAGCGGAAGAGGCGGTGCCGTGGGATCTCCTGCAGAAGCTTCCCGTGCTGGCTCTCCTGATACGAACTCGACTGTTACCATCAGAGAAGCTCAGGGTCTCATTGCTGCTGAGGATGGCTGGGGTACTTTTTGGGGAGCTCTGCTCCTTTCTTTGAGCATCACTTCCTGGCTCCAGCGCAGGCCTCAGCCTGCTGGCACAGATCCTTCACTGTGCTGGCACAGACTTTCTAGCTTCTACCACTGCACAGGCCTTCCCAGTGCAGAACCGAGGAACAGACTTGCATGAGACATTGTCGTGGGCTCTAGGCTGCTGGCTGGACTGGTGAGGGGTCACTGCCACGGGCTCGAGGTCTCCAGCTGGATTCATGGGGACGTTGCTATGGGACCCAGGCCCTTAGCTGGATTCTTTGGGTCTCTAGTGCATGGACAGACTTCCTGTATGCTTTTGTACTTGACTCTTTGGGTGACTATTATAAAAATAATCCTATAAATTATGAGTCCTGTATTAAATGGTTTCTCTTGCAAACCCTGACTACAACAATATGAAAACAGAGGAATACTTTTAAACAAAAAAAAAAAAACCAGCACAAGAACTGCGATACCAAGGTACTGTCATTTCCATTATCAGTGGTTCCTGGTCTGTCCTTCAATAGTTAAGAATTTAATTAAACCAGTTTTGTTTTGTTTTGAAATCTTAATATTAACCTTCCCTGTTCTAAAACCAAATCAGAAACTATGAAATCTTTCCATCTTATCGTCTAACTTATAACTGCTAAGAGAACCAAGAACTACATATTAAGTAGTTCTGAAATCAAAGCAAAAGGTCCTAAATTATCAACAGATTTTGTTGTTTTGTTTCGTTTTTGCTATAAAGACTACAGTAATAAATCATGGTGGTGCCTGAATTTATTCAAAACCACTTGTTTCTAAAGGTTTGACTTTCTAAAATTCAAAATTCATTTGACTTTAGACCCCAGAGTCCAATCATTTGCCCGATGTATGCAAAGAGTTTCTATAGAATCCTCTACAGACCCGAAATACCAGTTGTAACAGCGTTCCGAACAGAGAGGGAGGAAGCAACTCCACAGTGAGAACAGGGATCAGACTGCAGGTGAACTCAACTTGAGAACTAAGGAGGTTCTCTTTGGTCTAAAAGTTTTGTTACTAATAATAAACTCCTTACATAGTCCACCCAATTAATAGTTTTAGCTTTCTATTCTTCCCTAATTTGGGTGTAACTAGCCCCAAAACAGGTGAAACAGCACCAGAAAAAGAAAACTCCAAAAAGTGGTTATTCCCATGCTATTTTTGAAATTTCTTCCTATAATGTCCATCTGAAAACCTCAGTAGATATCAAGTCAGTAGATACGAATGATGACATGACATCTTCATGAATGAGTCTGGTTCTCAAATTCTAAAATTTCTATAAATGAGTCTGGTTTGAGAAGAAGAGAGCTCAGACACAGGAAAAATACTTATTAACTATAAACCTCTACTCACAGTCTCAAACACCTATGCACTCAAGTACTGATTAGTAGGAACATCAATATTATTCCCAAGGCCTAAAAGAAACCATTTCTGGGGATGCTCTGATTCACTGCCAAATGAACATTTGTTAAAAATTTGTATTTAAACTCAGAACCTTGAAGGTGATAGTATGTGCTGTGGATCTTTCAGGGAGGATTCAGTCCCCACCAATGTGATCTTCTAGTCATTACACAGCTGTTATTTTTCCTAAGGAGCAATCATTTCCCACCTTTGGTAACAGCACCCCAACCTTCCTTTAGGCAGCTTCCGGCTGTCACTTCTTATCATTTGATTTCTGAGGAAATGAAGGGGCTGGGGAAAAACATGACCTAGGTTTGGCCTCGAAAAGCTCAGTTTCCTTCTCAGCAGTTAGGGAGAAGCTTAAGCTTAAAGCCAAGCAGAAAACCCAAAAGTACTGCTTTTGCTGACAACTAAAAGTTGCATTTCTGGGGCAAACTGAACTGAGCAGAAATCCAACATAAAAGGAATCAAAGTCGCATGACAGAAAGCAGCAGATTCCTGGAAATTGTCATTGAAAACTGCATGCAACTGCCCTCACTAGAATCACCCTTGTTATTTAGCGATTTCAGCAAATGAATTCCCCTTGGAGCTGAAACACAAATCAAGGTGGCTTTCTACCATTTAATGACAGAAGTTTGTCAAACACACCATCCACTGGAACAATGTGGTTTAGGGAAACTCATATTTTAGAATTTGGCGACTTTCTAAGAAAGTTACACAATGTGGAGCAAAATACCAAGGGGCCCACGCTTCAAAATGAGAATTGTTCTAGGGCCAAAAAGAGACCAAAGCATGGAGTCCTTACAGCTTTCAAAAGTAGGGTCAAAGACAGGGAGGTGACACACAGTTTTATTAAGTAAAGAAACGATTATGAAGAGACAGATGGAGTCTGCAGTAAAGCAGGGAGATGGAGAGGGGGGTCCACACGGCAAGGAAATGGTCCTCCTGCCACCTCAGGGTTGTATTTTATGGTTCAGGGAGACGCCAGGGAGCTCAGAAACGCTGGTACTGGTGGGGAGGTCAAAAACCTCAACATGACTTCCCATGGGAAACTAAGCACCAGTAGGCATGCTCTCGGCGTAGAACTTTCTCAAAGGAGTGCTCCCCTTTACCAAATCTGTAGAGAACAGACTCAGTGCACAGTTTTACCAGTGCTGAAGTTACGAGTCAACTAATAATGACAGAAACTGTGATGTGGATCAGTAAAGAAAGAAATCCAGAAAGTAAAGAAGTTTAGATGCATCTTTTAGAGGAGCAGGAGGAGGAGGAGGAGAAAGAGAAGGAGCGGGGGGGAGGGGCACGCTAGCACAGAGCCACTGTGGGATGTGATTTAAAATTCTGTGCCAAAGGGCTGGGGATTTAGCTCAGCGGCATAAGCGCCTGCCTTCCAAGCAGGCAGTCGTGAGTTTGATCCCTGGCGCTGATAAAAATCAATCAATCAATAAATAAATAAAACTAAAATTATGTGCCAAAAAGCACTATATGTGTCTACAAGTGACAGAGTTCAAGGCATTTATAAATTGTTATGGCAATAACATGCTCCAAAATCAACCACTGCTCAGTGCTGACTGCTCAGTGTTCATTCAGGACATGTGGGAGAACTTACTTCTGTGATCATGACAATTAAAAACAAGGCAATGGCACAACATTACAGTCAAAAGCTTTGAGGAAAAAAACAAAGTGGAAAATGACGTCAGCTTGAGAAGAAAAACAAACTGAACAGGTCACAGCTCTGATGGAGATCACACTGGCTCGGTAATAAAAAAGAGCAGCTTTTACAGATACTGCGAAGGTGAACCAGGATCTGCTAACGTTTCATTTGTCCGGAGTGTGGTATTTTTCTGAAACTTCTTTGTGTTTTAAGGGATTTCCTCCCCATCTAGGATACGGATTAGTACCTATTCTCACCTTCAGGGAGACTCCTGAGGGTGACCCCTGCCGTATCAGGGTATCTGGTCCAGGCACTAACAGTAGGGGATGGGAAAGTGGGTGAATCTATACATTGTTGTTAAAGAAGGACAGGAAAGGACTTCCGGGAGAACATGGCGGACAGATAACAGCAACTACCGGAGGCTCTCTGAAAGACTCGGCTCAGAAGCCAGGAATGGTGCGGACTAAGGAGACATAAGCAGGTGGAGATAAGCTCTGCTGACTCAGGAACGAACTGGGCTAAGAGAAACCAACTTGGAATGCAGTCCTGGCGCTAAAACAGGAACAGAAAAGCCTCAGTGTGGAGGCTGGACCCCGCGCCATTGTAAGCCGCGATTTGGGTTTCCCGCCGCGTGGCGGCTGGCTGCCTCTACAGTGGCTCGGCAAGGACAGAGACGCGCAGAAGCTCTGAGAACGGCAATCTGCGAACGGCAGGGAGGCGTGCACTGACTTGTGGTGAGGTGAGTGAGAGAAACTGACACTCTACCACAGTTTGACTCCAGCAGAGGACTTTCTGGGCCCGAGCAGTCCTGTGGGAGCAGGGCGCGGTGGCAACTCCAGCCACACATCCCCCTCTCAGGCGGGATTGGTGAAAAGTGCCTGGCCTGCGTGATGCTGCGGGTGGACTCGGTAGGCTGTCCCAACCCAGATCCCAGAGCCTGACAGTGGCCGGGAGGGGAGACGCGTAGGCTGCCTGGTCCGTAACTCCCTGGTGCGCAGCGGTGAGCGGAACACCTAACTGGCGCAATTCGATCAGGCTGTGGCTGACTGGGAGAGAAGCTGGGCCTCTTATATAAGCTTGCATATATAAGGAACAGAGAAGAAGAGGCAGCATGGGAAGAGGCAGCAACAAGAAAGGCTCCTCGGCCCCCAATTCTGAGAATCAGGCAATAGCAGACACCGCACCAATACACATAAGGCGCCATATAGAGAGCCTCATAGACCAATTCAGGAATGAAGTTATCAACGACCTGAAGCTAGAAGTATACAGAATAGTTAGAGAAATGATAAGTACCACCCAAGAAAAAACAGGTGGTGGAATGGAAGAACAGAAAAAAAGGGGAGAATTGTTTGATAGAGAAAACAGAGAAAGCGTAGAGTACGTGAAGCAGGTTCAAAGGGACTACCAAGATACTAAGAAGTCTATAGAAGACTGGCATAACAGCTTGAAAGAAACTAAGGACAGACTATCTGAACTGGAGGGCAGACTTGTAATATGGGAGAATGAAATGAAAAACTTCTTAAAAATAACAAAGAAACAGCAATAATACAAAGACAAGAAGATGATAAGAGGATCCATAACTTAAGGATTAAGAACATAAAAGAAGAAGTAGGGACACAAACAAGTGAACTACAAAAGCTACTCACAGAAATAATCCAGGAGAATTTTCCTAATTTAGCAAAAGGTAAAGATACTCAGATGTATGAGGCATACAGGACCCCAGCTACCTACAATCCAAACAGACCAACACCCAGGCATATAATAATAAAAATTCCAGAAATTCAATACAAGAACAGAATATTAAAAGCTGTCAGAGACAAGAAACAGACCACTTACAAGGGAACACCCATCAGAATTACATCAGATTTCTCTGCACAAACCATCAAATCACGAAGAGCGTGGGGGGAAATAATTCAAGCTTTGAAAGATAATAATCTCCAGCCAAGATTGAGATATCCTGCACAACTGTCCCTGGAAATTGATGGAAAAACAAGGTGCTTCCAGGATAAAGAGGAACTGGGGGAATTTGCAACCACCAATTCAACTCTACAGAGAGTATTGCAGGATATTCTAAAAAAAGAAAAATACAAAGAATCCAGAAATAATGGCAGAGAGGCCACAACGAATGGAGCAGAGAACAAAATGAAGAAGACAAACTGACAGCTACTGACAGAAAAAGAGCTCAACAGAAATGAGGTAGAGAAGATTGGATGATAGGAACAGCTATTTTGGAGAAAATGACATCTTAATAGGTAATACTGATTTAGTATCATCTTGTTTTGAAGTCTCATCTAGCTTTTGTCCTTCTGTCTCCAATGGTCTAAATAGGCTGTATCTTATTGGATTTTATTATGTACGATAGTATAAGCAAAAACCTTTTAAAGACAAGGAGATTATACAGAAACCATTGTTCATTTTCTGTTAGTGGATTCTAAATACTCTGTAATGCTGTCATTCTCTTGAATGGTTTTACATTGTTTTGATATACTTAATGCTACAGTATACGAAGTTGTACTCAAGGATTTCAAAGAAAGAGACAATATGGTAACTACTTTTAGGTTAGGATTATCTGGTAGTGAAACACTATTCTGCTTAAATGGTTATATTTTGATCTGCACTGTTTCGTTGTTATGCCCTCTTTTATCTCAATCTCCACTCCATTATTTACTTTTTTATCTTTATCCTTTTAATTAAAGGAAAAAAATAGCAGGATATATTATAGTAACCCACTTTAACTTTTCATTACCTTGATTTAAAGCCCTGTATTACTCTCACCATCTGGTTTTTAACTGATGTTCCCCTATTCTGTTTTGCTGGATAGTATCAGGTTCGAAAGTTTAGGCATCAGCTGTGAAGATAATGAGATTCATTATGACGCCCATTCTCATTGACTTTTATCTACTTTTGAAGACCTACAATGTCTCCAATGTTTTGGTTTTGTCAGTTTTATTCTTTACTGTTTTGTTCAATTGTATTATAACTAACGATATAGGCAATTCTATTAGAGATAGCGAGAGGCATTATGGTAACCATTGTTGATCACCTTGTATTATGTTTTTACATTATCTATTATGTCCACCCTTTTGACTTGACCGATTCTGTTCTGTTATGACACATTTGGTTTTACTCTCTTCCAAAAAAGTAATAAGAACCGTGGGAGCAATGAAACCCAAAATGTGTAATAGTCATGGTACAAAAGAGAGGAAAAGAAAGTGCTCCAAACTATATAATTGCATGTATATTTAAGTGTATAAGATAGAAAATGATATCACAGAGTTTTATTGGATCAATGAACAGAACTGTTTGCAGTATCATTGATGGAATGTCCACTTTACAAGCTTTAATTTTGTGACTTGAACAATTATTTCTAAGATGACAATATGTAATCCATTAACTAGTGATTTCCTACTGTTCATTTTTTTTTCTGTAAATCTGTATAACTTGTACCCTTTCCCTGCTTTTTTTTTTTCTTTTCTCCTTAAATAAAATAAAAAAAAAAAAAAAAAAAAAAAGAAGGACAGGAAAAAAAAAAAGACAAATTCACCTTTAGTGGGTAACAGTCCTGAATTAGGACCTGAAATTCCTGCCCCATTTCACAGTGAGCTGCTGAAGATTTCGAACTTGAAGAGCTAGAACCAAAGTATAGTCCCACTTTTCCCTGAAATAAAACCACCCCACACTAGGCTGCTTGCTGTGTGGTTCGGCTGAGTTATAAAGCAAAGCAACTTCTTTGTAATTCTCTCATTTATAAAGCACTGCATGCATTTAATAAAGTGATTTTTAAATTATATATCCAAAAAGTTATGTCTAATGAGTCTCAAGATAACAAAGTCCTGAGACTTCTTACTAGAACAGGGTAATGCAGAAAACCTTACAATATTTTCTCTCAAAACGGCTACAAGAAGTCATGAGGCAGGGAGAAGCAGCCAGCATTTTGTGAAAACCACCCAAGGCGAGAGTAGTTTTAAAAGTAATAAGAAGTAACCAGGGATGCTGAACGGAGAGTCACCTGCTACAAGGTGACCCCAGTAAAATCTCTACAATGCCTACAACTGGCAAATCTTAAATTCCTTCTAGAAGGGCCTTATGCATCTCAGTAAAAAGATTTCTCAGAAAGAGATAAACAAAGCTTTCATATATAGAGATCAATGAAAGAACAAAGCAGGACAGATGTCCTGAAACTCAATTGTGCAAACACCACAGTAACAAGAAAACTGAGACAGAAAATGTTTGTAGTTAGCTACGGAGGGCTGAGATTTGAATCTAGGATGAAACAAACACATTACAGTGCTAGGAAGTTTGGGCTTGGCAGTCCTAGCCAAATCAGTCTTAAAAATTATGTCAAGCACATGATAGTACCAGGTTCGAAAGTTTAGGCAACAACTGTGAAGATAGTGGGATTCATTATGACGTCCATTCTGGTTGACTATTATCTACTTTTGAAGACCTGTAATGTCTCCAATGTTTTGGTTTTGTTGGTTTTGTTCTTTACTGTTTTGTTCAATTTTATTGTAACTAATGATGTAGGCAATTCTATTAGAGATAGCGGGAGGCATTATGGTAACCATTGTTGATCACCTAGTATTATGCTTTTACATTATCTATTATGTCCACCCTTTTGATTTGACTGACTGTTCTGTTATGTCACATTTGGTTCTACTCTCTTCCAAAAAAGTAATAAGAACTGTGGGAGCAACAAAACCCAAAATGTGTAATTGTCATTGTACAAAAGAGAGGAAAAGAAAGTGCTCTAAACGATATAACTGCATGTATATTTAAGTGTGTAAGATAGATAATGATATTACTAAGTTTTGTTGGATCACTGAACAGAACTGTTTGTAGTCTCACTGTTGGAATGTCCATTTTATAAGCTTTAATTTTGTAACTTGAACAATTATTTCTAAGATGACAAAATGTAATCCATTAACTAGTGATTTACTACTGTTTATTTTTTTCTGTAAATCTGTATAACTTGTACCCTTTCTCTGTTTTTTTTTTCTTTTTCTCCTTAAATAAAATTAAAAAAAAAAAGGAATTATGTCAAGCACAAAATCTGATCAGGCTTGTAACTATTAAAACAAATATCAAGTAGTATTAGCTGTGCTCTGTCTCCCTGAAGAAATGTACCCAAAAAGAAAACAAGTGGTGTTCTTGCTGAGTCATGAGAGTAATAAAAGCAACACATTTACAGTAGATATTACACTTTTAGGTACCTTTTGCATGAGTCCATGAAATCAGCTTCAGAGATGTTAGCAATTTGCCCAATATTTAGTTACACTTAGACGTTAGTAGTTTATCTAATACTGTATGTTAATATGAAAATGCCATAACAATGCTTTGATAAATAAACTAAATATAAAGCTATTAATAGAATCACTTTGACAAAGAAAATGTAATAGTCCCGCTGAATGCATCACCAAACTCAATTTTAATTTATAGAATGCGTACTTGATCAGTTGACCTACAAATGAGCAATTAAAGAGGTCGACGATAACTTTAGATGTTCCTTTTTTCAATGAGCAATGTACTTTTGTGTCATTTTGTCAGTTATAGGAAAAACTCCTTGAACAAAAATACATAGAAATAAAAGAGGTAAAATCTTACCCATAGGCAACATCAAGATAGAAAAACTGATTTTGATTAACAATATGAAGTGGTAAATAAACATTTAAGACTTTTTCCAAGGTGAGCGCTCATGGTACTCATGAGGCTGAGTTAGGAGGATTTAAAGTTAGAGGGCACCCTGGGGAATTTGAAAAGACCCTGTCTCAAAATTTAAAGTGGCCTGAAGATGTAGCTTAATGTGAGTTCCTGGGACCAAACCCCAGTAGGGGGTGGGGGTTGACTGAACTAAATTTCAGAAAACTCCAGCTTACTGCAGAACCAAGAAACAAATATTAAATTGTATCACTTACTGTGTCAGTCAGCGGCACACTTACTCGGTTGGGCCAAATCCAGAGAGAGGGAGGTGGGGCGAGAGAGAAGAAAAAGCTCCAGTCCAATAATCACTGAACTAATAGTTCCTTTTGCTCTGAAGCCCCTTGGGGAGGGAAAAAAGCCACATGAGAGTGAAAAGTAATTAAGGAAGACAGATGGGGAATTTCCTCTGTGTGTACAAAGAAGACTGTAGATACCAAAAACATAAAGGTTTATGGAATGAATTCGAGTTAACATTTCCCGGAATGTAAAATGAATCTACAAACAAACTCTCTCAGCCTCATTATCATGTATATCCGAGTAACATGAACGGTTCCCAAAGAGGAAGCCACAACAAACGGTGATTCACTAAAGCGGTTAGGATCCAGCAGAGCATTTTAGGAACCTACCGCCGCAGGATACGAAGTTAAAGGGAAGGCCTGACGCAGTAAATACTTCGTAGGGCGCTGCGCTTTATAATCAGATGGCGATGGGTCCTGGTAGCTAGAAGTGCTGGGCACTTGACGTACCTTCCTTTCGGAGATCACTTTAACTTCTTAAATTATTATTATCATTTTTTAAAATTAAGAATTATCTGAAGAATCACCAGTCTACTTCTACTTTTGAGGATGCAGAGAGGTCAGCGACTTGTAATGGTACTTGGCCGAACCTAAACAGGGCAGCAGGAGCTCACCAGGAAAGATGGGGTGCAGGTGCTGCCCAGTCCAGCACCCGAGAGCCCTCAGCACTCAAGACCTCCAGGCCCCGGCCCGGTCGCGCAGCCTGGACCCCTCTGTGATTCCGCTGCCACCCTCTCCCGGTCCCCACTACTGGTCCTCCCCAGCCCGCACGGGACAGACCTTAGCGGAAAGGTGCTCTGTACCTACTTGGTCCAGCGCCGGCCCTTCTTGACACCCAGTTCGGTGACGCAACACCATCGAGAGGAGCAGAAAGAGCGGCTCCGCACGACTTCCGGAGAAAGCGGAAGTGTACCGGAAGTAGTGGGGCGGGGCAAAAGAGGCGCGGTCTTCAACGGCTGATGGCCTGTTTGGTGCCGGCTTCAGGTGGATAACTGCGGCATCTTCTTTGCGGACCCTGGCTTTGGATCCCGGCGGAGAAGACTACAAAGTTCTTATTGAGGCAGGGCTGTGCGTAGGAACCAATAGTTCAAAAGTAATTAAGGAAGTATTAAGGAAGGAAGAGTGCCAGGACGAGTTATGGCGGGTCTCGGGGAGCCGTGGCGCCTTCCTGGGAGGCCGACCCTTCAGCACAGGGTCGCCACAACCGTCGGGGTCATCAGGGCCGGAGCCTAAGGGTCACGGAGACCCCAGCGCCCCTCGAAACCCGGGGTGAGTGTACACGTGGGGTTTTTGCAGTGCTTCTTACAGCTGTCCCTTCCCAGTGGCCTTTCCATCCCTCTTGGTCCTGACCTCAGAGGCTGCTCGGCCTTGCCTCAAAGTGACCTCAACTCGGTCGGCCTACCTGGGTCATGGAATCTCATCCTCGTATCTCTGGTTTGGCGACGGCCCCACTTCTCGGGAGACAACTTCCCATAAGAAGCCTCTGTATGTGGCTAGATATTCGGGTTTGGATTTTAAGTTAACTCTTGTGCCAATAAAGTAGGTTTCAGCTTCTCTTAACGACCTCAACCTTAAGTTTACTATAATGGAAAAATCCGAGCACTTCTGAAATTGCTATCAGTTGAATTCCTCCTCCCAGTTTCCATAAATACTTTGAAATTGAAACAAAAGGAGAACCTTGTTTGCATACGGATATGCCATTTTCTTGTGATTGTCTCAGATTCTGGTTCTGACCCCAAAACAACTAAAAACCACTACTCTGTAGTGATGGGAAAAAAATAGGTTTTCAGAGCGAGGACAAGGTTAATGAGTGCGGCTGAGCTGACAGATAGCTTCCATATTTTGGGAATTCCAGAAGTAACTTGATGGCGCTTGTAAGAAGCCCCACGTTTAGAGCTCTTTTCTGCTTTGGTTAGTACTTGCAACAGCCAGAGTAAGGTTACCCTCTTCTATTCTATGTATTTATTCTCAGGATTAGCGCATACTGGTAACTGATTGATTGTGCAGTAGTGGGGCTTAAGCTGAGGGCCAAATCCCCAGCAAGCCCCACTTCTACCCCTTTTAAAGATTTTGAGACGGGGTCCTTTTAAATTGCCCAGTCCACCTGCCTCAGCCTCCCATGGTGCTGGGATTACAGGTATAAGCCACCATGGGGATCTTTTAATTAAATAAAAATACATAAATACAGGGTCTGGGGATTTAGCGCAGAGGCATAAGCGCCTGCCTTGGAAGCAGGCAGTTGTGAGTTCGATCCCTGGTACCAATAAAAACGAAAAAGACAAAAAAAAAAAAAAAAAAACCCATAAAACAAAAAACATAAATACATAAAATAAAAACATGGAGCAAGGACTGCATGCAGTAACCATCATGTTACTTGTGATTCTTTGTGTTGATCTTGCTCTGAACAAGAAATTATACTGTTTCCTTGTCTTGTATATATGCAGAATTCAAGTATATAAATCTTATCCTCAGAAATGTTCAGCATTTTCTCATTCCAGATTAATTTGAAACCTGCACATTGAACAAAATCATGACCTGTGTATGTATATTGCAAACCATAATAAATTTGGCATGCTTAAATGTTTTCGTCTTACTAGTATTTTTATTTTTGAAATCTCTGCCCCAGTAGCCTGTTCCCTGGAAGTCTTTAGCAATCACATTTGCTATTGGAGGGGCTTTACTGGCTGGGATGAAGTACTTCAAGATGGAAAAGATAGAAAGTAAGTAGACGTCCTCTACTCAGGTCTGAATGAAATCTTTCCTGGCCATGTGCTAGCACCACTTTTTTTTATTTTAATAGTTTTTCAGCTTTAGAAACAGTTTTCTATTTACAGAAAAATTGCAAAAACTTTCATAGTTTAACTATCTCCCTGATTTCCATAATGTTGACAACTTGTATAACCATGGCACATTGATCAAAACTACGGAAGTTGGTAGAGAACTGTACCAAACGAAACTCAAGAGTTTCTGAGAATTGCTTGTATGGTTTCATCAGTGTATTTTGCTTCTCCAGGATTCAATCCACGGTACCGTTAATGCTATTGAAAGATGCATCGTGGGTAGATTTTAATGTGGACAGCTTGAAGTCTAAAGGCTGAGATGCTGTGCCACACTTGAGATGCATGTGATAGAAAAACAGAGTCAGAATTAAAAAGTTTTACTAGATGAGGTTCTGTGAGGCCCGAAACTCTGGTGGTTGAGAAGGAAGGCCCAGTCTTCACACTGACAAAGCTTCTTTGGGGTCAGACATGAAGAACAACATGAGTAGATCCTACAGAGCAATTGATATCTGCATAGGAGAAGGCCAGAAGCTGACCATGGTTGAAAAGAGCCTGTTATTGCTGTAATGTCGAATCTTGAAAGGTCCAGAAGGGAAAAAAAGAACAAATGCAGTATGTTAGTGTTTATTCCAGGACTTCTAAGATAGAGAGGTTCAGGTAAATCTTTCAAATATCGCTTAAATGTCATTCGATTATGTAAAGTCTTATTTGATGTCATTGTGTTCAGAGGATAATATTCAGATCTGGGAGTGATAGTTCATAGGCTTTAACATTTTAGCCAAATAGACTGTACTGCTGTTGGTATAACAAGGTAACATTTTTATATAAGAAGCAGTATTTTATTAATATGATTGTCATATTTTAATTGGCAAGTTCCTTTAGTTTCATGCACAGACAAAAGATTTAGACACTAGAAAAATAGCAGCAGAAACAGTTTCAAATACCCAAGCTTCTTTTGACTTCAGTTTGGAATTTTACCCACAATAATACTTATTTTATTATGAAATTTTACTGTGAAGACAATCGTCAAAGTGTTTCTTAATTGTTTGAGAGTATTTGGTAACATGATGCCTCACCTCTCAGCTACACAGTGGAGCGTGGTATATTTTCTACAAACAAGGCCAATTTCCAGTGTAATCACAATATAACCTAGAGAATTAACAGATTAACTTGAGTCTTACATTTAATCTCAAGTCTAATCTGTCTGTTTTGCTACTTTATATTTTTGTCTTCATTTTTGGTTCTTTGAGTCCAAGTCTTGCTAAATGCAGATCAGGCTGGCCTGGAACTCCCAGCACTCCTCCTGCTTCAGTGTCCTGAGTGCTGCGATTGCAGGCGTGGACCGTCACACCTGGCCTTCTGTACATCTTTTATAGTAGAACGACACCTTATCCCTGGTTGTTTCTCTAGTCTCCATTAATTATAATGTTTCCCAGACTTTACCTGACTTTTGTGACCTGACGGCTTAAAAGATTATAAACTGGTTATTTTTTAGAATACCTTGGTTTTGTCTGATGTTTCCTCCTAATTGAAGTCATGCTTCTTTGGCAGAAACACTGATTTATTCATTTATGTCATTAAAAACGCATGGATTCCTATATATATAATGTCTGTGACCCTCTGTTCTCTTTATTTTGATCCTCAGAGCGGCCCAGGTTAGCTGGTGGGAGCCTGTGCAGGCTGTCAGGCGTTTTCCCTTTTGACACGTCTCCTGTTCTCTGAGTTCTCCCTCTTGCCGCAGGAGGGTCCGGGCTCATCTGTCCTTGTTTGCTTCAGTCCCGCTGTCAGCCGTTTCTCCGGAAGCATTACTTCCTTTTAGTTGGCGAGTCTATATACTGTATTGAAATTGAAATCAGAAACTCAGATTAGTCCTTTGATTCCTTTCCATTGCCACAAGGCTCCTTGTAGTTCCTCCCTGTCCACAGCGCTGACTCCTTTTCTGTTTGGAATCCTCTTTCCTCTTATCTGTGAGCTATTTTACTTTTTTAAAATCAGTCTCCTGTATGTAAATGAGGTCTCATCCCCACTGCTCACTCAGGCCCACGCTCCCCCTGCCAGCCCCCCACTTTCACCCAACTTCAGACATCTGTCCTAGGTCCCTGTGTCGCCTGCCCCACTCTCAGCAGAGCCACACCCATGACTTAGCACTGAATGGTTCTGGACAAGGAAGAAGCATTTTAAGTGCTTTCTTAGACTTAGCACTGAATGGTTCTGTACAAGGAAGAAGCATTTTAAGTGCTTTCTTATGGGACTTACTACCTACCATAGAACTTAATTTGGATTGGTTTTATTATTTTATTTTTCTGGAAAGATGTCGTGAAAGCTGAAACTATGTCTCCCACAGTTTGTGCCCTTCCCACACACGGTTACTAGAATAGCACTGATGGTATGTTGATATACGTGTGGTTCCAATAACGTTTTTGGTCTCTCTTTAAGAGCTGGAGAAGGAACGGCATCGAAGCATTGGGAAGCCTCTACTTGGCGGACCGTTTTCCCTAATAACCCATGTTGGAGAGCCCAAAACTAACAAGGACTACGTGGGCCAGTGGGTGTTGATTTATTTTGGTTTCACCCATTGCCCTGATATCTGTCCAGAAGAACTGGAAAAAATGATTCAAGTTGTGGACGAAATCGGTAAGAAAGCCATTAGTGACTCTCCACTGTTTATTTTTACTTAACGTCACTACATTTTCACCAATTATTTGGTCTGTAAAAGTACAAAATCTCAGCACTCACCTGTGATCGTGTTGCTTTGATGGTGTGACCTAACTCACCACCACAGTAGGTTATTTGATGCTGAATGTTAGATTGCTTGAAAAATGTCAGCATGCCCAGGATCTTCCTAACATTTCCTTTTGTGTTCCTTTCTTGTTACAATCTGCCCATTGCCCTTTCTTCCAGTGGTAATTAGAGTAGGAAATCTACATGATATATAGTCAGTGATACAGTGTTTTATTAGCGCCAATTTAAACGATCTTAAATTGTTTCAGAACATTCAGACCTTTTAAATGATTTACCTTATCCTTGAGTTATGGCAGGGAATAAACTAGAGATATTGGATTAGATTGGATTAGAGAATATAGCCAGGATAACATGTACATTCCAATGTAGATGTTTGCAGGGTTAGATACCCGCTTCTTTCCCTTTCTGTCCTTCACTGAAATGTTAGCTCTCCCTGTGTTTCCTTAACTCTGCAGTGTAGCAGTTAATATCCTTTCCTGCCACGGCTGATTTTCTCTTTTCCCTTACAGTATGAATACTAATTGGAACTTTCTTTCAGATAGTATTCCAAGTCTCCCAAATTTAACTCCACTTTTCATCACTATCGATCCGGAAAGGGACACAAAAGAAGCCATTGCAAATTATGTGAAAGGTATATTTTATATCTTTACGTACTTTACATCTGTTGACTTCTTGCAGCTTTTGAAGTATGAACTCATTTCATCCTTACAATGCCTCATGAAATATGCAGGACGGAGGGACTGATGTAACAGGCAGATCGGTGTGCAGAGTCCTGGCTGTGGCTGATGAGCACAGAAATGAGGAAATAGTCTCTCAATTCCTTGTGCAGCACTCTTACTTTATCACAGAGGAGGGATTTAGATTGAACTTCATGGCAACTGATAGAGCCTTGAGTTAGGAGTAAGGACCTATTGCTTCCTAATTCCAGTTCGGTACTGCATTCTCGTTTGGTAAAATTAGGAGAAACACACATTTTGAGAAGTGGGAGATTGAAGATGAATTACTAGATGCATTTTGCACTCATGACATGTTTTGTAAATCTTAATCATATAGTGTGACAGAGATACCTTCATAATGTTTCACGTATAAATTTTAATTCAGATTATCTCTACAGGCAGATTAAAATCCAGATGACTTTACAGACTTTGAACAGTAGTAGAGTTGAGGACGAATGCTCAGGTTCTAGTTCATCTGTGAGGATAGGCAAATTTACTTTTCATAAACTCAAGCCTCTTCATTGTAGGTGCTTAAAAATCAGCAATTTGAATTTAAGTTGTGTGTGTGTGTGTGTTTTTTTTTTGGTCTTTTTTTCTTTTTATCGGTACCAGGGATCGAACTCACGACTGCCTGCTTGCAAGGCAGGCGCTTATGCCGCTGAGTTAAACCCCCAGCCCAAATTTAAATTGTTTTGAAATTGACTTGGTTACTGATCAGAAGCACTAATGACACATACAAATGCATATTCTGTAGAATTTTGAGATTATTTTAAAATTTGTTTTAAGGGCCTGCTATGTATTTTTTTATTTTTAACAGATTTATTGAGGTATAATTGCCATACAATGAAACATACACATTTCCTGGGTGTGGCAGTGCATACTTGTAATCCCCGCACTCAGGAGGCTGAGGATAGAGGATCCTTGTGAGTTTGAGGCTACAAAGTGAGATCAAGATCAGCCCGAAGTGCATAGTGAGACCCTGTCTCAAAAAGACCCCCCCCAAAAAAAAGAAGTAAATATGTACAGTTTGTTACCTTGCAGTGTGAGTACCCCTGAAACCATCACCAGAGTCATGAAAATCAGCATGTATGACCAGGATTGTAGCTCAGCAGTGAAGCGCTTTTCTAGCAAAGTTGAGGCCCTGCCTGGGTTCAGTTCCGAGTACTAAAAGGTTGCCGGGGAGGAGAGGAGAGGGAAGAGAGAAGGGAAAGTAGGAGGAGAAAGGGGAGAGGAGAGGAGGGAGGGGACAAAAGGAGAGGAGGAAGTAGGAGACAGGGTCTCACCAGGTGATTCAGGCTAGCCGCAAAGCAAACTCCGGACCCTCAGCCTCCTGAGCTGCAATTACAGGCAGGGCCACCATGCCTCGCTCTTCCTTCCCTTTCTGACCCTGCCCCCCAGTTCCCTGTTCTGCCTCCATCTCCAGGCAAGCGTTAGGCTCCTTCTGTCACAGTGAGCCCCTTTGCATTCCACAGTGCTATGTGAATGACATGGTACAGTATGTATTTTTTAATAATTATTTTAAACATCATCCATGTACTAGTCCATGAACAGATACTGGGGTTTTTCCAGCTTTTGGCTGTTGGCAGGTGACGTTTGTGTGCACCTCTTTTTCTGGACAGTTGCTTTCGTTTTTTCTGAGTGTGCACCCACCTGTGGAGTGGCTGGGTCACGCAGTGTATGTTTACCTGTGGGAGAAGCTGACAAACAGCTTTCCAGAATGGCTTTACATTCTCACATTCTTGGCCAGCAGTGTTGAGAGTTCCAGTTTCTGGACGCCCTGACTGTCCTTGACATCAGCAGGCTTTTCGATAGTAGCCGCTTTAGGAGGCCCTAGTGCTGTTTCATCCTGACTTGAATACTTCCTGTGATAGATGTTAGCACTGATCATCGCCATTCTCGTCATCTGTGTCCCTGGTGAAGTGTCTGCGCACATCTTTTCCCCAGTTTAAGGGATTAAGTCCAAATGAATTGGCTTATTCTTTTATATATAGTGCCTTTTGTTTAATGTATGAGAAAGCTTTGCCTAACACAAGGTTACTGGGGTTATGTTTTCTGTTTGAAGTTTGTGGTTTTATTTATGAAGTTAAGTATAATTTATGCCGGAACTTTCAAGTTTGTTAGAAATTTGAGCAAGAACAAAGTGTTTTTCGTAAAGCAATAAAAAGCAGCTTATAGAAATATACTCACTGGGTAGTACATTTAAATGTGTTGTATCAGCAGTTATTTTGTCATGTATTAATCCCCACATGAGTGTGCTTAAATTTGCCACATCTAATTGATAGCCCAAAACCTTACGGTCATTTTTTTCAACAGCGTGCACACGCATCACTGATTTCATTTTTTAGTTGAAAGTTAAAAATTTTAAGTTAGTGTTTAGGAAAATACTGCTGTTTCAGTAAATTCAGTTGAAAAGTCTTCAGATGTGAAGCTCACTCAGGCTTCATTCACCCTTCTGCTGAACTCCAGTGAGTGTGAAGGAAAGACAAGGCAGCCCACTCTCTTTAGCCCTAAATAATTCAGCACCCAGTTTACAGCAAACTCGTCGAGGGCCAAAGGCTTGTGCACTCAGTAAGAAGGAGTGCCGTGAGAGTGGAGCTGTCATTTAGTAACCTGGAGGATCTAAGTGTTCAGTGACTCCCCCCAGCCGCTTCTGTGCATTCTAGCAACTAAACAGCACATACACACTGCTAGGGATTGACCCCCGCTCTGCACTGTATTATAATTACTGTTTTGGGTGATGAATGGTAGTTGTTGAGCTTCTTATCAGAAGGAAAAGTAGAACCTGGCCCTGTATCTGTGTAGAGATTGCTTGTTAGGAAATAAGATGCAGGCATTGTGCTGTGCTGTGACACAGTCTTCATTTCTTCATGATGCAGTGAAAAACCCTCCCCAACCTGGCGAATCTAGCAAACACGTTAGTAGCCGTATGTTAACTACCGTGTCAGTTTTGGGATGCCTACAACAATTAAAGACTGTAATGGTCCAGGCTATGCTAGTTCTGCCTTCGTCCGTTTCTGTCAGCATCGTAATATTCATCATATAAAAGACATACCTTATAACCCTCAAGGTCAAGGCATAGTTGAAAGGGCACATCTCTCTCTAAAACTCACTGTTGGTAAAATAAAAAAGGGGGAATGGTACCCCACCAGGGGGACACCTAAAATATTCTATCTTATGCCTTATTCATCCTTAATTTTTAAAATTTGGATGCTGCTGGACAGTCAGCAGCCACACGTTTTTGGCATACTGAAACACAAAAGCAATTTGCCTCTGTACAATGGAGAGACCCCTGACTAACTCCTGGCGTGGACCAGAGCCAGTCCTTATCAGGGGACGAGGATCAGTATGCATTTACTCTAAAGAGATGAAATCTGTGAGATGGCTGCCAGAACGTTTGGTTAAACACAGAGACCAAATACAACAAATAGAGGATAATGTTACAGATGACTCCAGGGACGAAAAATGACCCCTGCGAGAATGTTTTTGCAGCTTTTGTTTTTCAGATGATGCAAGGAACAGCCTGGATCCTGTCTCTTGGGATCATGATGACTAAGTTGATGGTTTTGTCAAACAACAGGTGGATGCCATAGAAATGCAACCTACAGGTCCATTACCACAGGCTTAGAAAGGGTGATAGAGAAAATTACACGGAGCCTGCAAAACTGTATTATGATAATGCTTTGTGAAAACATGCTGCCGCTCCATTTCTCTTGCCTTGTGCGATAGGCTGGATAGCCAGAGACGGGCAACTGGGCCTCACTCGGGACGCCAACCTCCACCTAAGACAGGAGCTGGGCCTCTTGCTGCCCTGCCTTCCAATGACGGGTAAGGCTAGGTTGGCCCCCCTGTGGAAGCGCCCTGACCCAAGACCGCCACAGTCTCCTCAAGGATGCAGCCTCTTACATGCCTCTTAGATTTTAAAGTAAAGGGGGACCTGTGGGAAGCGCTGTAGTTGGCTGCCACCTTATCTCTGCAGGCCGTACCACCTTAACATCTGCGGGCTGTACCACTTTAACATTTGCAGGCCTTACCACTTTAAATAAATTATGTTAATCAGCCCGCCTTAGGAGCTGGCCTGCCCAGGAAATTTGAATAGGTCCTGCCAGTGCTGCTAAGTTACCTGCTGACATCTCAGAACCCAGATCCCTGCTCCTCAACACCCTATGTATTTGTTACTCCTATATATTTGTTAACCAGACTTGATAGGAATTCTTCATCTTGGCTCCGCTCTTTGTGTCTCTTGTTTCCTTTTCATCCCCACTGCCCTTCTGGGGTCTCTGTGGACCTACCCGCAGGCCAGGACAGCTGTGCTGTGACACAGTCTTAAGTTCTTCATGATGCAGTGAAAAACTGTAGTACTTAATTCATGGTACTACTTTTAGAGTGAACTGGATCTCAACTACCTGTATTTTTAAAACTGAAAAGGTGATTTCAAAAGCTAAAATATATTCTGTCCAGATTTTTACTGTTATTGAAAGACTGACATATAGTGTGTTACAAAGGAGAATTTTCATTTGTTCCATGTGAATTTCTTTTCCTTTGAATCATGAAGAAATGTTTGAGAACTCACAGGTAAAAAGTACCACTAGGGACGCTTTATACCAGGTATCATGTTTTTGAGGTGGAGATGGCTGTTTTGCTGCTTCTCACTTTTCTTTGTCTCTGATTTTTTATTTAGAATTTTCTCCCAAACTAGTTGGCTTGACCGGCACAAAAGAAGAGATCGACCAAGTGGCCAGAGCTTACCGAGTGTATTACAGCCCCGGCCCCAAGGATGAGGATGAAGACTACATAGTAAGTTAGCGCCTCGCTTTTCCCTCGGGGGCTGCCTCCCGACAGTCGTTCAGTTTCAGATAGCCGCCTGCTGAGATGAAAGAACACACAGATTCCTTGAGTATTTTGGATATTGGAAAGAAAATAAGCATTGTTTTTAAAGACGATCATTTATCTTCATTGCTCATGATGTCATTGCTGAACTTCTTTTTTAGTGGCACATAAAATTTGAGGCACTATAAAATTAGGATTCGGGTGCCCTGTAGGAAATGAAGGAGCCTCATGTGGAGAAAAGGCTTATTAAGACAATGGAATAGGAAATACAAAAACAACAATTTTACTAAAGTTGTTCAGTGCGAGAGTCAGTTGACTGAAGTGACACTGGTGGCCTGAGTGGTGCTCGGGGTAGTCGGCATGTAAAGAAACCCGCTGCCTGGTGATGCTGGGATAAACCGTTAAGTGATGAAACACTGATGGTGACCCTGCGTCCTCGGGGAAGAGTTATGAGAATGCCTCCCTTTTAAGAAGCAGTTCTGGGCTCTCGGGAACTGAAGCTTTAGGGTGAATGAGAATCGTGAAAAGCAAGAGGAAAGCTGTGAGGTGTTCAAAAGTAAGCTTTCTGCAAGATTGACTTGGGTTAGCCACTGCGGGCCTTGTGCAGTGGCGGTGCTGTGCGCTCTGTAAGAATGAGGACCACAAATACTGTTAACGTTTATATCAGTAGTTCTTGCCTTGAGAACTGTCTTCACCTTCGTCAGTGCTGCTCCAGAGGTCTTACACCAATCCCCGACTTAACCGTGTGCTGCTTCTTGCAGTCTTTCCTGGAGGTTTTGGGACTCTAATGTGTGAATTTGTGCTTTGGAACCACAGATTTTCAGGTATAAGGTGGTCAGAGAAATACTTAAGATTTAAGGACCTGTGAGGAGGGACGGGCTTCCTTAAAGATTAACCTTGATTTATAATTGAGTGAGATTTTCATAATCTCAGACAATAGCCACAAAGAGGTAAACTTTTAAGACTTTTTGGATGGAATTCTCAGACTGATACTGTGTATATAAATGGAGCATGCCAAAGATATAAGATTCTTTAGAAATCTAAATGTGCATGTTATAACATTATACACAACTACAGTACAAAAGAATTCCAGTACTAATTAGCAAATATTTTTGAAAGAATACAACTGGCTTTGAATAAGATGCTGTTTCATAATAAAAGAAATGTGAGTTTAATAAGATGCCAGTTTTCACTCAGATGGTCTGAAAACCTATTGTCAGAATTGGATAAGTAGGAAATACACAGCTGGAGTGAATTTGGAACAAGGACTTTGTTGTTTGTTTGTTTGTTTGTTTTTGCGTTACTGTGCATTGAACCCAGGGCCTTCACACTGAACTAATGTCACCATCCATTTTTATTTTTATTTTTATTGCTGACAGTCAGTCATTAAGTTGTCCCAGGCTAGGCTCAAACTTGTGACCCTCCTTCCTCTGCCTCCCAGAGTGTGTGTGTGACTGTGCCCGCTGCAGCTGGTCTTTAAAGCTAGTAGACCTGCACTGCTCTAGATCACTGATGGAGGCAGTTAGCCGAGAAAGCAGATGCGCCGTGTTTCTCTTGATCTGCCTGTAAACTAGCGTTTATAAACATAAATAGATAGTAGTGGGGGGACATGCAGCAGGAAATGCAGAGCGGCTCTCTGACACACAGCGGTTCCCTCTGAGAGTAACAGGTGCTGTGCTGGGGAGTGCAGCAGGGCAAGATTCTCAGGGCGTAAAGGTGCTGGGTTCTGTTTGTGCCTGTGTTAACCATTTCAAACAGTTTGGGTTTTTTTGTTTGTTTTTTGTCATGTCTGTAAAACCTCTCTAAGTTTCCAAGGTAGAAATAGAAAGCTGGAGGAAGAGACTGCTTAACCATCCCAGTGTATGTATTTATACGTTTGTACTTGACGCCCTTTTGCTTAACTAGCCAGCTTTTTAATGCCCCGTGCTGTCAGCTGTTCACCTCCAGCGATCCATGCCCTCCGGGCATTCCTTGGGCACTCCGTTTCCCTGGGGCATTTCTCCAGCGTGCTCTGCAGTATAAATGGTTACTAGCTCAGTGGCCCCAACCTTTTTTAAAGTTACACATTAGAAAAACCAAGTTGCTGTTTTCCAGTAGAATTAGAGATGGTGACAACATGATGATAAGGGTTGTAATTTTTTTTTTTTTGTCTTTAAACCGGTACCAGGGATCGAATTCACAACTACATGCTTGCAAGGGAGGTGCTTGTTCCGCTGAGCTAAATCCCCAGCGCCAAGAGTTTAATTTTGAATTTGACCCGAGATGGAATCTAGTCTGACATGCACTGGTGTAATCGACACACTCCAGCCTGTTGGGTACCATTGCAGGTGCGAGGTGACCTATGGAAGGATATGTTAATAATTGCTTGTTTCATTCTTCTGTACCAGGAACTACTAAAACTGAATAACTATGCTAGCACGCATACCAATTTGCTCTGTCCTCGTCCTGAATGAATACTAAAAAGTGATCACTAACAAGTTTGAGGAGTATGTATAGAACGTCTCTATTATGTCTAAAAAAAGTAATTTGTATTAAGAACACTCAGAAAAGCATTCTACAGATATGTTTTTTTAAGAAAGAGACTAGAGAAAAAGAAAAAATGACAGCAAAAGAGGTATAACCTGCAGAGTAAGTTTAGAGAGGAGCACTGGAGACTTCATTCTGATTTCTGTGTCAGATTGCTGAGATCATCAAGCCCCATCTTGCTCCTGCAGTAAACCCTTTCTTAACACATGAATTGAGCAGCTGTTGGAGCTGTCTTGATGGCTTTCTTTCCTTATGGGGTAGGCAAGTGGCTCTCCATTTGCTGTCTGTCTCCTTATGAATGTGTATATATAAAGTAATAACCTCATAGACATATAATGTGTGTCGCGGTATATTTAGGGGAGAGTCTTCAGTTTGGTATGTGTGCTCACATTCCTTTCTTCCTGTCTTGCCAAATAGCAGTCAAGACTGTAATAAATTCCTAGCACTTACAGTGCCAAATTGGCTCTTATAAAATTGAGTTTTGTGGAAGTAACCAACTAAAAAGATTGGTGTCTGATCTAAACTTTAGAGCTCAGAATGTTTTAAGAACTTTGTCAAAAAGATAGATGTTAGATTGAAGAAGACTCCTTCGGAGTATGCCACTCATGGCTCCTGAAGCATTTCCAGATGATTGGCTTCAGACAGGGTTGTTCAGGATAGTATATAAAAATTTCTTTCGGAGAAAACCAGATCTTCCTGTTGTTTTTGTATTCTAATATCAGGGTTAATTATTGTGTTAGGATGTATAGGTTATGAAATTGAAGCAGTGATTACCTTTCTGGCTTCGTGTAAAACATGATGAGCAGAGGTTAAGGAGCAGTGAATGAGAACCGGTTCTTCCGGAAACATACAAGAATTTACTCAAGAACTCATGAAAGTAACTTCTCAAAAGCAGTTTGCTTTCTCGTGACATCTCTTACACTGTGACTAAGGAGTGAAAGAATATATTTTTACTCAAAGTATACTGTTCCACAAGCGCGGACCACTTTATGAAGGCCTGCAGCAACCATACCCTAGAAGGTGAACTCTTTTTCCAGAATTCTTCAAGCCTGAGTAACATTATGTTACAGATTGAACCAACGAATTACGTGGACTAGCTGATGTTACAAGCAGTAGCTGGTGCAAATTTCTGGAACTCAAAGGATCTTAGGCACTCCATGGCCTAAGTGAATTTACTATAATAAACATAGGCCTATTGTGTAAATAATAAAGGCTACAGTGATGATATAGGTGTTAACAAAAATCTCTTATCCTGCAACATTTATGCAGTACAAAAAGCAGTTTATTTTGGTGATTTTTTTGTCACACGTTCCTCCGTTGTCTCTGCAGGTGGATCATACAATAATAATGTACTTGATTGGACCAGACGGTGAGTTCTTAGATTATTTTGGCCAGAACAAGAGGAATGCAGAAATAGCTGGTTCAATTGCTGCACACATGCGGGCCCACAAGCAGGCACAGAAGAAGAGTTAGCCAGAGCCGCGTTGCCAGGTACTGTGTTTTGCCAAAGAGGAAGGAAGCTTGGTCTTCATAGGAGCTGGTCTATATTATGCAACCTAAAGAATGGCCTTCGTACCATAAGAATGTATGATTTTTAGATGAGATTAGCTTAGGGTTCAGTCAGGATTTTTGGAACTCGGAAGATGACAGCCCGTCTCCCAGTAGCCCCTGGGAATCCAGAGGACCAAGTTAAAGTGAGGCCAGTGGAGAGCACGCCTCGCCTCACCACAGGAGGGATGGTGGCGGACGTCTCCTTGGGAACAGGCCTCTCTGAGCAGCCTGGCCACCTCGTCGGTGTCTCAGACCCTTGCTGCCACACAGTATAAAGCTGAATTCCACAGAAAAGAACGTACTCTCTGCAGTGCTTTGCCTTCCTCACCTCGAGTTCTTGGTGGCTGGTAACCATCAAGTCAGATGCTGCTATTCAAAGTTCATCTTTATACTTAAAGCTAAGTCTTTGACAGCTAGCCTCCCTGTCCTGTTGTACTCCATTCCCCCATCAGCAGATGCTGATTTGACCAGAGTATAGAAAAAATCCCTTGTTTCGAGAAAACATTTCTTTGATTCTTCTATGGATCTTTTTGTGATTTTTTTTTTTTTTTAACTGAATGATCTGCCAGGTTTTCAGTGATGTGCCAAATGGAAATAAGAAAATTGATCATGAAAATGTGAAATAATATTTTTCTGCATTTATTAGATTATACTTCATGTAAAGTAAAGGTGTTTTGAGATTTGCAACTTGGACAGGCGTGACTTCTCTCCTGGGTAGAGTGGGTATGTAGATGGCAGCCTATGGCATACAACACAGAGCCCCACAGACTCACGTGGGTAGGCAGATGGGTACTCATTAAATACAGACTCCCAGGCCCAGGGCTGCCCAGTCTTGGGTAATGCGGAGACCTGCATTCCAGACTGCCTGTAAACTCACAGGGATGCTTCTGAAGAAGTAACGTGAGCCTCCCTTTGGTGTGTCAAAAATATGATTGATGCACAATAGAACGAATCTTGGCTTTGCTTTCTGAGTTTTACTTTCCTATACCTGACTCGTTTACCTGGGCGTGATCATCACCTTTTTTCCACTTGGAGAAGATCTCTTTAAAGTTGTCAGTAAATTCTGAAATGCAACCAACTATAAGACCCATTTGGAAAAAGGATTATTTTTGCACATCAGTTACATTTTTACATGCACATGATACAGTCCTCTTTGGGTTTTTTAATTCTCAATACTTAACATGGTGGTACCTTTTTTCACGAACTTACTGAGGTCCACAATTCTGTAGAAAATGGCCATATTCATTTTCATACAAAAAAGATTACCATGTTTGTGTTTGGTACCTGATGGCAGAATTCACAAACAAAAAAACTTTTTTGCCAGATGCTTCTGTTTTTGAGCCAGAGTATGCATAGACTTGTTCATGAACCAAGGTGCCACAGTACAAATATCAAAGGGAAAGAAGAAAACAAAAAACAACTAGAAGTATTTAGCTGAATTGTGCCTCCCATAATTCTTAGATCAGAGTCCTAACTCCAATACATGGCCAGATTTGAATATAAAGTATTTAAAGTATAAATTAAAATGGACCCATTATGAAAGGCCCTCCAAAGGCCAATATTACTGACATCAAGAGTTAAAAAAAACACGATGACAGGACCACATGAAAATACAAAAGAGGTCCACAGGTCATGAGAAGTCTCCAGAAAAACCACCATAGCTGGCACCTTGATCTTGGCCTTCCAACCTCCAGAAACTTGAGGAGATAAAACATCCTGTGAACTATGGTCCGTGGTGTATTGTTAAGGCAGCCCTAGCAAACCAGTACAATAGCTTATTCCTTAAACAACTCTTAATATTTAGTTCACCCCCTAGGTAGCTGGTTTGGAATAACTCAGGAACCTTATCAAGAGAGTAAAGAACTTAATACAAGACTAGTCTCATCCGACAAGAAAGATACTAAGTTCTAAAATGTCAACCCTTTGAAAAGATGGTCTGTTTTAAGCCACACAGCACTTGTGTGGATCGCTTTGCAGCAAGCTTGCTATCAAATAAAATGTAGTCTTCATTCTCAGCTGTTGCAGGTTGGAGCTGGTGTAATGATCCAGAAAGGGAACAGCAGCTTTTTAAGAAATGTCTCATTTGCTCTTAATTCCAGTATCAGGCTTAAAGGCTTAGAGTCGGGCTGCTGGAGGCAGGCTGGCACAGGGCCTCATAATGATCCTTTCCACGAACAGACATGCCATTATTATTAGGAGTAAGATTGAGTCTTGATTTCTGTTCTGGTCTCTGCTCATTTCCCTGCTATGGGATGCTGTGGTGACCTTGTGAACCCATCCAAATCTAGGGGTTCCACGGGACAGGGCAACCTTTTAACTCTGTGTGCTGGGAAATCAAAATCAGGCTCCCATTCAGTCAAGTCATACATACCTGAATAGGTTAGAGTTTTTACTTTAATGGGATTAATATTTTTAAGAATTGCTATTTGTTTGAAAACTCTAAGAATCCCGTCAGTGCAAGAGGCATGAAAATAACGCAAGTGGCTGTTGATGAGGCAGCTGATACTGTGAGTCCAAGAACTGAGATTTACAGGGAACCAGTAAAGCACCCAGCCGATAGGCTGCAAACAGGAACTCAGTGAGGTGATTTGGAAGTGTAAATGCATCTGCGTAGGTTTGTAAATCTCCTGTTATGTTTTAAATCTAAACTTAAAGGTTATTACTTGAACCATAATCTCCCAAATAACTGTGTTAAGTACTGCAAATTTAAATGTGTGTGTGCGAAAGTGAGTCCCCTTTAAAACAAAGAACAGTCAACCATGAAGCCTTTTCATCCATGTAGTTTATACTTTTATATAGTTATATTTTTATTTTTGAATTACTTTGTGATAAGGGTGATTATTCCTATCAGTGAGTTATAATAACCTCTTTAGTCAAGTCTTCCTATGCACAGTGAGATCTGTGCATCTCACTATATCTGGTCTGAACCTCCAAGAGTGGGAAGAAGAGTCCTGTGAACAGCAGGCTTGAGCACAGGTCTGATGGAAGGGGGCACTGACACAGGCAGCAGCCTGTTTGAGTTTAGACAGCGATGCAAGCTGATGCCAAGAGCAGGATGCCCATGAAGAGAGGGACTGCAAGCAAATGCACAGAAGACAGGACTCCGCAAGCTGTAAGCAAACCAGCAGAGTGAGAGGCAGTGAGGTAGGGCTGGGTGTGCTGTGGGCAGTCAGGGCAGGCACAGCTGAGGCTGTGTGCAAGGTTACTCATCCCACTTAAAGGTACAGGAAGCCAGCTGTTCAGCAGCCCCACCTCACAGTGGCTAACACTGGTGCCACTTTGAGAGCCAGAGAAGTTTGCTCAGGGCCATTCGGAGGCTTCCAGGACCCCAGGACACCCAGCAGGAGCAAACTGCAGCGAGCAGGCACCTTCCTCACCGGCTGCAGCCCTGAGTAGCTGCTGGTAGTTGTCAGTCAGGCTCTGAGACCCTGCCAGCGACTCCTGTGCCATTTGAGTCCCTGCTTATTGAGTAGGCTAGATAACTACCTTACACTCGGGCCATCTGAAGTATTTCCTGGCGGGAACACCGTAGTTGGCAGCCGCTGAGCCACTTTCCATTCGGTGAAGGTCAGAGGCCGAGGCTGCACTTTGTGGATGCGGGTGGAGACTCCTGGTCTCATGGGGAAAGTGCACTTAGCCTTGGCCTCTCGGCTGAGCACACAGGTTGGCTTGGAGGTCACTGTGCCGTGACATGTCGGGCCTGGCTAGAACCAGCTAGTGTGGCCTTACTGTGGAGGAAAATGGGCCACGTGGGACTTCTGTGCAAGCTTAGCAAAGTTGACACTAGAATTTCCTCTAGTCTGGGTGAACCTGCTTGGTCACCTACCTGGGATGCAGAGCTGTGGCTCTATTCCAGGTCTCCTTGAGGGGGAATAGGAGAAATAAAGACCAGTAAAGAGACAAGAAAATCTCCGTCTCTGTCCCTGTGTGTGTGTGTGTGTGTGTGTGTGTATACAAGAGATCAAACTCAGGTTGTTCTCCACTGAGCTATATCCCCACCCCCTTTTATTTTTAAAATCTTTTTATGTTTTGGAGACAGAGTGTTACTAACTTTCCCAGCTGGGTCTTCAAGTTGAGATTCTCCTGCCTCAGCTTCCCAAAGAGCTATGGTTACAGGATGTGTCATTGTTCCCAGTTGAAAATCATACCTAAATTGTATTTTTAAGAAAACGCTTCATGACTCCAAAGTTCCCCATTCACAATGCTTTTTTTCCTTCCAGAAAACTCCCTCCCGTGTTTTTATCCCTAAGGTTCTTAAAGACTCAATTGGGGCCTGTGCTTTTTACCTGGTGTATCAGGATTTAGTAGAGAAACATGTAACACAAGATACACAAATGTATATGAAATTACAAGATTGGCTTACAGCGGTCAGTCACAGAGTCCGAGGAGGGAGCGTAGAGAGGGTGTCTGTACGCTGGAGGTGGAGGGTCCTGCCCAAGGGCTGGCGCTCACTGCAGTGTCTCTTGTAAGTGTGTATTAGGAGGCTGATGGGTGTGTGAGGGAAAGCTGAAAAGTTCCAGGTGGGAGCTGAACAGTGAGCCAGAAACCAGGAGGCCGAGTCCAAGCTGAAGGTGAGGACTGGAGCTCCTCCAGCAACCAGCGATCAGGCTCCTCTCGTGCCTTTATTGTGTGCAGGCTGCTCCCCTAGGGTGGGTGTAGCACTCCTAAGATCTGCAGCATGCTCCTCTTATACAGGCTGAGGATGTTTCAAACTAAGGACTCTGACCCCCTGCTGAATCATTTATTTAACTTCTGACCTGTGGGAAGCCGCCTATGAATGGCGCCCATTTCCTGCTTCCGGGTTCTTCCCGGCCTGAACAAGCCTGCCAAATTGTCATATCTGCCCAGTTACCCGTGACGCTAGCCTATCAGCTTGTTAGGCGCGCTTCTCTGTGATTGGATACTGCTTCCCCTTATAAGAGGTTGTTCCTGCCCCCAACGGGCGGAAGAGGAACCAACACTGAGGGTGGCGGACCTTGTCAGGTCTGGTTCGCTGTACGCAATAAAGTTTGAGAGCTGATCCTGCTCGAGTTTGGTCTCCTGTCTTCCGCGGCTCCGGTCATCTGGTGGCCCGTACGGGGAAAAAGGTAAAAGACTCAGCGACGTGCCTCTTCAGCCGGGAGGTGCGATTGCTGTCGCCTGCCGTACGACGGAGGACCTGGCCCAATAACAACGGAAGGCCCCGAGCGCCTCTTCTCTTCACCCTGATCAGCTACGTGAGATACAGCGGTTCCCGGGACAGGTGAGTACTGGATCGCCTGGGTTGGGTGGACGCACCTAACAGATTTTGAGCGCCACACGGGTGGACGCCGGTCTTTTTTTCTTTGCATTTGTTTCGCTTTCGCTTCGCCATTGTGGGCAACGCTGCTCGCAAACCCCTCGCTGACTCCCTAAGAGTCCTGCTGAGGACCCGAGGCATCTACATAAACCGGGTCACCCTTTCGAGGTTTCTGGATAGTGTTAATGAGATTGCCCCCTGGTTTTGGCCCACGGGCTCTCTAACCCTCCCGTCATGGGAGAAGTTAGGAGGGGATCTTAGATGCGCCCGAGAAGAGGGACGCTTGGATCCCATGGTTTTACCCCTGTGGGAACTGATTAGGGCTTGTCTGACGGACGAACAAACCCCCGGGCTTTGCTCAGCCCGACAGGCTCTTGACAAAGCTCGATCCGAGTGCTCGGAGCCCGAAGTCACACCTGACTTTGGGCCTCCAGAGAAACACAAGGGCTCCGAAGCTCGCGACCCATGGTCGCCCCCTTCAGGGCGCCAGGCCCTACTGCACCGCCGTGGCCGGAAGAGGAGTTGCTCCCTGGGCTGCCACCTCCACCCGTGGCCGCCAGAGGGCACCCACAACCTATGGCACCGCCCTGGTTAGAGGGAGAGCTACTTCCTGGGTTGCCTTCTGCGCCCCCATCAGGGGAGGGAGGAGGACGTTCCCTCCATCAGAGGGTATGGTCGCGGCTTCCCTTTGAGTGTTCCGGTCTCCATGCATTCCCGGTAGCCCTTAGAAATTAAACAACTTAAAGCTATCAAGGACGCAGTTTCAGCTTATGGGCCCAATGCGCCATTTACCATGGCGCTTTTAGAGGCATTGGCAGGTCTGCTTTTAACTCCTGGAGATTGGACCCAGCTGGCACGCGCCTGCCTCTCCCCCGGACAATATTTAGATTGGAAGTCCTGGAATGAGGAATTCTGTGTAGAGCAGGCGGCAGCCAACAGGGAAAATAACCAGAGAGAGTGGAACAGGGATATGCTATTAGGGCGAGGAACCTTTGAGGAAGATCAAACTCAATACCCTCGCCAGGTTTATGAACAAATTAGCCGCTGTGGCCTCCAGGCCTGGAGACGGCTGGCTGGAAAGGGAGAACATACGGGTCACCTTACAAAAATTATACAAGGGCAGGGAGAGCCATTTTCAGACTTTGTGGCCCGCATGCTTGAGGCGCGCTTTAACATCACGAGAGCACAAGCACAAGACATAGTACGACATTGTCCGGCCTGTGTGATCTCTTCACCTCAACAATCTATTGGTGTTAACCCGAGAGGACTGCGCCCCAATCATATTTGGCAAATGGATGTTACACACATCCCAGAATTCGGAAAACTCAAATATGTACATGTTTCGGTTGACACCGCTTTTCAGGTTATGTTTGCTTCGGCAGAACCTGGAGAAAGGGCCACCCATGCTATTAATCATTGTCTTGCAGCCTGGGCTGCTTGGGGAAAGCCCAATATACTAAAAACAGACAATGGTCCTGCCTATACCAGCAAAATTTTTATGACATTTTGTCAACAAATGGAGGTCACTCTTAAACGTGGCATTCCTTACAACCCCCAAGGACAAGGCATCATTGAGCGATCCCATCGGACACTCAAGGGTGTCTTACAAAAACAAAAGGAGGGAATAGGCCATGGCCTAACGCCCAAAGGAAGAATATCATTGGCACTCTTCACCATAATCATTCCCCTGCCATGGAACATAGCAATCCGTCCCCAACCGACAAAGGGCTGGTTAGATGGAAAGATGTCCTTACAGGACAATGGATGGGCCCGGATCCAGTGGTTAGCTGGACCCGAGGTGCGGTTTGTGTCTTCCCACAGGAACCAGGCTGCGAACCGCTGTGGGTCCCGGAAAGATTGACGCGAGCAGTAAACTCCCCACCAGTTCCTGATAAAGCACAGGAGGATAAGCCCGCGGACACAAGTCAACTCGACCCTTCTGGGACCGACGCTCAGCGCCCAAGACCATCTACAAACTAAAATGTCTGGTTTGGAGCTTTTTCTATTCTGTAGGTTCCTATTAATCACCCCTGTTCGCACAAATTTGATGACATCTTGGCTGCAAGACACCTACCTACCTAAGTTTCACAATTTGTCCCTCATAGTCGGTCAGGAACTTGACAATATGGACGGTATCCAACTAGGTCCAGTCAGGGGTTCTCCTGGCCCAACCTGACTACTTGGATCCTGATTGCCGTGGCCATCCTAGTGGGGCTTGTGGTTATTAAATGCTTGTTAGATTGCCTCATACAAACTCAGCAGCAGGTTAAGATCACAGCTATGGCAGCCATGCAAATGGCAGCAGGTGGCCCATCAGGCCAGCAGGCCGCCGCATATCTCCTTCACATTGCGGAACATCAGCTATAAGAGCTGAGTGGGCAAGCCAATGACGGGTAAGACGGGAAAAGCCCTCCCGGTCAACCTAAGACAGGCTCCACTCAGATATACATGGCCTATAAGGCCAGGGGTCCCTCCCGGAGTCAAATTATTGGCATTGAGATGCGAGACCAAGGGTACTGCAGTGCCATCCGCCCCAAAGGTTGGGGGGAAGGCAGGAATGAATGTCTATATGCATCCAGGTTCGGTTCACAAAAGCCTGGCCCTGCGAAAAAATGAACCACTCACCTTGAGCATGGTCCTGGCGCAAGGATATGCACAAAACAGGGTGATGCACAGCAGGGTATAGACCTCTACATTCTCTCATGCCTCGGCCTACAAGGTAGGCCCACTCCTAGGTGTCTAACAGCAACAAGGTCATAGACACCTTGGAGGGACCCACAGACCATCCTATTTTAATAAATAAAAAAGGGGGAGATGTGGGAAGCCGCCTATGAATGGCGCCCATTTCCTGCTTCCGGGTTCTTCCCGGCCTGAACAAGCCTGCCAAATTGTCATGTCTGCCCAGTTACCCGTGACGCTAGCCTATCAGCTTGTTAGGTGCGCTTCTCTGTGATTGGATACTGCTTCCCCTTATAAGAGGTTGTTCCTGCCCCCAACGGGCGGAAGAGGAACCAACACTGAGGGTGGCGGACCTTGTTAGGTCCGGTTCGCTGTACGCAATAAAGTTTGAGAGCTGATCCTGCTCGAGTTTGGTCTCCTGTCTTCCGCGGCTCTGGTCACTGACCTCCTCAGATTGACACAAAGAACAATAGGCTAGAATGGTAAAGGCTTGTCCTCTACCTGCAGGATGCAGAGCTGCTGAGTTATGCTTCTAGACTTCTCAGGTGGACACAATGTTTCAACCGTAACACCTGTAAATGGCTCTTCATCTCACAGACCTCCCTGCGCTCAAGAAATCAGCATGGGGCGGAGGATGTAGCTCAGTGGTATAAGTGCCTGCCTGGCAAGCTCAGGGTCGTGAGTTTGATCCCCAGTCCAAAAACACCAACAACAAAAGCAGCCCCGGTAAGTAGGCAGCTGATCTCTAAATTTCAAACACATGCAGATGGTTTGCATTCTGTCCTGGCCCACTAAAGGGGTGGCCTGACTAGATCAACCATTATGATATTCTCCGGCGTTTACTAATGGTAGGTGGGAAAACACCCTGAGACCAAGACCAAAAGGCTAGACTGAATTCTGTCTACCTACAGGCAGGCTGACAGCAGAGTGACAATCAGCAAGTATCTGAAGGGCAGGCTAAGTATGTGTAGGATTTGGGGTGAGAGGTCATACTCCCAGAGATGCTGGATGGAAGCTTTGAGGTCAGAGCTGCAAGGAAGATCAGCATAGCTGTGTGGACACTGCCAGGCATCCAGGAGACTACAGGTCCACTCCTAATTTCTTCATGGCCATCAAGTCTTGTGTGCTGAGGGCAGCCTAGATCCTGGTGTTTGTAGAGGGCAGTGCGCAGGTCTCTCAGGTAGGTCAGGCTGACACTAAGGCCATAAAACCCCCAACCCAGATCCATAATGACCTCTGTGAAGGACCCACACTCTGCTCTCTGAATGTGTCCTCTTTCATTCTGCCCAGTGATGTGTTCTGCCGGCCTGGGGCTTAGCTACAACTTAACATGGCACACAGCCAGTTAGACACCAGGCCCCGAAAAACTGCAGCCTGTCTCTCCAAAAGTAACTTCTGTGTTCTTCTAGTTCTGGAAATAAACCTCCTACTCCCTTTTTGCACGTGCTCCAAGCCTTCTCCAATCCCAAGACTCCATAATGACCCAAGCTTTCTGCCCGTAACCTGACTCCATAAAAGCCATTACCAATTCCCCCTTTTTTGAGGGTCCTCTCAGTCTCCAGTAGCCCTCCCGCACCCGCAATGAAGACTTTGTCTCTGTGTGTCTCAACTGCACCAAGAAAGCCTAACACTCAATCCACCTTTCTAATTGTTTTTCTGTTATGTAAGTTGGCAAACCTAAATCCTACCCTGTGGATTAGATAAGTTGAAGTCCCATCTCTTTGGCAAACCTGATCAGACCCCATCTGTTGGCAGCCCAATCACAATCTATTTTATAAAGATTTGTAAGTAGTTGTTATGCACATTAATTTTTTCCCTAATACCACTGGGCCTACTAATGTTTCCCGATAGAAAATAAGAAAGTAAAGAATAAAGTAGTATCTCCATCAGGAAGGTCACTAACTCATTTTGTTTCCATAAAACAATTTGCACAGTCCTCAAATAAACATACGCCATTTCTGACCTTTATCACCTCATTTTTAAAAAGTGCCATCAGACACATCTGTTACTCTTTGCAGGGACTGCAGTGCAATACATTGAATTTCTCTAGAGTTGTGTAATTCCAGCATAAGAGAAAGAGAAAGTTTGGTTAGCCTGTGAGACCTCAATCTGTTTCTATGTAGGCCTTTGAAACACCAAAATGAATCCAGGCAGGACCATTTGGTCTCTGTCACCCATATATCAGACAAGCCATTGAGAACTTCTGATGTCATTAAATCAAACAAATCTGTAGGTGTCCCCATCATGTCACCTCGGTAAGGCACTCTTAATTACAAAAGAAATTGAGATCTTGGTACCCTGAAAGGGTTCCATTCCATTGTAAACAGGAACGTCAGGCTTTTCTCGTGGAGTGCAAGAGGGCCTTTGAGCAGGGTTCTAACCAAAGGGGGAAGGTACCCAACAAGTGTACCCGTCCATTCAGCACCCCATCCGGGACGAGAGAAAAGGCAGCCGTTCAGTGATCACTCATTCAGCCCATACTTTCTGAGCGCCTGTGTCAGGCTAAGCGTGTAATTAGATAGACCCAGTGCCTGCAGTGTGCCTTCGGATGCAAGAACCACACGAGACATACACAAAAGCTGGATAGTGCTTAAATATCCTGCCCCAGCCATCGGCCAACCAGTGCACCTAAAAGTAAACCTCTTTTGAGTGTTTTATGTGTGTTAGCATCTACCTGTAAATACACAAAAAACAACAAATTTACTGTAAATTGTGATAGCTCTACAACAATTATGAAAATAGTGCTAAATTTATGGTAACTGCACAATTTTAAATACATGAATCTTTTAAGAATTATTTAACATCCATAAACTAAAATTTTGGAGAAAATTTTAGATGTTAATTAGCAAAACAGCATTATTTTTTAATATGACTCAGTGATATAAATATGTTAATTTTTCCTACTTAAATGTTCAGCACAACTTAAGTAATATTGTCAGCCTCTACCTGAGAGAGACCAAGAGGCCTCAGGTCTCCCCTTGTAAACAATGGAAGACAGTAGGTTGCTCTTGATAAACAAGAAGTAAGGGCAATAAATACATTTAGAAAAATCTCCCTGGCACCAAATTGTTTTGTTTTGAATTTTGGTACCAGGGATCAAACTCATGACCTTGCACGTTCTAGGCAGGTGCTTGTCCCCCTGAGCTAAATCCACAGCCCTGGCCCCCGATTCTGTCCACGTACCTCACTGAGTGTCCCTGCAGCTTGACCTTAGACACTTCATCCAGACGCCTGGATATTCTAACCCTGCTCAAAACTCCTGTGTATATTTCGTTTCCCCTCCAGGTAGCTGCCGGTATCACTCTGATGTCAGCCGCCTGTGTGTAGGTAAAATCCGATCTTTCCCACAGCCTCTGTCTCTGAGTGTTGCCTTTGGTCTTCATTTACCTAACAAATACTGCAAAGGCAGATTTAGAGACGTGATTTCTGGTGAGCATGATCTGTGCTTTGATTGGAGTGGGAGCTGTACAACATATAAACTGTATGATAGAACTCACCTAACTGTGATCTTTGCAGGTGAATTTTAGCTTCTGTTGTAATAAATCTTAATTTGCCAAACTGCAGTGTCATCTTTTGGGAAAGATTCAACGAAAAGATTCTAAAATCAATCTGGAATCGTGAATGTGAAAAATAGTTATATATGGAAACAGAAAGGAAATTAGTGAAAACAGGGACAGCAAGGAAGATCTTGTCCTATTTATATTAACATGGTACTAAACCATAGTAATTTTTTTGTGTGTGTGTTTTTCCTTTGTGTCCGTACCGGGGATTGAACCTGCTTGCAAGGCAGGCGCTTATGCCGCTGAGCTAAATCCCCAGGCCCCTCAAAGCTTTCTTCTATAAAATAAACAATTTAAGTGATTCTAACTCCAGGTACTTTTGATATTACTTGCCACCATTCCTTACATTATTGGGATAATTTGTTGTCTACCAAGATATAAACATTTCCAAGAGATTAACAGATGGATACACACCAAATCATGTTGAAATGAATTTAGCTGGTTTCCAGAAAGGCTTCTTTGGTGTGATTATTTTGATTTTTTGTTTGTTTATTTTACTACCATGTATGTTTTGCTTTATGTAAAAAGCAAGAGCCTGAATAATCTCTCCACCGAACCATTCAGTGGAGTTTTTATGATGATATTTAAAGTTAGTGTTTGGGATCTTCAAAGATTAAAAAAAGTAATACTTTTCTCACATTTTCTACTCTATTCCATTTTTAGTTGTTGTAAAAATGTACCTCAGATTGGATAATTTATTATAACAGAAATTTATGTATCAGACTTCTGGATGTTGGGAGCCCAAGAGCATCCATTTTTTTGTGTGTGTCCAGTAAGGACCTGGTCTTCTGAAGCTGTCAGCTAACATAGACCCCTCCTTCTGTTACAGGCATCTGAGTGAGGTAGATGTGTTACGGGCAGTCAGACAGGGCTAAGGACCAGAAGGAGCAATGCAGAAGCCCTGATATCCTGCAGTTGTGGGGGAGACAGACATCTCCCAATGTGAGCCAGACTTCAAGACAGAAGATTAAACCAATGCAGGAACATCCTAAGGACTGGTATTCTAAACAGGTCTCTATCGCCCTGGGGAAGGCAGGAGTCACTACCCCAACCCCTTAAGGGCAATCACAGGTCTTTAAGCCTGCCCCATCGCTACATGACTAGCTTCCCCATTTGTTCCCCATTTAATCAATTTCCCCGGAGCAGTTAATCTTATTGGTTGACCGTAGTTCTGTCGACCTCATGCCCACCCTGTGAGTTCTCATGTTTCCCCCCCCTGGAATCCATCTGGCCTCCTGGTTTTACTCTATAAAAGTCCCTAGAAAAGACAGAGTCGGTGGCAACCCACTCTGCACTCCTTCTGTCTCAGAGACAGAAGCTTTTTTCTCTCCATAAATATTTCTACTCTGAACCTTCATTGTTCCGAAAGTTCCTTCTTCATTTGAGAGAACACCAACCCGTACTGGACCTACAGTAGGCTGGGGATTTCATTCCCCTGTGTCACTGCTTTAGGTTGTGAGTGCTGAGCATTCAGTCTGAGCAGGGACAGAGTGGGCTGAGGCAGTAACGCTGTGCGCATAATGAAGTGATTAACTTGTTTAGAAGTGTTCAGGTGACACATTATGGAAAAGAGGGGGAAGATCAAAATTGATGTATGAATGTGTGGAAATGTCACGGTCAAACTCCTTAACTGCGAAATGAATACTCATTAATAATTAAGATAATTTTTTTAGAAACGAAGTGCTTATGTGGACAGTCTCTTGCATTTTTGCCTCTACACTGCTTATCAACAGCAAATTTTATTATTAATATAAATGTCTCTCGTATTTCTTGGCAGTTTTAAAATTGCCAATTTCAGTTGGCATCTTTTTACTGAATATTAAAATGGTTCATTTTTACAGTGCTCAGACTCACCTCTTTTTCTTTGGTTAATGATTGTCCGAGTTTAGAATTTATTGTCTCACGTATAAAACATCAAAAAGTTCCCCTGAGCCCTCCAGGACGATCAGGTAACTGCCAATGATCAGTCTGTCATACTTGCACAGGCCCCGGTATGTTAAATGACGGAACAGTTCTGCCTCAGCTTCTTGGAACCTGCTTTCCCAGAGCTCTGCCCATTTGCTCAGATCTGGAGTAATCTGTAGGCTGGTACACAAAGGCCATCCTGCTGTTTCCTCAGTTTCTCTGCTCTTAGATCTCCTCTTTCCTGAATCTTATTTCTTTCTACTTCTTGGGTAAGGCTCCATTTTGGAGAGATACATGCTCAATCTTTCTGAAAAAGGGAGGTAAATATTTGGAGGCCCTGTGACCTTGGCCTGGTCATAGGGCTTACCTGGTTCCAGATGGGACAGAAAGAGCCCTTGGATTTACCTTAAATTACTTCGATTTGTACCAAATCAACAAACAATATTGGAAGATATACGGGATTTCCATGCGAGGTTTGAATAAGCAAGTTTTTGTTGTTTCGATTGTGGGCCACGTCTCATGGTCAGCGTAGCCCAGTTAGAGTCTACAAACGCGAGGTCACAGATGCTTCAGTTTGTAACTGGTGTACCTGGGTGTATCTAACAGGAGAGAAACTGAGTTAAACAGGTGGATGGCATTTGTACGGGACCTACACAGGGGTGGGTGGAGACCCGTCAGTATTCAGGAGTCGGCCTAAGTATTCTATTTATTATGAGAGCATTTCACGGCCCTACTTATGTAAATATATTTCCCCTGTGAGCTCAACTACTAGTTTAGTTGGATAAAGCACTCTAGATATCCTTAGCATTTTGGTGTTTGGCCTGACTGCTCTTTAGCTTCGATTATTACTTTTAAAGAACCCAAACTTTTCTTTATTGCTCCGTGTAACTTTCTTTCTCCTTCTTTGATCTTCTTTCTAACCAGTTGAATTTCTTTGCTCATGTGGTTAGGAATGGCAGATTTGGTAAGCATTGGCTGTCTTTAAATATAACCACGTCCAGGTGTTGTAGCACATGCCTGTAATGCCAACACTTGGGAGCCTGAGGCCAGAGGATCACCTTGAGTTGAAGTTATAATTAGATAAAATGCAGCTGTTTCGTGGGCCATGTTAATCAGGGCTTTCTCTAATATGTTTCTGTATAGTAGATATATACCTGCTTTGTCTCTATCAGTATGCAAAGGTTTCTATGAATACCTCTGTGAATGTGTATAAGTTATATACCTGTACTTGTGAATATATTTGCCTGTTGGCATATAGGAAGAGATTTATCATCAGATACTGGATCGTGTAATTATGGTGACTGAGGGTTCCTACCTGCTGTGGAGACTCAGGAGCATGCTGGTGTGGCCCAGAGGTGCAGAAGCTGGGGAGCCTGTGCTGTCGCTTCTGTCCAGCTCTGAAAGCCTGGGAACCAGCAGTGCCGTGGTAGGAGAAACTTTAGGCAGCAGCTCCAACTGACTGGCAGGCAAAGGAAGACTGAGTTGTCTTTGTCTACCAGGTTGAGATGCTGCCTGGATTCCGCCTTCTTTTGAAGTGAATTCCACTTTCCTTTTCCTTTTGCTTCTATGTAGGCTCTCAGTTGATGGCACCCACTACACTGGTCCATCAGCTTTCCTTGCTACACCAACTTGAAAGCTAATCTCCTGTACACACACCTTCGCAGATACATCCAGAAACAATGCTTCACCGTATCTGGGAATCTCATGACCCAGCAGACATACAAAGAACCAGGGTGGCCAATTAGTGAATGAGTCAGAAAATAAACACAAAGGCCCCACACTTGGCCCAAGAACGTGGTCAGTAGTTGGTAGATCTCTCTTTACATCTTCTAGCTTGCCTTACAATCTCTACTGATTGGTTAGCTCTCTTTGTCTGCCCCGTTCCTCCAGTTCTTGGGATTGACTCCAGGGCTTTGAACTGAACTACATTTTGGACACCTTTTTATTTTGAATGTTGTGACAGCATCTTTGAACTAAGTTGCCCAGGTTGGGTCCAAGTTGTGATCATCCTGATCTGCCTTCCATAGTGCTGTGATGGTAGGCATGGAGCACCGTGGCCAGCGGATTCTGTGCTCTTCTAGGAATGAGCGCCCTCTCCTAATTAGGTACCCATGATGTGGATGAGAGTGTTTACAGTACCGAGTGCAGACTTAAAACTTTGCCGGGTACAGAGCTCAGGTCTGACCTCAGCAAAGGAAATGACCTTGGGAGGTTAGCAATTAAGTGAACACTTCAGCCCTCAGACTGACATGCAGAAAAGAAGTAATTACTTCATAGAAGTAATCTGAGAAATATGTAAGATGATAAGTATGGAGGTCTTATACATGAAAATCATTTTAAAATTCTTCATAATATAAGGAAAACATGAAACCCCAGGGGCCGGGCAAAAGGATCACTGGAGAGAGAAGTCCTGGTCTAGCCTCATCACGGAGCACCTGTTGTGTTTCTATGTGACGGCATTTGATTTGGCTCAGTTTCCTGGTACCTCTGTTCCTCTAGTTAATTCCTCTCTGAAATATAGTGTATAACACAGCCCCACTCTGGCATTCAGCTTTCCACTATTGAAACAAATACATGAAGTAATCAACTTATAAAGGGAAAAGGTTTATGGAGGTTCAGTTCTGAAGTTCTACTCTGTGAGCGGTTGCCCGCTGGCATAGGCTCCTGGCAGTGCATTGTGGGCTGGGGGACACATCGCAGGACAAAGCTGCTCACCTCATGGCTGGGAAGAGAAGAAGGAGGGCTTGAGGACCTGCTGTCCCCTTCAGGGGCTTCTGCCCAGTGACTGGAGGCCTTCCACTAGCTCTCAACTACTGAGGGCTCCACCACCTCCCAGTAGCAGCAAGCTGGTGAACTTTGGGGGACAAAAGAGTCAAACTCTAGCTCACCCAACAGGGTCATCATGGGCAGCTGAGTTAGTGCCCCTGAATGCTTCTCCCACAGCAAACACTCAGACATCAGTCGTTACCATTGGAAGAGAGAAGGCGGCAGAAAGCAGATGCTCAAGGCTTGCACATCTGCCATTCGCTTGACCGCCGCAGAAGGTACTCGTTCATATGCCTGCCCAGGCTATCTTGGGTCACCTCTACCATACTCCCTGAAAATAAGACCAGGTCTTATGTTAAATTTTGGTCCAAAAGAGTAAATAGGACTTACTTTCCAAAGTTGTCTTATTTTTTCATATACAAAAAATTTATCTTTGTTTCAATACAGCCTTGTCACCTTTTCCTAGAACACTGTCATAGTGCTCCAAACCCTGAATTCTGGCCTGAAGGTCTTGAAACTGCATTTCTACAGAAGTATTGGCCCCAGCCTCTCTCGTCCAGCAGTGCATCTCTCTTTAAATGAGCACCTCTCATCCATGTACCCTGCTCACAGGGCACTGGAAACACAGCTGTCAGTGACTTTATCCCATGAATTTTGCATGTGTGTTACAACCCCTTGTATTCCATTAAATCAAGTGTCAATTAAAAGTTTAGGGGACAGGTGTGGCCAAAAATTGATGATAGGTAAGAACCATGATAGTTCACATAAAAGCAACAACAGATTGCAGGCACCAAAATGCAGAAAATGTTTATTTGACGACAATAGATTGTGTGTCCATTACAACACACAAGGCATTGAAAGTTTAAGATTGCTGTTATATACAACCATGTGCAGCTGTTACTGCACCCATACACGTGGTTCGTGACAGGGCAGACCGATGCGGCAGACCTTCAGTGAGTGAGGATTGAGGCAGAGAGCAGTCGTAAGTCACCATGAGTCCTGGGGTGGAGGTGGCAGATTTCACTTGAGGTTTACTGTAGATTGAGACTAGTGAAAATGCAAATCCCCATGGCAGTTTTATAATACGGCTGCAAAATCTAACATGGCAGTTTTATAGTATGGTTGTGATGTATATTACATGTTTGATTTAAAGACTTTGAACATAAGAAAAGAGGTAAACACATACAGATTGTGTTATGATGATCAAGGCTGCGTGCTGCAGGACAAAATCAAAATAAAACAAATTGATAAAGTAGCTGTAGCTTCACCAAGAAAGGTACTTAAAATTTAAATCATGCTGCATGTGCATAAAAATAATCTGTCCGAACACTTATGCAAAGTAAATTGTGACCCAGAATATCAAAAATCCAACTAGTCAAGCTGTAACTACCTTATTCTCCTGGTAAATATTTGGTGAAAACTTTTATATAATAAGAACTGGCCCAACCTTGAAAGGTTGCAAGAAATAAAATACAGTTAAAAATAAATTCGTAATGCAAATCTGCATAAAACATGCATAGTCAATCTTACTACGTAAACATTTTAAAAACCACATATCACGCTGAATAAAGGTTTAAAATGCTGATCATTTGTGTATAATGGGTACAAAACTGACAAGGTTTTGCTGGGGACAGCAAGTAAGATTTCTATCAAAGTCATCCATGTAAAATTTGTTCAGAAGCATGCAGAAGGTACTAAATTGCTGCTTATCCAATAAATCTACTTTCTAAAATTTAAGTGGATGACAAAAGAGTAACATGAAGAAAGTGTTTCTCAAAATAAGGCCCTAAAGCCCAAAGGAATTCTGATGTGGGCTCAGTAGGAAACATTTGAAAGAAATGCCCTGTGTGAGTATTCTACCTTCTGAATGCCCAACGGCAAAGAGCGGCTCTTAAAACAAGATCAGAAACAAATCTCTGACATGTCAGAGTTCTCTGTGAGTTTACGTTGTGTCTACTGATTTTTGTTTTTAAACAAGTTCCAGGCACTAATAGAAACACACAGTCCCTGCAAATGAAAGCTCGAATCCGTATAAACATTTTCTTTTGATGTTTTCATTACTTTCCAATTTAGTTGTTTGAAGGGAAGATAACAGCTGACTCCAAACTGGGAAAAGTTACATCCTTCTATCATCATGTGGATGCCTCATTTCATTAGAAAGGTAACTTTCCCAAAACTTGGAGTCACATGTTATCTTTCCTTTAAATAACTACATTTGAAAGTAAAGAAAACATCAAAGGAAAATGTTTATGCGGATTCACATGTTCATTTGCAAGGTGTATGTGTTTCTGTTAATGCATGGAACTTGCTTAAAAACAAAAATCAGTAGACACAATGTAAACTTACAGAGAACTCTGACATGTCAGAAATATGTTTCTCATCTTGCTTTGAAGAGCCGCTCTTTACTGTTGGGCATTTAGAAAGTAGAATACTCACACAGGGCATTTCTTTGAAATGTTTCCTCCTGAGCCCCCATTAGAATTCCTTTGGGCTTTTGCGCCTTGTTTTGAGAAACCTTTTCTTCATGTAACTCTTTCGATGTCCACTTAAATATTAGAAAGTAGATTTGTGGTGTAATAATTTAAGATGTTGAAATGTGTTCCACTATGTATTTCACGTGTTGTCTGACTCAATAAAATAGCTTGACTAGGACATACAGCTATAATGTATGTGGTATTTGCAGATTCATAATTCTTACTGTTTTTTGAATGTCCCTGAAGACTACAAAATCAGGGGCCCAAATATATAGTAATGTAGTTTCGAGAGAAACAAAGTAGTCCAGCATGAACAATAGTCCACTTGGGGTCACAAAACTTGAATGCTCTCCAACGAGAAAGGCGTGATCCGGCGTCTTGTTCAATCCGTTCTTCTCTGCCCAAGGAGGAGCAAGGTTTTCAGCACTGTTTTTAACCAAGTTTGTGGCATAGATGTGATCTGTTTTATACAGCCTGGGCGGTTTCCTCTCCCTAATTGTCGAGCAAAATGAAAGTCAGGAAGCCCGAAAGAGTACAAAGCCCTGCCATTGTCCTTGCTGTTATTTGCCTCACCCTCTTCATGCATTTCGTGCATACCCTCATGGCTTTCAGGATTTGATGAGACTACTATCTGAGTGGGACTACAGCCATGGAAAATTGTTTTGTTTGCATCATGCGTTCATCATGCAAAGAATGCACCTGCATTGAACAAGTGTGTGGCACTTCTGCACCACGAGTTTGTAGTTCATAGATTTGTATAGCTTGCAACCAAACGGCCCCGTCAGGTCTGAGCAGACGGCACAATTAGCGTGCTCTCTGAATCACTGAGATGAAAACGAGTGGCCGTTAGCACCATGAACCTTTCTCTGGCGGAGACCAGCGCTGGGGTAGGTAGATTTATCCTCTGGAGAAGGTATGTTAGGATGTTCTGACACGTAGGATACCCGAGGAGTGTGTGGTGCACAAGGCACTTGACATATTGGCAGCCAGGGCACTTTAGGAGGTTTTCGGATCCAAAGCAGCCAACGAAGGTAGCAAGGTAGTTTGGGAGTTTCAGTTACAGAAAGGACTATGGTATGTTCTGCTACACCAGAAATCTTGCTGGGTTCTTCTATGCAAGACGCCTTAGAATATTCGCTCATGCAAGGCCACTTATGAGGGCCTGATACATAAGGTGGCTTATGATATTCTGTTATGTCAGGTACCTTAGTACGTTCCGGTATGCCAGGCCCTTTAGGTGTTTCTGGTGTACACAGTCCTTGAGGAAGTTCTTTAAGGTAAGGTAGTTCAGAAGCTCCTGTTGCAAGATGGACTGCAGTATGTTGTGGTACACACGGCACCTCAGGAGCTTCTGGTACCCAAGGCACACTGCGAGGTTCTGATATATAAGGTGCCTCACGAGTTTCTTGTATGCCAGGCACCTGAGGTTGTTCATAAATGCATGGCACCTTGAGCGTTTCTGGTACATAAGGCAGCTTGGCATGCTGTGGTGTGCCAGGTGCTTTAGACTTTCTGTTCCCACAAGTGTTTTAGTATGTTCTGTTGCACAAGTCACCTTGGGAGGCTCTGGTGTGCCAGGCACCTTAGGATGGTCTGTTATACAAAGCACCTTGGGAGGTTCTGGCCCCCAGGTGACTTTAGCATGTTCAGATGTACAAAGCACTTTCGGATCGCCTGGTGTAGAAGGCACTTTAGACGGTTCGGGAACGTCAGGCACTTTAGGTGATTCTGGTACACTAGTGTCCTGTGGAACTTCTGATATGAAAATTACTTTGGTAAGTTCCATTACAGAAAGTACCTTGGTAGTTCCTGACACCCCAGGTAGTGTAGGGGGCTCCGTCACAGAAATCGCTGTAGTGTGCGTTGTTACACAGGTCACATTACTAGGCCGTGCTCCCCTCGGCACTTTAGCATATTCTGGTGGGCAAGCGACCCTTGGTGTACCTGCTGCACAAGGCAAATTTGAACGTTCCGCTATACAAGACACCTCAGGATGTTTTGGAATGCCTGGTATGTTAGCATGTTCTGGATCCTCAGGCAGCCTAGGAGGCCCTGGTACATGAGGCCCTTTAGATGATTCTGGTCCACAAAGCACCCGAGGAAGTGGTGCTCTGGAAGGTACCTTAAGAGATTCCCTTACGGGTAGCTCTTCAGTATGGTTTGGTACCCAGGGCTCCTTAGGAGGTTCTTGTATGCAGTGCCCTACAGGAGATTCTGGGAAATAAGGCCCCTGAGAGGGTTGTGGCATGGAAGGCACCTTGGGATGTTCTGTTCTGCATGGTCCTTGAGGACATTCTGTTACATGAATAAGGTCAGTATGTTGTGGTACAGTATGCCACAGTATGCCTTGTGGTACCCAAGGCACACTACAAGGCTCTGATACATAAGGCGCTTTCGGAGTTTCGGGTATGTAAGGCACCTTGGATGGTTCTGGTACGTAAGGCAGCCTAGGGTGTTCTGTTATACCAAGCCCCTTGGCAGGTTGTGGCCCACAGGGCACTGTGGCATATTCAGATGTGCAGAGCACTTTAGGATGGTCTGTTATATCAGGTGCTCTAGGAGCTTCTGGAATAAACGGCACTTTAAGGTATTCGGGTGTGCACGGGACCTCAGGGTGTTCTGGGAGGCAAAGCCCCTGAGCATCTTGCGGTAAGCAAGGCACTTCCACATGTTCTGATATGCCAGGCAACTTCGGATATTTCGCTGCACAGGTTGATGTATCAAGTACCAGCTCAGAATCTGTATTAATCTCAGAAACCATATATCCATGTTCTAAACCCTGCAGAGTTAATGTAGGGCGAGGGTCTCTTTTTCATCCACACATTCTGTGGTGAGAAGATATTTATTCCCAAATGAGCGGGTCTCTGGAATTGCATTGCTCTTAGAAGAGAAAGACTGGATGGCATTTTATCCGTTCCTGTAATGTGGCCCTTTCCGGAGGAGGCTGGGCCATGGAGGTACTTGTGAAGAAAGGGCCAGAGAAGGATCGGCCAGGCAGGAGAATTGGCACGAAGGGCTTGATGGGCGAGGGTGGCCTGTCTGCCTGTACTGACCAGAGAGGGTGTGGTTTGACCCCGCTCCTTGCCAAGTAATTGCCGGTATTGGTGTGGCCCAGCTGGGCATATTGTAGGCTACTTAGTGTCTCTCGGGGGCTGGACACTGTGACTTTGGTCTGGAGCCCTGGACACGTATGTCTGTCTAACCTCAGTGCTGCCGGCTCTGAGGACACCTGCCCAGAGCTGCTGGGGATCTCGGGGCCTGGTGGCCTTGCCCACAGATCTTTTGAGTTTGAGTTTCATTGGTACCTGACCTCAGCGGGTATTTGGGTAGGTACCTTGATGTTGGTAGGTCCCAGGTGGATGGTCTTGGTTGGACTGTGACTGGGCTGGCTGTGACGGTTGGCTGTTGTTCGCATGGTGGGCTGTTGCATCTGGATGGTGCGAAGCATCTGCTTAGTCTTTCGGATATAGTTTTTCTGCCTGGGGTCCTGGGGTTGCGCCCTCGGCATGTAGAGAAGCAGCTCAGGACGTTCATCACCGAGTGCCTCCAGGCAAATGAGCTGGGGAGGCAGGCGGTGCTGGATTGTGATGTTTGCTCCGAGGGTTCCAAGTTCTGTTTGGGCATGTGGCCAGGAAGTGAGGTCCAATCACTTGGGGTCTAGTAACTGATAAGAAAGCTATAGCCCAACTTTGTCTTCATACCTAGTAAAACAGTGGCTAGTTATGGTATTATTTCTATGTGAGTATCTGTGAATCTATTTATCTATCATCTGCCTAGTAGTTTTTGTATTTTGCATGTTTGGTGTTGTGATCTTGCATCTGCACAATGAAATACTGGTATATTCTCAGGCTGTTTCTTTTAGATCAACACTAAGGGTCTCCCTAAGTCACAAAAGGGGTCAGGGTGGACTGTGTCTTGTGAGCTCCTTGCCTCAGTTGCCCCGAGTGCTGGAGTTACAGCCATCCACCGTCTGCCTCCTTCAGCATGCTCTGTGGAAACAGCACATCTGGGAAGACGCTGGCCCTCTCAGCCATTGCTGACTTCCTCACTTTGAAAGCAACGTGTGTGTGTTGATGCTTCTCACGGTGCTGGGAGGTCTTTTCCACCTCGAGGAGGCCTTTTTTCTGAACTATAGTGCTGGGGATTTGAACCTAGAGAGCCATGAAAATTTGGGATGCTTTTCTTTCATATCACCATTTCTATTTTATTAGGTAGTAGAGACTTTCTAGAAATTTGCACAATAGTTTTCCCTCAGAAATAAAAACGTTTGTTTCCACATGTAACATCTGGGGGTGGCGGTAGTGACTCCGTAATAGGTTGTAGCTTTGAGGTGCACACACGTGATTAATGATTCAATTTTAGCTAATGAATTCAGTACCAAAGTGTAGTGCTGAGTACAGTCACATACTGTATTTCCCCCAAATATTAGGTAACTGGAATGACCAAGCTGGAACCCCCCTGAGCTCATCATCACCGTAGTGATGACCAGGGTCATGCCGAAGATTGTATATCGGTCTTCTCCTGCTCCGTGGCTACTCTATAACAGCATGTAAACAAGGACAGGTTGTTGGGGTGGTCATTTACTTTCTGATTATTCTTACTGTCTGGAAAACATAAGAGTGGGCAGGACAGCACGTGGTGACGACATGGCAGACAGTCTTTGTAATCCCGCCAGTGGTGATCATGAGCATGTACATAGAGCATTTCAAACTTTCCTTTTGGCCCCTTGGAATCACTTCCTGTCCTCCTATCCCGATCAGCCCAGGACTATCTGTCCCAAGTGGGTAGTCTGCATTTTTTAGAAGTGAGGAAGCTATAGCCATTCAGGATGTAGTGTTTTTGTTTTTGAAAGAGCTTATTTACTCAGTATGAACTGCACTGAGGGGAGAGAACAGGCCCACAGCAACCCTCCACTGTCCCAAGGTGAGTGGACCTCGCAGGAGGAACAGCGCCCCCCCACAGGAGAGTCGCTCAGCATGATGGGTGGTGAACCCCCCAAAAGGTCACACAAGGGCAGTGAGCTTGCGAGCTTTAATGGTAATGACACATCTGGATTGAAAGCACAGACCCATAGACTGTGAGATTTAATAACAGTGTTAGTAAATGTTTAATAACCAACATATATGTGCATGTATGTATATGTATTACATGTACACACATGTGACTTACACATTGTGCTGTTGTCAAAGGCATGGAACACAAAACTTATGAAGAATAACATAGTGCTTTTTCTAAAGAATTCTCAGAAGGCTTTTTACATTTTTGAATCATAGTTGGCCTGTGTTCGCAATCGACAAACTGATGTAGTTCCAACAGCAGCGCCGGATGACACTTTCCTCTAGGTTAAACAGTAACAGAAAAGTGCAAACAACTGAAAACTGTGGGAGTGTGTTACTGGCTCCTCCATGATACGGGTGACCTCTTTGCTGACTGTAATAACGATGGATTTGGGTAGGAGAAGAACATCTCTTCTGTGTGCAGCTCACAACATGACAGGTGTCGAAATGGTGTACGTTTACATTGAGCTCCTTTTAAGCCTTATTTTTCATTTTCTTTAGATTGTATTCAATCAGTGAAACTGCACATCAAGGGCTGGTGTGCAGCATGTGATTTTTATGGTCTAAAACTTCTACCAGGCCTGGGATTAAGCTCAGCAGTACAGCACTTGCCTGACATGTGTGAGCCCAGGGTCCATCCCCAGCCCCACAAGCAAACACACACACCCTCTTACCATGGTCTTTCTTTTTTTTTTTTGTCTTTTTTTTTTTTTCTCATTTTTATCGGTACCAGGGATCGAACTCACGACTGCCTGCTTCCAAGGCAGGTGCTTATGCCGCTGAGCTAAATCTCCAGCCCCCGCCATGATCTTTCTACACTAGCAGTGTGGAGTGACCAAATAAGAAATGGGAAGCGATGACCAGTAGCGCAATTTACAGCATTTATGCCTTAGGGGAATAAAACAGGTAAGAATAGTCTTGAGAACACAGATAATAATAACAATATGAGCCGGCTTTAGTAGCGCACACATGAATTCCCAACACTCTGAGAGGCTGCAACAGCAGAATGTTAAGTTCAAGGCTAGCCTGCGTAACTTAGTCACATGCTTCCTTAAAATAAAAATGCCAGGAATGTAGCTCAGTATGAGGATGGTACTGGGGGAAGAGATCGGATAAAAGCCTCTGCATGTCTCTGGTCACCTGCCATGTGAGTGACCCCAGCCTTTCAGTCTGCATAAGCATCCCTACCACTGTCCTAATCTGACTTTGACCACATAATCTCTGCACGTGATAAAGTGAATGGTTTTACTGCACTTAGTTATGAGTATTTTGTCACCAGCAATGGAGTGGGCCTCATAGAAACAAGGGCTACCTTGCAGCAGGTCGTGGGGCGTCCCACAAAGAGGGAGTTCCTCAAAGATCATAGCTGGTGGATGCTTTTTAAGACGCTGCCCCCATTTACAATGTTTACAACCCTTTCATTTATTCAACCGTTAGAAAGTGTAGCCTCCAGCGAGTGCTGGTGTGTGACTGGCACTGTTCAGTGCTGGATAAAATCTTTGTCCTTGAGTGTTTGTCCTTTAGTGGAGAAGGCAGACAATATGCAGACAGATCAACCTTGTTAGACCAGGCCTGAGGAGAAGAAGCAAACAGACCAGGAAGAGGAAAGCAGTGTCCGAGGTGAGGCTGGACCTTCAGAAACCATGGCCAGGGAAGGCCTCCTGGAGAAGGGGACTTTAATGAAGTCCTGTTTTGGAAAGGCCCGGGCTGGCCCCACCTGGCCCCACCTGGCTGTCCCCTCTGGGCCTGCACACTGTCACTGCTCACGCCCAGTCACCTAGGGAGGCCTCAGGGCCACCTTAGGGTCCAGGAGTTTGGGCATCTGCAAACACCGCGCAGCTGCAGCCTGTTCAGTGGGAACCACCTCACTAAAGGGCGATGCGGCAGCGAGATACAGAACCAGAAGGAGGCCCTCACCTCTCCCCCTAGTGACGCTTTTCTAGTCCTGGAAGGAAATGCTACAACACGGAAAATACGCCACTGGGACCAAGGTGTGGAGCAGTGTTACTCATAGTATTTAAAAAACTGAAATTTTACCTACTCAACCCTTAGAAACAGAATTATAATAGTGACTAACTTTTAGCAATATTACGTGACAAGCACTGGGCCAAGCACCTTATTGGACTCTCTCACTTCTCACTCACAAAAGCCAGAGTCAGACGACTTTATCCCTATTTGTTTGTTTAAACAAAAAAAGCTTGTTCAAAGTTATACATGATTAATCACTTCTAATGTCATGTTAGCTTTTATAGAATTAAATATAATGCAAGGAGTATGTCATGATGGTCTCTTGAAGCCTTTTTAAATTTTAATTTGTACAATTTACAAAAACTTAAAATATTTGATCATATTTAAATTTGCATAAAATGAATTCCCCATCATATATAGGAACAGAGTATTTATTTTTAGAAACTATATAAAATTTTATTTGTGCTTATAATGAGAATGATTATTAAATTCTCACCAGAGTTCCCTAATATCGATATCTAAGGCATTTAACTGGTGTGAAGTGCACTTAGCAAATTCAAGAAATGAGGTTTGTGTCCCACTTGCTGTGTGATTTGTGTCTCACCCTAAGGACTTGTTAGTCCGTGTGCCTTTGAAGGATCAGGCGTTAAGACTTACCACTGTGAAAGCACGTGCCATCTGAAAACGTAGGAATTCACTTTGCCTGCAATATGAGGAGAACATGAATAAAAAATTATAGCAGAATAAGGAAAATTCCGGAATATAATAACCTGAATCAGTAAAACAGTGGATTACTAATTAGGTTTGAAGCTTAATACATTCACATGGTCTATTGCATTTAAAAATGAAAGATGTCCTAATCACTGTTAGTAAAGCATACTTGTTTCAGACCATTTCATTTGTTAGACTAGTTCATAAGCTAGTAGTTTGGATCATCTGTTTCTTTTCTCAGCATGTTGATATAGTGGCGCTGGGATGACGTGTGGTCATTGGACAATTTCCATGTAGGCTGAGGACTGTTAGTACACACAAACTCACCCACTTAGCTGCTCTGTCCCTCTTTATAATAAACGGAGGTCACTTACGTGCCTCATAAATTACATTACCTAGAACTTTGTTCTATAAAGTCTTGTGATTAGAATTCTTATGCAGATCTTCTGATTAAACATTTCTTGTGTCCTGTTAACTTTTACAGAATTAAAAATAATGCAAGAAGGTATATCATAATAGTCTCTTCAAGTTTTTTCAGGGTTTTCAGTTCATTTTTTAGGTTTTCAAACAGCATTTTTGATACTATAAGTTGAAAAGCCAGCTTACTCAGTTAGGAAAAAGTGTCAACTGTGGTTTTGGAAAATAACTTTGAACACTTCCTGTGTATTACATAGGTGTATTAGTAGAGTATGTGTGATTCTGTATATGTGTATGTATATGCTAAGTAAAGCAATATTTTGTTTGTCTCCTGAGAGGTATTCAAGCCGTATAAACCGATCTTAAAGGGAAGTAAGATCTCACTGCCTTTCTGCTCTTTGTCTGATTCCTCAATTTCACAAAGTATGTTCCCATTTCTAATAGAAATCACCACCTTATTCTGAAATGCGTCGCACTTTCAGTGTTTGTTGTTTTTCTGTCATGGTCTCATCTTTTCTTAACACATGAATGTTGTAAAGGCAAGCTCGAAATTTTGTGCTCTAAGAAGATCCACTGAATCTCTCATAAAAATTTTTATTTCGCTTTGGAAATATAACATTTAGCAATTTTATGAATAGGGACTACTATGGATATGTTTTATGATTCTCAATTATTTTCAACAATTAGGATCATTTTTATTGCCACGTTGTTTCTCATTTCTAGAACATTAAAGATAAGTGTAAATTTTAGGTAAATTGTTTAAATGATCCCTTCTAAGCATTCTTTCCACCTTATTATTTTACTTTTTTTTTTTTTTTTACTTTTAGCTTGTTTAAGTCATTTTTAGTAGGGTAATTTCACTTATATTCCAGTCTCCATAGTAACCATAGTAGTTTCAGTTCTGTCTTATTTTTGTTATAATCTTTTTTGGTTGTTTAATTATCCTATCTCCTTTTAAAACATATCTTCAAGTGTTTTTATAATGTGCACTTTAATGATTATCTGTTCATTAGAGTTTTTTAAACATGAGCAACTTATAAGGAAGTTGAATTTCTTAATAAAAATTAAGAAAATTATTTGGGGCTGGGGATTTAGGTAAGTTGCATAAGCACCTGCCTATCAACTGCAGGGTCATGAGTCCAATCTTTGGAAAAGAAAGAAAGAGAGAGAGAAAAAAAAGAAAGAGAGAGAGAGACATCTAAGCGTCCACTCCCACAGAGCAATGCATGCCCTCTGGTCCTTGTGAAAGACCTTGGCTGCACCTAGTTCTGGATTTGGCTTAAGGTACCTTGCGCGCCCATCCCCCTCTGCTTCTCTGATGTATGCTGGTGAGATTGTCAGCCTCCCCCTCGCCCTGACCTCATGGCCTGGGGCGCCATCTGCATCCACCAAGCAGCCTGCCTGTCTGCTCCACCTCTCACTATTGGATTTATAATCCTAATGAGCATGCATTTCTTTTTCCAACTTCCAAGAAGAGAGATGTCCACACGCTGCCCATCCACTGCTGGGTTCTGGCAGAGCAGCAGGTCCTCCCCTCCTCACGCTGTGGCTGCAGGTGCCTCCATGATGCTACTGCCCTTTCTGCAGGGGAAAGCCAGTTTTGCCAGACAAGCCCTAACTCTCTTCAAAACCTCATCGACACTAGTCATGCAACACAGTTTTCATTAACAAAGAAAATGAAAATAGTCCCCAAGCAGAGCTCGTTTGAGATACTGGGTCCATGTAAGTTTATTTCTCATTATTTCTCAACTAAGCCTTCTCTTCTCTTCCTTATCTACCCAACGTCTGGACAAACCTATAGGAGGATTTAGAGGATTTCAAGCATTGAATACTGACTTGAAAAATCATCATTCTTTGGTGTGAATGACAAAAATATAATTCACACAGGCTGATGTAAACCTGGGACTTTTTCAGCCTGCAAGAGTTGAAAGGCAACTCCAGCTTCAGGCAAAGTCAGATCCAGAACACCCAGCAGCCAGGTGAACAGCTTTCTGTATCTTTTACGTCTTCTATATCGAGCTAAGAAAGGCTTTCTAAAACAGTTTCTCTTAACAGGCCCATGACCACACTGTATCAGCTCAACACAGTCAGCAAAAACAGTTTCTCCTGTAGTCCACTTAGGGTTACCAGACTTAGCTAATATCTGGGACATAGTTATACTCTAAAGTTACTCATTCTTGAGTCGAAAGGCTAAGCATCCTATAATTTGACACGGGGGCAAGCTAGGGACATTTGAAAATTCCTGGAAGAGGAGGAGGCAGGCATGCATCACCAGTGGCAAATGCACCCTTTCTAAGTCACTGGGACACAATACTTGGCACCCCAAACTTAAAGGAGGAAAGCCTTCTGTTGGCTCATATTTTCAATCCACAGTCCACCAGCTCCAAGGCAGAACAGCACAGCAGAGGGGCACAGAGCAGGAAACACTGCTGATGTCACAGTGGTAGGACATAGAAAGCTAGAGGCTGAGTTGGGAGGTGCACCCACCCTCGTGGGTTATGCCCCAGTGAAGGCCCTTTTCCAAGGAGATCCCACCTCCTAACAGCAACTCACCTATATTGCCCGCATGATTCGGCCACCATCCGAAGGCACCACCTATAACCTCGTGGGTCCTTTGGAGAATGCTCTCCTTCTAAATCAGAACAGGCTTCCCCTTAATAATCAAGATGTTGACCCTAGAAATAAAGGGGATGACCCCTACTCAGACAAAACACACCTTCATCTCTTTCTTTCTAAGTTCTATAATCATTCCATGCATTCATCTGCTAGGACCATCAGAACAGTGTTAGCACTCAAATCACAACATTTTATTATCTCACAATCGGGCAGGCCAGCGTGGAGGGTCCCGGTGACTGCACGGCAGGTTTCCACGGAGGAGTCTTCCAGGTAGTTACTTGGTCTTTTGTGAGCACCTGTGTCTCAGTCCCCTCTTCAGCCAGGGACATCAGTCCATTGGAACAGGACCTACCTTCATGATCTCTATTTGATGTCTTAGTCAGTTCTTTAAGGGCTCTCACCTTTGAATACAGTTACTGCTTGGGGAACTAAGGCTTAGAGCTTCAGTGTGTGGATTTGGAGAGTGGGGACAGGACACCTAGTTCACCCTGTAAAGCTCCCCTCTATTCTTTTTCCGTAAGGGTGAGCACTGAGGGAGGTGAGGCTTGTCCCCATCCCAGGGCTGGGCAGCCACGGGACTCAGTATGAAGACTTGTGCCAACCCCAATGGAAAGTGGTCCCTGGAGTCCTGCCTCCACCCCTTGTCCCCAAACATCCCTTCCTAGACAGGACACAGCAAACCAGCCTGGGCCCCGCTCCTAGCACAGCCCAGACACCCAGCCCATGACAACATTTCTGAAATTGTTTCTGGAAAGGAATGAAACCAAGAAAGGGAACAAAAATCCCCCTAAATGGTTTAAAGAGACTTAGCTAAAGGAGGACCAGCTCACAAGCTCCTGTGATTTGAAGTGACAAAGGCTCTTTGGAAGGCAAAAATGATGAGGCTATGGATGTGCAAATGAGCCTACAAGAACCAATCAGAAGGGTGAACTACAAAACAGAAAAAGACCTAGACAACGGCGTGGAGAGCAGGGAATATGTCAGTTTCTCTCCTTCATATGAAATTCATGAGCAAGGCGTACAGGAAATTTTGTTGGTTTTGGTGGTGGGAGAGAATTGTAAATATGTATAATATGTAAATACTTTTTGTAATAAAGGCCCATGAACATAAATGAGTCTGTTTGCAGCAAAGCTGTGAGCTGGATGGGATGTGAATATAACCCTCATCACTGTGCAAATTAGCATAACACTTACAAGGCTTTCCTAAGCTTGGGAAGGCAATGCATAAATTCCCGTGAGAAAACGTATCTGTGACCCCCACAGGGGTTGAGTCTAGGTGGGCTGCACCCCAGACAGTGCTGAGCCACATCCCCAGATCTGATATTTCCTTTGGAAATAAGGTCTACATTGCCCAGGCTGGCCTTTACCATTGCAGTCTTCCTGCCTCAGCTTCCCATGGAGAGTAACTGAAAGTACAGGCCCAACATGTTTCTTTCCCTTTTCCTTGCACACCCCGATGAACACGGGCCCCTCCACGGAGCTCACACTGGGGGTTAACTCAGGGGCTTGCTACATCTCCAGCTGCCCAGGCTGGGCTTCAGTGTGTGATACTCTTGCCTCAGCCTCTCAGAGGGCTGAATTTACAGGCCTGCACCACCAAGACTTACTTCCTTCCTTCTTTCCTTCCATCCCATACATTTCCCGAAAGACCTGAACTATGCCCTGTCTTTCAATACAAATGTGTAACTTTACACAGCATCAACGAGCAGGTGACTTTATGGCTTTGGAGTACTATTGACCAGGTACAGATGAGCTATAAATGAAAATATAGGCGATATTATGTGAATGTCTAGTGCAGAGTGTGAGATACCCACCCTAGGGGTGGAGCCAGCATAGGATGTAAGGGCAGGAAGGGGTATCTCTATTTGGCCAATTTGCACCTTGTTGTTTGTGGAGGCCATGAATGGCTGCCCCGCCATGCCATTTTGCTTTGGAGCCAACTGTGTATAGACTAAAGCTTCCAACCTGTAAGAAATAAACCTTCCTTCCTAACTTTGGGTGTCATGTATTTGTTGCAAGGAGTAAAAGTAACTAAGACATCTTTTCTGCCCAGTTGATTGTGGGCCGCGTACATACACAGGTTCTAATCCCTCAAAGTGGTATCACCTTATATTACAAAATGGACCTTGCAGATGTGGTTAAGGATCTTGAGGTGCAGAGATTACCAGATGTTAACTTTTGAAGTCATCAACTACTTAAAGTTTTTATTCACAAAATGGGAATGGAAGCGTATAAAGTCCAAGCTCAGGTATTCTGAGCAAAACCTGTCCAAAGCTCATTTACACACAAATGAACAGAAAAATCTTAACAGAACTCTATTTTTTATTATATCTTAAGTTATTCAGCTAACATGAATATATTTTCTTTATAAACCAACATTCTTTTAGGTAAAGACAACTGAAATCCCTTACCAGCACTATATACTCCCACTGCAGACTCCTCCCTTGTTTTTTCTAACTCTCAGGAATGAATGTATCATTCGAAAGTGCAAATTTCAACTATTTTGTCAACAAACTGTGGAACATAAACATATTTGGTTATCAAGGATGCAAAACAATGAGGTTGAGGATATTTATTTTGTGATTTCCTTGTTGTGTGACTGGAACGAGCCCAGAGCAAAGTCTTCCTCCTTCTATACACAAGGGAAAGCAATCTCAGAGGAGTTCCTTCTTATAGTTCATAATTCTGTCTGGAACTCTGCCTCTTCCTTTCAACATTCAACTCCTTGTCAGAGTAGACATGAACTGTGCCAAAAGGCTGGCTGTCTGGAGCAGTTTCAATGACTCCTTCTAGGTCGATGTGGTGCACACCAGAAGGATCTTCAGAGTAGCCATCGTCATGTATGTGTCCAGCAAAGAAACACCACACACTTGTGAGACCATAATTCTCTGTAATTCCCTCCTGTCTTAAAATAAGATCGCGTTCCTCCCACTCTAGAAAGGGGGGGACTGTGGCGTGGATACATCTGATGTGTTGACACCGCTCTCAGCAGTAAATCCTTCAGAAGGGCGATCTTCTCCTTCAGGTTCTGCAGCAAAGTCCGGATGGCCACGGTGAGCTGTGAAGGAAAACACAGCCTGAGGCTTCCAGTCCAGGGATGCGCAGTCTGCTAAATCTACCGGGTAAATCCGGCTGCAGTCATGGACAGGCTGGAAAAGATGCTTAGTGTCCCAGGGACAAATGCAGGAGTGAGATGGTGACCTGGTCCAGCATGCCGCTACGTCTTGGGCGCTCCCAAAAGCCTGCCTAAGGGCAACCTGGTCTGTATCTCACAGTGGACTCTGACTGGAAACCGCCAATCTATCCTCCTGCTCAGCTGAATTCTGTCCCTGAGCGCTACCCATGGACCCCATTTATCTATCCGGAGGCCATGCAGGAAAGTATCACCGAAAATCTCCACTCAACTGCAAAAAACCCCACAACTCCCTCAACCATGATTCAAACAACACAGCGCTTTCTGAACCAGGCACTCAAGCGGTGTATTTACAACCATTTGAACGGTTTATAGCAGTGTTCTTTTTATACGAAAGGAATATGAACACGCAGGACTCTTTTTCCAAGACTCCGAGTTTTCTCCAACTATTCTAAAAGGCCAGAGGACACTTCTATTTGTGAATCAAATGTGCCATATTAGACAATAGAGAAGCACAGGGGAGTGGCTTTCTGGAATTTGGAAATGTGAAAAGTAAAATTGCCCACTTACGTGAAAACATATTAGACCACAGATGGATGTGTCACAAAGCCAGAACACTGCAGGTTTCACTCGCTTCTTGTTAAAAGAAGACGCAATATAACCTGGGTAGAAGCCTGCCCCTCCTTACCTACCGGCGTGAGGCTGCCTATGGTGGACACATGTCAAAAATCACTCTAAGGTGTCCACAGCCAAGGGAAAAGGCATCTAACTGTATTCTGGTTCCTCTGGAAACCAAGAAGGAACTGCCTAATGTTCATAGGGATACACCAAGGAAAGCAGATCTCTTCTCACTGAGAAAGCACAGAGCAAAACAAAAAAGTACAAGATGGTTTCAGCACTGGGCACCTGAAGCCCTCTAACCAAGAGGCTGTGGACAGCTGGGGCAGCATGGTGAGACTGTCTCAAATAAAAAACATAAATAAAATAAAACAGCAAAAAATATACACACACACATACATATACACACCATTCCATGCCTATAAAAACCATATAAAATTAAAGACCCAAAAGCATCCAAGAGATGAAACAGTACATGGTCACTGAGAAGTATGACTCAGTCAGGTGTGGTGGCATATGTCTATCATCCCAGTACTTGGGAGGCTGAGGCAGGACTGCTGTGAGTTCGAGGCCAGTCTGGGCTACCAAGTGAGTTCAGGGCCAGCGTGAACAGCATAGGGAAATCCTGGCTCAAAAAGACACCCCCCCCCTCCAAGAGTACAATTTAATTCTCAATCTGTCAGCGTGGAAGATAGCCATCATAATTTCTTAAAAGAAGAATTTAGTTCTGATATGTCTCCCAAGCAGGAAATGGTGGCCCATGCCTGTAATCCCAGTATTTGGGAGGCTGAAGCAGGAGGACTGCGTGAGTTTGAGGCCAAGTCAAAAAGCAACAACAACAAAAAGGAACCCAAGCAGAGAAAAAATAATACAAAAACTAAACACACAAAAATGTCAAGGATTTTTTTTTAAGCAGTGAAATTTCTTAATACATTACAAGAAAACAACTATTTTTATGAACAAGAAAAGTGTTAGTATCATAATGAAACAGAAGCTTGCAGAGCACAGGAAAAGATGGAAAGCCTAATTAGAAATTCAAATTAATCTGGTCATTAAAAAAAAAAGGAGCCAGGGGTGGTGATACACGCCTGTAATCCCAGCACTTTGGAGACAGACGCAGGAGGATCACTGCAAGTTCAAGGCCAGCCTTGACTATACAGTGAGCTCAAGATACATACCAATTTCTTTTATGGATTATAAATGTAAAAAAAAGTTAAATATGAGTAAAGCAAATTCAAAATTACATTAAAAAGACAATCTGGCATTGCCAGGGAGAATTTATACTAGTCATTTAAGAATAGGCTGATGCCAGGAAACCTAAAAATAAAAGCTTATGGTACTAATGATTAAAAACAGAATAAACATGATGAATCCAGTACTGGAGAAATTAAAATCAAAATAAAAAGAAAGAAAGATCACTAACAATAAAATCATGACTAGTAGACTGTCATTTAATGTGGTCTGCAAGTTCTAGCCAATACAACAGGAAATTAAAAGATATATACATATATATATATATATATATATATATATGAAAGCCTCTCTTGCAGGTTAATGGATTTGTACTTGGGAAAGTACAACTGAAAGATTACTTGAAAGAACAAAAGAATTCAGCACACTGATCAAGCATGAAAAAATTAAATACATTCCTAAATTTTACATTTTCTTAACTATTACTTTCTAACGTCACAAGGAATCCTACAAAATCTAAAATCTCTGCATCCTCGCGCCTGGCACATGTAACTACAGTAGACACTGCTGGAGGAATGAACGCATGAATGAGTAAGAGGAAATATTCAGTATTATAAACACGGTAAGTTTTGCCCACTTTTTATTTGAGAGGCACTGAGAATGGTGGCACAGAACAAGATTTTTTTTTTTTTTTTGTCTTTTTCCTTTTTATCGGTACCAGGGATTGAACTCATGACTGCCTGCTTACAAGGCAGGCACTTATGTCGCTGAGCTAAATCCCCAGCCCAAGATTTTCTTTAATGGCACTTCACAAAACTACTCTGAATGTTAGGACATATGAAGAAAAAAAATGACATCATAATAAAGGGACCCCTAAATAATCAGATATCACGTCATTATTAAAAAGCAACAGGAATGTGACACCGTCAGCTGCCACCTGTGTCGTCAGTGCGACAGAGCAGAAGGCCTGGGCACCCTGCAGCTGTGTCACAGTTTAATGGGTGAGATATGTACACTGCGCATCTCAGCAAATGGGAAACCTGGCAAACGGGGAAAAATAAAACTGAGACATTACAACACACCACAATAAGCTCTTCACATTTACACACGCACACGCACACCCAAACACACACACAGCCTTAGATATAGGAAGGTTTGCAGACCTCCAGGCTGAAAATAATTTAAGTACCAAACCGGTCATGGTAATAATGCATGTTTTTAATTCCAGTGCTTGGGAGGCTCACTCAGAGTTCAAAGCCAGCCTGAACTACACAGCAGGATCCTGCCTCAAAACACCAAAAGAGAAAAAAGAAAAAATCACCTAAGCACTAATTTTCTTCTGGTATTACCTTGGGTGTCTTTTCGCCTCTTCTTTCATACTGATTTCGTTGTTGAATTTTCTCAGCAATGTCTTGGGCAATTTGACAGGTGGAATCGTACGTGGAGAACCTAAATCAAAGTCGTAAAAGAGAAAGATGTGTAAGGTTCTCTAAAAAAGAAATTCTTATGAGCAGACACAATGCCACATGCCTATAGTCCCAGCACTAGGGAGGCTGAGACAGCAGGATCATCATGAGTTTGAGGCCAGCTTAGGCTACACTGAGTGTTTTAAGGGCAGCCTGTATAAAGACCAAAAAAAAAATTAAAAAAAAAAACAAAGAAATTACGCTGAGTTTTTAATTCTAACCACAGATTCAAACAGGAAAGAAGGGTAATAAACAGACAGGCATAGCAGTACATACTGAAAGGTACTTATTACGGCCGGGCACCCTTCCAAGTGTTTTATTTGTAACCACTCACTCAGTGCACTCAAGAACACACAGAGTGGGCGCCGCTACCACCCACATCTACACACTAGGAAATGCGCCCCAGAGAGGCAGCCTGGCTCACCCAGCCGGGACCCAGCAGAACAAGGCAGCCTGGCCAAAGTCCGGGGCTCTAACCACCTTGGTACTGGGCCGTGATAAAGCATTTTCGTAGTAACAAACATTCCTGGAAGGCCTGCGCTGTACAGACCCCTGTCTGGGTGCTGTAAATGAACGTAGCCGTGAACAAAGCGTGCAGTCCCCACATAAAAACGCTGTATGTCGGGTGCTGATGCCCGCTAAAAGGAACCTGCAGCAGGACAGAGAGTAACCAGGAGCTGCCAGGAAGACTGGTGACCCTCAGGCGAGGCGAGGAGTGGGTCATGCAGACTCCACGGTGCAAGAGCGGCAGGCACTGTGCATCCCGGTGGCAAAGGTTACACATCTGCCTGACACCGGAGTCTGCTAGAATTCTCTCCAAACACTTAACCGACCTCCCACTGGCTGTGTCAGCGCTGGAGCTGTTGAGGGGCTCACAGTGAACCCCAGCGGCCCTGGTCTTTCCCTCTGTTACAGCACCTTCGCTTGCTTCCAGGAAAATACTTAACCATGCACAAGTGTTTCAGTTCTCCACCAGCCGGTCTGTTTCTAAAGGTGAGGACCCGCTGAGCTTACGTGATGAGCATATTTGAAATATCAAAAATCGCTGTTTGCCTTAACGTCCCAGTTTTTGCTTGAGAAAAGAAAACAATCCGTGTCCAACTCCCATGTAACACTTGTGCATAGAGGGAACTCGGTAAATGATGTTTTGCTTTGCTTTGTTTTGTTTTGGAGATAGGGTTTGGCTATGTTGCCCAAGCCAGGCTCAAGATCTTGGGCTCCAGGCATCTCCCACCTCAGCCTCCCAGGAGCTGAGACTTACGTGCACCAGTGTGCCTGGGTGCGAAGTGTTTTGTTTTGTTTTGTTTTGCTTTGTTTTGTTTTAAATGAAGGAAAACTCCACAGCCGCATCCCTTAGTAATCTTACTAACCCTAATAAAATACATTACACACACACATAACATCATTCATACATATTCAAGCATATATGTGGATGAAAACAGAGCAGGGAAGACCACACATAATTACGAAAACAGAAGGCGAGTTGGGTCCTGGTCCCAGCCTCAGCATATTTTGCTTCTTTTCCTCCACGCTGTCATCTATAAAACAGCAGCTTAGTTTTGGCTCTGTGGTCCCAGATCAAACAGGGAACAATCCACAACAAAACCTTGCCACAGGTAAGTCTGAGTATTTCTGGAGCTGGGAGATGGAGAAATTACTGTCGGCTACGGCACTCAGCTAGGCTGGCCCCGAGGTGACATCTTGAGTTGACCGAGGTTAATGCAGGCCTGTGAGCTGCAGATGCTGAGGAGCAAAACACGCTCTGCGTGGTGCGAGGCGTGCAGAACAATCACATGGGAAAGCACGACAACACGCCAGGCATGTTCGGCGGTGGCTGCCGTGGCAGGAGACTGAAGCAGGAAACAGCGGAGATGCTGCAAGCTAGTTTCCGCAGAGCCTGGAAACCAGCATAACACTGCTGGGCTTAAAGGAGAATGTGAGAGCCCAGGGGACTCTTTAGCACGTTAAAAGGAGCCTTGAAAAGCTTACGTGAAACACAGAAGGTCACACAGCTAGCACAAACTGCCAACCATCCTGCCTGCCTTCCCCCAGTGCCTGTTCTTACTCCCATCTTAACAGCAGGGTTCTCAAATTTGGCTGCACCTTTAAATCACAGAGGAATTTTTTTAAAAGAAAGCCTGGCTGTCATCCCACCCCCAAGCACTCTGATTAAATCAGGTTTGACCCAGGTGTGTGGAGTTTGGAACGCTCACCACGTGTTTCCAATCTACAGCAAAGCTTGAGGAACGCCGGCCCAGTAATAACGGACAGAGTCCTCAGGATGTCAGCCACAGAGGCGCATAAATTATTAAGAAAATTAATCTGATTTTTTTTGAGATAGGGTCTCGCTTTGGTAGTGCAGGCTGGCCTTGAACTCACAGTGATCCTCCAGCTCAGCCTCCAGCGCACTCGGTGTGCAGCACCCAGCCCAGCTCAATTGACATGAACAGAAATGAGAGAAAATTAGAAGGTAGCAACAGGAGGCTAGCAGAGTTCTCAGATTATTAAATTCTGCACCCAATTACCAGTACTTACTACTTGCAAAATACTAGGTTATAAAGGGCTGGATGATGGTGGAAATGGACACCAGAAAGGGGTTATCAACAATTTGTAAAAGAAAGAACCAATGGGAATTAGTGAATACTCTGATCTAAGGAGTGAGACAAGTGAACAGTTATGTGTTCAGGAGGAAGTCACTGAAAATATAGTGATGCCCCCAGACATGCAGAGGGACTGGCAGGAGCAAAAGAAATTTCCAGACTGGGAGTGAGGCTTCTGCTTTGACCAGAAAAGCAGTGGAAGGACAGGTACATTAGTATGTGTACAATTTAAAGCACAGCTAAAGAAAAAAATGATGTGAACAGCAGCGATGAAAAGAAAATGGCAGAACAGTGATAATCACAAAAACTGAGTGATACAAACGAGTCCATTATACAATTCTACCGCAGTATTTGCAATAACAGCTTAAAAAATAAACCACCCACCCCTCCCCCTCCCCTGCAAAAAACGGCCAATCCTTAGCAAGTCCAACCAGGATACTGAGGTCTAACCCCTTTTTTCCAGGAATGAAGCCAGGCACTGTGGTGCACACCTCTAATCTAGGCTGAGGTAGAGGATCACTAGGAGTTCTAGGCCAGTCTGAACTAGAGACCCTCTCTCAAAAAACAAAAATTAAAATAAGTTGCTTCAGTAGTAAGACTAATTAACTTTAGCAAACAACCAATTCCTACAGAGGCATCACCAATTTCTATTAAATAGTAAGCTTAAGACTTGCTTTGATAAGGCATTAAAAAAGTAACTGCTATATTCTCTAAGTATTAGAACACAGCTCACAAGGAAGGCACTGATTTGCTATGATTTTCAATAACACAGAGACAAAACTGGAATACCTTTTCCTAGGGTTTTTTGTTTGAGATACAGTCTTGCTAGGGAGGCCAGATTGGCCTCGAACCCCAGCGACCCTCCTGCTTCAGCCTCTGGAGGGCTGTGATGACAGGCACACACCATCACGCTCAGCTCCTGGGTTTCCCCAAGTCCCTTTCCCTGTTCCTTTCTACCTTCCTCACCAGCAGCCCGCTGTGTAAGGCAGCGGACTAGAGCACAGCAAAGGTCTACTTCACTGTCAACTATCAAATGTTTGTCACTCGAACCACTGAGAGTAACAGGAGGGCTACAGTTTTTTGGATTTTGTTTTGTTTTGTTTTTTTCCCCAAGAGGCACGAGAGTCACTGACCCCTTCTACCAATTTAAATGGGCACCTGGGAGAGAGGGTCCTCCTTACTGCTAAGCTTCATTTCTTTCTTTATGTGTGAACTGTGAGAGTGTGCTTCCAGAAAAGCAGAGAGCAACTTGGCCAAGAGGTCTCAAGGGCCTTAAAAATGTTCATAGTTAACCCAATCTGCTCCTGCGACACAAGTCCAAGGAAACAGACGGGGATAAAAGGACGGTCTTTGGAATAGCAAGTCTCAAAATCACAAAGACGAAACCTCCAGTTATGTTCCGATGACACAGTGATATGCACCATAAAAATTGTTTCCAGAAAATATTTAATGACACGGAAAAATGCTTCCAGTTTTCTAAAACACATATATTATATAGAATACTAAATTTTCTGTAAAAATCAGTCATGGCTTTCCCCAAGTAACAAAATTAACAATGTGATTTATTTTCTTTCTGCAAACATTCTGTACTTTCCCAATTTTCTACCAGTGGTGTACACTATTGTTTTTAAAAAGCAATATTAAATTAAGCAACTGGCCCAGATAATCTAGCTGTCAAGTAATTTTGACCTGGTCTCTATTCTCCTAAAATCCAAATTATCTGTAACTTAAACAATTAAAAACTATGTTACAAACACCAATATAAGGCATATACTCTCAACAAGAATTTCATAGAGCTATAACATGTTATAAATTATTTAAAAAGTCAAGCCTGTTACGGACAGCAATTTGTTCCTTGGGATTTGAGTTTGTACCTTTAATCATTCAGTCTTGGGATTCAATTGCTGAAATTATAACCCTTATCCACTGGGGTCATTCTGGACTGTTGTTTTTCTCCCTACGTTGTTGCTGAGGAATAGTTTTAACAACATTGATGACACTTTCGGGGAAGAGTAAAATGTCTTATTCCAAGTGCTTAAATCCCCTCCCGGATTCCGACAAGATTTTTGCAGGGCCCACAAGATCTGCATCTAATCAATAGCTGATCTAATCTAAGCAATAGTTGTTTGCTAAAGCTGATCAAGGATACTGAACCTCGGTTTCTCCAATGAAGAGGTCTTAGCAGACAGACTGGCAGTCCTCAAACGATATTTCTACCTCACTTTACAGAAGTCCAGAGAAGTCTGCACCAGGGAGCCCCACAACCGGGATGGGCAGGAAACGCCTGCAGCGAAAAGCAACCCAAAACGGCTGTAGGAATACTCAGAGTTTGGGGTCCTGCCCTCAGTTCCTCAGGAGTCCACCTGGTCCCCTTCCTGGGTCATCTGAACAGGGACCAAGTGTGGTGGGCTGTGGCTTGGCAGGGGTCCCCGGGATCCTCATGATCCCTTCCCTCATCCTGAAAGGCCCTCAGCCTTAAAATTACACAGCTGCCGGCTCCGGGGAGCCCGGCCTGCCCGCACGTTTCCCCGCGCACCGCCGCCCTCACCGCTGGGGCTCACCAGGGGTCCGGTGCCATACTGCAGTCTCCGCCCGCCGCTCCAACACTTCCTGCTCCAGCAGCTGACTACGGTGGCCCGCGTGGTTCACTCCTGAGAGGTTCGGCCGCTGCGCGACTGGAGTTTGCAAAGTAAATGCTTTACTTTGGAGTCCCCGAGCTGTAGCCAAAACAACAACAAAAAGCATTTAGGGGTTCCTACTAGGAGATGCCAATTACTAGGTGAAATTACAATAAAATTGTTGAACGGAGTCGAAGGAGTTTTCCCAAGAAGGTGGGAGTGCTTCCAGAGACTTTCAAGACCGCTTTCTCGCAGTTCCATAAAATTTTTATCCTGCTTCCAAAACAAAATAAAATTGATTGTGGCGATAATAAGTTAAATTACAATACGTAAGTTATGCTTTGCCAAACCTTTTACAAAATCTTTTAATTTTTTTTTGCCCTGCTTCAAGCAAAAGGCTCACTCATCAGAGACAATTCACTATTTTTCAAATGTCAAGTAGATGTTTACTTATATAATTACCAAAAAGTCATAGACCACTCGAAGAAGGGAGGAATTTGTTCTGTGCACTTAGTACCCACCCTACCATATGTCCCTTAAATTTGCAGAAAATAGATAAAGGACGCCCTAGCTCTATTTGCAAGAGAGCAAGTCAACGCCAGCCTCCCAAATGGTTAGGCAACGTAGACCAGGTGCGCATGCGCACGTCCGTTACCATAACGACCAGGAAACGCTGTAACCACTAGGACGAGCTAGTACTGAAAGATTTTGTGAGTTGAGCATCTCTCCGAGATGGGTGAGGAAATTTCGCCCCAGGCCGAAGACGTGGCAGAGCTGGAACTTGAGGCTGTGATTGGCTTCAATGGTGAGGTCTCAAGCGTCTGCGGCTGGGTGGCTTAGGAACCCTGAGGACGTGTAGCGCCAACAGGGACAGTGAGAACCCGGGGGCATCTCAAAGGCAGTGTGGGCTAGTGACAAGGGTCCTGCCAGGGCCAAGCACCGGACACCAATATCCTCTGCTGCCCTAGGGTCTTAGAGAGTCACGCCCTTACCCCCAGCGCCAGGGAGCTCAGTCAGCATCAGTAGCTCGGACAGAACTACACCCAGGGCCGACGGATGAGAAGAGCACGCTAGGGCCGCCCTCCCAGTCTCCGGGCTGCACACCGACCCCAAAACCTCGGGCTCTGCCGGATGCTGTGTGTGTCACCCCGGAGACCAACTCACAAAGCTGCTAAACTTCTGGCTGTCGTGCGCTGAGAAAGGGATATAAGGATCTGAAAGGTTTCCGGCAAGAAATAGAAAAGAAAGGGACGCCAGAGGGAGCTGGAGCGACGATTCTGATGGGGGAGAGGGTGGCGCCCTGGAGCACTTTTGTGCCTGCCTGCATGTTGCTCAGAACATTAGGCCGAAAAATGTTGTGTTCTTTGGTTTGCCTGGATTTGGTTTGGTTTGGTCTGATTTGGTTTGGTCTGGCTTGGCTTAGTTTGGTTAAGGGATTAAAAAAAAAAAAGCTACGTATTTAAAAAAAAGAAAGTGTTTAATGTAATTAAGTAGATACAGAATGTTTAATAATGTAATTAAGTAGATACAGAATAATCATTGACAAAAACTTAAGCACATTCTAGGACTTAGCTCTTCAATCTTCATTTTTACTTTAATACTCTGACAGCAAACACTTCATAATTTGAGGTGTTGGCCATTTATTGATTTTATTTTATTTTGGTTTGGTTTTTTTTGATACTGGGAATCAAACTCAGGACCTTGGGCTTACCAAGGAGGCTTTTATGCCACTAAGCTATATCCCCAGCCCAAGACCATTTTTAGAGACGTTGCAAGATCCTTGGTGAAGGTATTGAATGGTTTCCAGTTGCAAGATCTCAACTCCAGCCCAGACCAGATCAGAATTTGAACAGAATCCCTTAGGGATTTCAGGCACATTAAAGTTTAAGAAGTTAAGAAATACTACACTAACCCGCTTGTCTTTGGGATGAAATTACTTATTCTACCCTACTTGTTTTAAGAGAACGTAGGCTTTTTTCAAAAATGTTTTCCTCTTTGTAGTCTAGTTAAATATTACCAGTCACTTCTGTCCTAACTCTGATTTTTATGTGTTTTTGTTGTTATGTGTTTGTGAGACAGGTTCTCCATGTGCATAGTCCTGGCTGGCCTAGGACTGACTATGTAGCCCAGGTTGATCTCAAACTTGAGATCCTCCAGCCTCAGCCTCTGAAGTGCTGCTATTACAGCCTGTGCCATTGTGGCTGCCCCGACTGTAATGATTTTTAATCTCTCTTTTAGGACATGTTCCCAATGGTCTCAAATGCCATCCTGACCAGGAACATCTGCTTTATCCCCTGGGCTGTACCGTACTCATTCAGGCAATAAATACTCCAGAGCAGAATTTCCTGCACGGTCACAGTAATAACGTCTCCTGTTTGACCATCTCCAAGAGTGGAGATTACATTGCCTCGGGTCAGGTCACCTTCATGGGGTTCAAGGTGGGTAGAGGGAAGACAGTTCATGGTGAGTTTGTTTAGAAGTGCCTTCCTAGAAAAACTGGGCATGCCAGGCCCTGGTCCTGGAACCGCCAGGCTGACGTTCTGCCCTTCCTGCTTCCTTTTGACCTTTTGAAATTTATTTGCGTTCCTTTGGGCTGCCAGGGAAGGAATCTGATGTTTTGACATCAGACCTCGAAGCTGAGGACTGAGGATGTTCAGGAACAAAAGTCCCTGCTTAAAACTATTTCCACTTTGTGGTCTGCACATTTACAAACCGTGGCCTGGTTTCCGGAAGGGTGATGTGACTGACCCTTTCTCCGCAGAGGGGTGGCCGTCCCTCAGATTCTTACACCTGTCTGGGACCTGACGGTGTATTCTCCCCCACAGGCAGACATCATCTTGTGGGATTATAAGAAAAGGGAGCTGCTTGCTCGGCTGTCCCTTCACAAGGGCAAAATTGAAGCTCTGGCCTTTTCTCCAAATGATTTGTACTTGGTGTCACTAGGAGGCCCAGATGATGGAAGGTAACGAATCAATTCTCCTTGCTTGCTTTTCACCAGGTCTAGTTCCAGATGTGCTAAGATAGTATCCTGCCCCCTGTAATGTCCTCTGTTGGCCCAGCTCAACGTGTCCCCTGTCTAAGTTCGTAAGGTGTGAAAATCCTATGGGGAAAATTCCATACAATCGTGGCTCTCAGCTCCGGGTGCACACTGAACTCAGCTCTGAGCCCTGACAACCTGCGGACACAGAGCCTGGCTCTGCCTGAAGAGCTCTGGTTGGCACCAGGATCTAGGAGTTATAAAAGCTTCCAGATGGTTGCATGTGTGTCTACATTCAAGAACCACTGCTGTAAAACAAAGACCCTGCTCGCAATCAGGATGTCGGTTCCTAACTAAAGATGACAGCTAAGTCGTACTAGGTGATGAGTGTGTGCTGGGCTCTTTCACTAGTTACACTCTCACATGCAGGCTTCACAACCACTCTTTGAGGTGGAATCTACTGGTGCCCAGTGACAGCTGAGGAACTAAAGTTATCAGCCAGGAGGTGACAGAGCTGGGTGACAAACCCTGATGCAGAGGTGAGATTTTTAATTTGCCTCGCCAAGACATGGGCTTTGCCCCTTGAAGAACTCAGGGTGTAAGCCAGGCAGAGAACACGTTCCAATGGAACTGGGGGAGAGTTGATTTTAATCATTATGCTGTGTTAGGGAAGACAGTGCAGTACAGTCTCAGGTAGTTATTCAGGAGACACAGTCTGCAGGAGAAAAGGACATCGCCTGAGGTTCGTGTAGCACTGAATGCTTCGATCTCCTTTTAGTCATCCAGGATTTTCTTGTTTGAGCTCCGTGCATCTGTTACGAAGTTTGCATACTGATGGTTCTCTTCATAGACAGGAAAGCAGCAAATTTTTCATGATTTTTTTCCTTCTTTAGTAGTCATCTGTAGATGATCTTATCATCTCTGGACCAGATGAATGTGTTTGTGGGTGGTGGTTTTGTGGGTGTTCATTTGCTTGTCTATTTGTTTGTACTGGGGATCAAACCAGGGATGTTCAGTCACTGAGCTATATCACTAGCCATTTTTATTTTATTTTGAGCACAGTCTCACCAGTTTACCTAGAGTGGCTTCAAGTTTGAGACTCTTCTGGCTCAGCCTCCTGAGTACCTAGGATTACAGCTCTGTGCCACTGAGCTTGGCTCCCATTTATCTGTCTTTAATGAATAACATATCCTGATCCCATCTGTTAATAGTCTAACCTCAACTTAAAGCAGTCGTTCTCAACCTGAGATGCGTGTTGCAGTTACCTGAGAAGACCTGAAACATTCTGATGCCAGCCCTGGCGATTCTGGGAGCTTGGCCTAAAGCCACCCATCTCTACACCCCGCCAGGAAGAGGGGGTTGGAAAGGCTGTCTACAGTGTGCTTGTAGTGAATAGAAGCACCAGTGAGAGAAGGCAGCGGACAGCGCTGCGCTAGGAGAATGTGGTCACCTGGATGAGCAGGGCAGGTCTGCAGGCTGACGTCAGACAGTCAGGGCTCCACCATGAGCCCCGGCTTCTGTGCAGAGGGAGAGAGAGAGAGACGGAGGGAAGGTGCAGGCCACAGCAGACTTGCTACGGTCTGTCTCCCTGTGTGTATCTTACGTTTTGTAACCTACTCATGAAACTTCTCTGTGTCAGTGTTAATACAATCCATGTTGTAATCCAGCTGACGCCGAGGACACCTTCTATGTATATTTCATCCTTCTAGACATACGTCAGTCTTCGCAGTGACTGCATGCAGTTCCACTGTTCAGATGGCCAGAATGATTTGGCCAAAGTACCACATACGTTAGTGCCCTTTACTGATTTTTAAATTTTGAACTTGCTTCTGAAAAAGTAAAGCTATATTTGCCCAAGGTTTATACAGAAATTGTGTTGTCTTGCTATGCAAAGTGACCCCAGATCCAAAAGAATAAGTCTTCTGATGCCACTCCCTGTGTCCCCCCACCGGGAAGCCTTCTGCTCTCCAAAGGCTTTTGGAGTCTTGTTTGCTTTATAACTTTATTGAGGCATATTTCATCGGCTGTACTATTTACCCATTTAAGGTAAGTTGTGTGGTTTGTAATGCACTTACGGGATTTCCAACTGTCACTACCATCAAGTTTAGAATATTTTCAACACCCAAAAAATAAGCCCCGTAACTGACTGCCTCCTCCTTCCAGCACCAATCTGCTTTCTGCCTCTAGAGATCTGCCTGTTCTGGGCATTTCACATTAATGGGATCATACTGTGTGTAGCCTTTTATGTCTAACTTTTCACTATGCATAGGATTTTCAAGGTCATCTACTTATGGTATGTCATTATTTTTATTGTCAAATAATATTCTAATAATATTGTATGGTTAGGCCACATTTTATTTGTCCATGTATCAGTTGATGCAATCATTTGGGTTTGTTTTTGTTCTTGTTGTGAGGCAGAGTCTCATTATGCAATCCAGGCTGGCCTTGAACTCACTCTGTAGCCCAGGTTGGTTTGAACTTGCAGCAATCCTCCTGCCTCAGCCTCCCAAGTGCTGGAATCACTGGCATGTACCACCATATATATACTTAATGCAATCATCTAACCATCTTTGAATCCCACCATTATTGCTATCAAAACACTGTTCAGTTTGGGACTAAGCTGTGTGCTGGACACAGAAAGAAGCAAATGTGAACCTAAATTAATGCTTCTTAAAAGTGTGGTCCCCAGACAGCAGCATCTTCTCACCTGGGATTCATGAGGAAAGTAAATTCTCAGTTCTCCTGAGCCAGGCACTCAGGGTAGGGCCCAGGAGGCTGTTTGGATAATTACTTTATAAGTTATTGTTTTAATTATACAGCCAGGCATAGTGGCACACACCTGTAATCCCAGCACTTGGTAGGCTGAGGCAGGAGGATCGCCATGAGTTCCAGACCAAGTTGGCTACATAGTGAGTTCAAGGTCAGCCTGAACTACATAGAGAGATCCTGTCTCAGAAGAAAAAAAGGTACAAATTTATAGGGTACCTGGTGATAACCGGGCACATGTGCACATTGTGTAACGCTATGCAATGACCAAATCAACTGGTCTGTCTTAAGTATTCTGATCGTGAAGTATCTGTCCGAGAAGCATGTTCAAGTCTGATATCCTTGCTATAATGCTTCCTCACAGAAGATCTTTCCATGAAACAAATGGACGGTAAACTTGTAAGCCTTGCATGCCTGAAAATGTCTATTTTAGCATCGGACTTGACTGATGGACTCACCAGCTTCCTCCTCGTAATGATTTGCCTCCCAAGCTCTGAAACAGTGTCATCTCTGCTATCGCCCTGGCTAACTGACGAGACGTGGGGGGTCATTGCTGTGCTTTGGTCGTTCTTCCTTGTTAATAACCAGCTTTATTTTCTTCCGAGAGCCACCGGCAGAGGTGTTTCTCATTTTGACGGCGTGATTTTCCATGATTTGTCCCCATCTTGTTTTGGCAGCGTGGTGGTGTGGAACATTGCCAAGCGAGATGCTATCTGTGGCAGCCCTGCCGCTGGCCTGAACGTGGGAAATGCCACCAGCCTGGTCTTCTCGCGGTGCCGGGATGAGATCTTTGTCACTGCTGGAAAGTAGGTCTGCAGTCAGAGTGGCAGGACCCATCCGTTCCTCTATTTTCTCACACAGAAAATAAGATCCGGTCCATGGAGGGAAGCATGTGTTTAGTCCTGGACAAACACCTTACACTGTACATTTTGGAGTCATTTAAAATCCTTTTTGTGAGTGTATTTTAAATGTGATTTTTGAAAATGTCGATTTCTACTGAAGAGGTTTAGTGACCTGCTGAACTCATCTCATATTTTTCTCTGTCACCGGAACACATTTTTCCCCATCTGTGCTCACAAAGTAATTTGCACAAATGCACTGATTCACTCCCATTGGTATTTCTCACCACCTACACTTGACTTAGGTCTCCTGCAGTGAGGTTTTGCAAGTGAGCTGTGCCAGGAGGTTCAAGCCTCTTAGACATCTGTCACGACTTCCAGGAAGGCCAGTTGTGAGCAGCTCATGGTGACCGAGGGGAGCGTCTGCACAGAGGTCTCTGCTTTCTAACAGAATAAGTGCATTTACAGATGGACTCTCGGGGCCCTGTTTGGAGCTGCAGGAAAGGCTAATTATCAGAGCATCCTTTTTCATGTCACACGGTAGTTCAAAGGAAAGACATCGGAACACTGGGCGGAAGTGTATTTTCCAACGCAGGTGTCATTTCCTATCTGTGAAAAGAACACACTTTGAGCTACTTTCCCGGCGGAGTAAGGACTCCGTACTGTTCTGTATGTTATTTCCTGTCCCTGCCTGTGACACGCTGCATGCATTTATTCCATGACTCCTTAGGAGGAAGGATTCATCAAGAGGTCCTGAGACCTCTGCCCAACAGAAAAGGCAGCCCCTTTTGAGCAGATCACACCAGGACAGGGCTCTGATGCTAAGGCAGTTGACTGAGTCCTGCTCAGCCTTCCAGGGCTGCTCATGACCAAGAAGTTCTGCTTCATTCAGGTTTGCAGAGTGGCTTTATGAAAACTTTGTTTCAAGGGGTTCTTTTGTTCCTCAGCGCTGCTTAGCAGAAAGCATTCTGTGGCCATGGCCACATTTCTATAGCAATTAAAACTGAAACTTTATACCAAAGAGAATATTTTAAGGATAGCTTGTATTCTAAACCTGCTTCATTTTAAGTGACATTAATAACTGAGAAAGTTGGCATTCTTTTTTTTTTTTTTTTTTTTTTTTTTGTCTTTTTCATTTTTATCGGTACCGGGGATCGAACTCACAACCGCCTGCTTACAAGGCAGGTGCTTATGCCGCTGAGCTAAACCCCCAGCCCCAAAAGTTGGCATTCTTTAGTGAGTATTCTGGGATGGCCCTTTATTCCCTGGGTTCCCCAGTGCATCTCCAGTTTCATGGGTTCTTTTACATTGCCCCCGAGAGATAGTCTAAAGATTCTAGTAGGGTCAGAATAGCTCTTTGATTTTTAATTTGGCAAATACATTTGAAATATTTATGGAGCACTTGCTATCAGTATATGTGTAATTATAATGGTTAAATAAAGAAAACTGAGCTTGATGTATTTTTAATCTTTCTGTCCTTAAAACAGCAGTTGGAATCTGACTATGGTGATGGCCTTGATGTTTTTAAAGATTTTTTCATTCAGATTAACTCAGTATACAATGACTAAAGAAGAGCCTATAGGAGAAGCTACCGTAGATTAACCTTTAAGGCTTAGGCTCATGTCTCCTGCTTTAAAGACAGAGCTTTCCGTACTAACGTATTTCCCTCAGTCTCACTAAGCGGTTCAGGACCTCCGCATGCCTCCCGTCTCACTGAGATGCGGGTCCCAGATGGACGTCCCCGCTCCCCCTCCCCGGCTTCTGCTAATGACCTTTGTTCTCTCTGCTCCTGTGAGTTCAACCTCTTCAGATGCCTCATGGGTGAGATCAGGGGTGTTTGTCCTTCCGTGCCTGGCTTGTTTTGCGTGTCCTCCAGGTCCATTCTCATTCTCACAAATGACAGGATTTCCTCCTCCTTCAGACTGGCTAGTGTTCCTTCATAGATATACACCACATTGTCTTTTAGAGGCATCTGTTGACAAATGTTTGGCTGTGTCCATCACAATGCCCGCAGTGAATAATAATATACTGAAATATATGTTATGGACAACATATGAGCAATACATTTTAAAATGCCAAGAGAGCAGACTGTAAGTGTTCTCACTGCGAAGAGATAATAAATGAAGTAGCACACACGTTTAGCAAGTTGATTGAACCATTCCACAAAGTATACTACAACAGCATGTACACACGTTTTCAGTTGTCAGTTAGAAAGGGGGCAAGAAACTTAAAGAATCCCAATCTGCTCTGCATGTTTCCTCGCATATCTGCGTATCTGGTTTTGGTGTACTTGGTAAATGGCATCCTCCAAAGCCAGAGAGCTGGGTGTGGACCCCGCTTTGCCGTGTACACGCTCCGCATCACCTCATTTGGAGAGTGAGGTTTCTTATAACTCTGCCGTTAGGGCCATTGGGAGGGTTGAGTGAAAGATCATACATAGAGCACTAGGCTGTTAAAGACTTCACAAATGTTGAATCCTCATCTCTTCAACTTCTGCAAGAGGACACAGAAAACATAAAAGAACTGAACTGCCAGGAAGTGGATCTCCATTTAATTGTGGTTTTTCTTGGCAGTGGGACGATTCGAGTGTGGGAACTCGACCTCCCGAACAGAAAGATCTGGCCGACCGAGTGCCAGACGGGACAGATGAAAAGAATAGTCCTGAGTGTTGCAGTAAGTGTTGCTTCGAGCCGCAGTTTAGGTAACTGTCACTACAAGTTCCTGCCAGCAGCACTGACGGAAGGTGTGTGTGCACCTTGGGCCGCTGGCAGGAGGACAAAAGTGGACACTGGGGATGGTGATGAGGAGGCGTAGGTGCGAGGGCATCTCGGTTCTGGGGCGCCCTCAGTGGTGGGCAGGAGCTGCCTAGACAGAGCCTTGGAGCCTCATTTTAACTGGGGGCTGAGCTGCACTCGGACCCCCAAAGCTGCTTCACCTGGAGGGAAGCGGGACAGCTAGGTGGCACTCACATCCCCATGCGACCAGGATCACCTCTGCCACGGGAATAAAGTTAGTGATAGTAAAAATCATTGCAAAATGCAGTATCTTCCATATAGACAAATATCCAATATATTCTTAATGTAGATGGAAACATTCGGAGATGTGACTCTGTTCTCCGCTGATTTATTTCTCTTGTGGAGTGCGTAGTCCTTGTTTAAGCAGAGGTTTTGGAAGTGAGGAGGGAAAGCAATACACATCCTCCTGGGAGAAACACACCCTCCTCCTAGGAGCACTGGTAGGCTGCCCTCGGGGAACATCAAGTGGGCTCATAGATTGCCTGCAGTCCAGCGGGCCTTGCCCAGCCTGAGTTCGCCATCCCACAATCGGAAATAGAAGGAGCCAGGTGGGTCTGTGTAGGTTTTCCTGGGGTGTCAGAGGACACTCGGCTCCTCCCCGATCAGGAGCTCATGAGACTAAGAAAACACGGTCTTCAGGTTTCTTTCCTCTCCTTCCAGATGGCTGAGGATGACGGCTTTTTCTACCTTGGCACCACGACTGGAGATATTCTAAAAATGAACCCCAGGACTAAGCTGCTGGCGGACACTGGGCCTGTGAAAGACAAGTACAGTTTGGTGAGTAGAGAGCATCGGGGTCTGATCCACTCCGCTGTGTCCTTCTCTCCACGGGCAGCACAGTCTTCACTAAGAGTCTGCACACAGCCAGGCGAGGAGGCGCAGGCCTGTGATCCCAGGACTCAAGAGACCCAGGCAGGAGGATCGCTCGGAGTTCAAAGCCAGCCTGTGCTATATAACTGTTCAAGGCCAGCCCGACATGGCAGGACCCTGTCTTTAAAAAACAACAACAAAAACAGAATTTTTAGGAAGAAAAATGGTTGGTTAGTGATGTTCCCAAAGCCATACCCACATCTGCAAAGCGCACGAGTACATCCTGTAAGCCCTGTATTTTTCAGGCAAAGACATTCCCAGGTGTCCTTAGTTATGGAATGAGTACCATATCTTTTTATTCACCTCCTCAAAGCACAGAGTCTGTGACTTTGTGCTGTGGTATCACACTGTCCCTGGTCAAGTTATCATGTATAAGAAAAGTACTTTTTCTCTTTCATTCATTCATTCTTTTTTTTTATATATATATATCAGGACTTGAACTCAGGACCTTGTACTTGCCAGGCAAGCACTTGTGAAAGTATTTTTTTTATCTGAAAGTCCATAGATAGAAGATAGATAGATAGATAGATAGATAGGCACATGTGCCTCAGTTCAGGAATTTAATTTTTTCCATGATGATTCTGGTCACAAACCAAATTAGATGAGAACAAAATGAAATTCAATGGTTAGTTTCAATACTGACCTTATAGGGAAATTTTATTTGATTCTTACCCAGTTTGGTTAGTGACCAGAATCATGAAAAGAATTAAGTTCATGAACTGTAAAAACACTACATGTATAAAATCTTTTTTGTATGCTAGTACCTAGATCTTGAATTTCAGCCTCAATTGACATTATAAGTCATAAATGAGACATAGAAATAGGCAATTGTTCATATTTGCAGAATTCCTAACAGTTCTGGTTAAGAATCCAGCAAGCAGTGTTGGTATTTAAACCAAAATAAAAGGCCAAACATAAAATGGTGACTTTATATATTAAGTGTGACAATTTCCAGCATCCCCAGAGAGTTTCAAGGGTTGTTTCTGCTGAACTTTGTTTGTTAAAGTTTGTGCTAAGTTCTGTACCTGCCTATCTCATTTCTCATAACAGCACAGATGGTTCTAACCAGGCTTAGATACTTTTGCACTTAGCATATATTCTTAAGAGGCTTTCAAATATTGCACCCTGTTCCTGGGAAAATGTCAGTTTTGTTAATCATATAATCATGTCATTGTCAACTTAAAGAGAAATGCTATAGTTTAGGTAGAAAAGGTTTGGAGAATTCCACAGGAAATAAAAATGTAGCTTAAATGATTCTTTTTCTACTTATTCAGGAGAGAAAATTTCAATATATCAAACAGATAAAAGCAAGGCAGATCAGGCTAAAGGCTACAACCTTGCCTCCAAAGATGCTACTTGAAACTGCTGATTGGATATTTTTTGCCCACCCAGAATTTATGAACTAAATTCCACTCCAGTTGTTTTAGTGTCCCTCAAACTTTTAGCATTCAATTGTCTTCATGATTTAATATCTAGTCATTGAAGATTGTGTGTGTGTGTGTGTGTTTGCTATGCAGTTCAGGCTTGCCTTGAGTTCACTTTGTAGCCCAGGCTGACCTCAAACTCACATTGATCCTCCTGCCTCAGCCTCCTGAGTGCTGGTGTTATAGGTGTGTATCATCGTACAGGGCCTTTTCCAAGGCATCTTTTCCATGGTGGGAAGAAAATAATGTTTGTGAGATAAAAAGATAAAAGCTACTAATGAAAATGTTTGCTTTGCATGTCGAGAGGTCTTGGGAAGTTGTCCCTTTTGAAATTCTTTTTAAATGTTTGGTTTAAGGTTAGAAAGGGAAGGAATTAGAATGATTCTAAATGGACCTATTAGGTGAACAGCCCTAAAGTAAAGAACATGACCATAATGGTAATAGCAATAGTAAAAACACTACATTTGCAACGTTGTATAACAAAATTACAAAATACATTGTATAACAAAAACTCTGGGTGGCTGGGGATTTAGGTCAGCTACATAAGCGCCTGCCTTGCAAGCAGGCAGTCGTGAGTTTGATCCATGGTACTGATAAAAAGGAAAAAGACAAAAAAAAAAAAAAAAAACCTCTGAAAAGAGATGGAAGGACCAAACAGAGAAACAGAGGGCGGGCACGGTGGGGCACTTCTGTATTCCAGCGCTCAGGAGGCTGAGGCAGGAGGATCACTGCAAGTTTGAGAACAATCTGGGCTACAAAGTGAGTCCAGCGCCAGCCCGATCTGCATAATGAGATCGTGTCTCAAAAAGATCAAAAGAGAGAGAGAGGGAGAAATATTCCATGTTCACGGCTCAATATTGTCATGATGTTTGTTCCTCCAGCTGGTCCTGTAGACTCAGTGTAACTGTCGTGAAGATCACAAGTTATTTAGTGGATACTGACCAGCTGATTTCTGTAGACAGATAAAGGGCCAGATGCACCCGAGGCCAGCTCGGTCCCCATAGGGAGTGGAAGGCCATTTTGAACTACAAAGTGAGACTCCAGAAACCGAGAAAAAAGAAAGTGACCCGGAAGGACATCATTGTCAATACTCAGACTTCACCATGACGAAAGCCTATATAATCAGCTGTATTATTTTTAATTCATCTGGGGTACTTTCAAGATCTAGCTATTATAAATTGTTCTGCTATAAACGTGGGTATGAATGTAACACTATAATATAACATCTTTGACTCCTTTGGGAAGATGCCCAGAAGGGGAAGCTGGCCGAATGGAATTTCTAGTTTCGGAGTTTTGAGGCGTCTCCACACTGATCCACCTCATAGTGGGCCTATTAGTTTTCCACCAAACCGACATGTAGAAGGTTCCTTTTCCCCCGCAGCCTCTTCAGCACTGTTACTGATTTCTTGAGGACCGTTCTTTCTGGGGTAAGGTGGATAACTTGCATCTCTCTAACAGCCAGTGCTGGAGAGCATTTCTTGGTGTATTCTGGGGCCATTTGTACTTCTGTGCAGTGTCTACACGTTTCCCTTGCTCATGTGTGGACTGCGTCTTTTATGGGGGCTGGATAATTTTCTTGAGTTCTTTACATATTCTAGATATGAGTCTTCTGTCTGAGGAATCACTGGCAAAATTTTTTCCTGTTTTGTCTCTTCACCTCGTTAGTTGCTTCTTTCACTGTGCAGAGATTTCCAAATTTGATATGAACCAATTTGTTGATTCCCAGAACTATCACCTGTGCACCTGGGGTTCAGGTCAGACAGTCGTCGCTTACACCTCTCACATGAAGAACCTACCTACTGAAAAAGAAGGGTCGTACCTGTGTAGTCTTCTAGCAGGTTTAGCGATTCTAGTTTAGCAGTTAGTTCTTTGATTCATTTTTATTTTAATTTCGTACCTGGTGAGAGATATGGGAATAGATTCAGTCTTCTGAATATGGAAAGCCAGGTATCCCAACACCGTTTATTAAAGAGGGCATCTTTCTTCCAGCAAGTGTTTTTGGCCCTTTTGTCAAAGATCAAATAGTAGAATTTATGTGGGGCTGTTTCTGCATTATCTATTCTGTTCCATTGGTCCTCATGGCTGTTTTTGTGCCAGTACCATGCTGTTTTTATCCCAGTAGCTTTGTAATATAACTTTGTGTCTGGGATTGTGATGCCTCCTACTTTGCTCTTTTTATGCAGAATTGCTTTTGCTATTCTAGGCCTCTTCTGGTTCCCTAAGCATATGAGGACTGTATTGTCCAGGAGCAGTGATAGAAGACAACCTTGTTTTGTTCCTGAATTTACAAGGAAAGTGTTCAGTTTCCCCCCCTTAATATGAGGCTGGCCATTGGTTTGGCTTACGGTTAAGGGTTAGGGTTAACTTTCTATGAGATTGAGCTAAGGTCCTTCTGTACCTATTTTCTTCAGGTTTTTTAAAATGGGAAATCAAACTCAGGGCCTCACACTTACCAGGCAGGTGCTGTGCCGCTGAGCCATATCCCTGGCCTTCTCCAGTTTTTTTAATGAAATGTTGTTGGATTTTGTCAAAGGCTTTTTCTACATCTACTAAGAAGATGATCTGTGATCTCTGTCCTTGCTTACGTTTACACGGTGTGTCACCTTTGCTGACGTGAGCGTTGGACCACCCTGCATCCCTGGGATGAACCCTTCTTGGTTATGATGATTCCCTTTGATGATTCGGGACATTGTGTCTGCCAGCATCTTGTTGAGGTGACATAGTGAGTTCAAGGCCTGCCTTGCTCGTATCAAGACCCTGTCTGGAGAAAACCAACATGCAAATGAACAAACATACAGGAGATAAAAGAAAAATAAGAAAGAAGAGAAAAATTTTGTGAAGGAAAAAGATAAAAGGAGAAAAATACTAAAATAAAAGAAGAGCGACCCCAAACCCTGAAAAAAACCCAACGAAGGGACGATAAAAGTAACATAAAACAGGAAAAGAAAACAGACCGAGTCAAAGGAAAACCTCCTGTTTCTGACTGCGGGGTTTCGTTCCGCGACCTCCCATCCAGGGTCCCTGTGAGGTGTCTTCCTTGAGCCAGAGGCCGCTCGGATTTTCCCTCTCAGCTGTGTTTCTGTCCAGGCCTGCATCTGTTCTCTGCTAGATAGAGGCCACGGGGTAGCGTTCAGACAAACTGCTCGATTTGCTGCCAGCAGTTCGGGATCTGGCTGCTCCCTGCTCTCTCCAGGTATTGTCCTCATCCAGGATTTTAGGTGAGTTTGTTTGTCTGTTTGTCTTTGTTGAGGCAGGTCTTGCTATGCAGTTCAGGCTGGTCTTGAACTCACAGCAATCCCCCTGCCTCAGCCTCCTGAGTGTTGGAATTACAAGACTGTGCCACCACGCCCAGCTTAGGAGACAGTTTTTATATTTGTTTTGTCATAAGAAAAGAGTTGTTTGTTTCCTGAAGTGTACAGGCTTCTGAGGAAGTCTCCACGTTCCTGAGCATTTATTTTCTCCCGTAACTTAGAACTGACAAGTTTCATGGCGTTCCCTCTAGATCCTTGACACCAAAAAGCATTTTCTTTGGAAATTTCCAAATAGAAATGAAACTGTCTGCCTCCTGCTCTGTGAGCCCCTGAGCCTCCTCCTGGCTCTTTCTGCCTGGGGCCAGCTGCCGTGCACCCAGCGTCTCCTTCCCGGCTTGTTCTCCGAGCCTCTGGCTTTTGTTTGGATCAGCTGGGGTAAAACCTGAGCGTGCTGATGCTTAGAGAAGCCTCCTTCACTCTGGCTTTCCCTTCTTCGGTCCTAGCATTCTGACGGCCTCTGTTTCCAGGTTTGACAGGATTTCTCTAAATTTTTAGAGGAGACAACAGTGTGGCACATTTTTTTTAATTGGTGGCGTTGGTTATGCAGGTTAATGAGTTTTGTTTTCTGGATTTCATACAACACACTTTGATCACCTCCCCATCGGCCTCCTCTCTTTTCTCATCCATCTAATTGGAATGTCTTTCTTGGCTGAAACATGATAGGGTTTAAGAGTATTTATTTATTTTTTTTCTTGGTACTGGGGATCAAACTCACAACCTTGTACTTTCCAGGCAGGCACTTATGCTGCTGTGCTAAATCCCTAGCCTATTAAGAGTATTTATATGTATCTATTTCTGCCTTCAATTTCAAATAAAACATTAAGCTAAAAAATGCAATTTTTAAAATGTAATATTTTATTTCTTTATTTATTTTGCCTTTTTGAGACAGGGTCTCACTATGCAGTTCAGGCTGGCGTTGAGCTCACTTTATAGCCCAGGCTGGTCTCGAACTCGCAAATGATCCTCCTGCTTCAGCCTCCTAACTTCTGGGATTACAGGCATATACCACCATGCCCAACACGCAATACTTAATTTTGTAAGAGCTTTGCCCAATTCCAATCATATTAGAAATGACATTTAAATTCACAAGATCTGTGTATGAAAAAAAATACTGATATTGTGCTGTAATAAATAGAGTTCTAGATTTGGAAAATTTCTCAGAAGCAGGAGAGAAAGCTGGGCGTGGTGGCTCACGCCTGTAATCCCAGTACTCAGGAGGCTGAGGCAGGAGGACTGTTGTGAGTTTGAGGTCAGTCTGGGCTACTAGCAAGACCCTGTTTCAAAAAACAAAAAACAAAACAAAACAAAAAATCTTAAAAACAAAACACAGGAGAGAAAAAGTACCTTTCCTTGCCCAGCTTCTCTAAGAAATGATTAGAAACCATGTCCTTTAACCCGAAAGATTTAATCCCACTTGGTAGAATTTTCTGTAGTGTAAATAGTAGCACGATAAACTTCAGGCAATTGTGGGGGAGATATGTTGGCTTAATTAACCCAGCTGAAATGCAGTTAATTCACACCTGAGATGCCACTCTTGGGGTTCTCAGCTTCTTCCTGCTTCCATGTCTGAACCCGCTGATAGTCTTAGAGCTCCAGGCTCTTCCACAGTGATTCCTACTAAGAGCAGCACAAGCCTCCCGGAAGTTCAAGTGTAAAAGAAACCCAAGCCACTTCTGCTCGAACACGGGGTACTATAACCTTTTAATCCGCAAATAATTTTGCTTTCTATACGATGTATAATTTGAGATAAATTTGAAAGGTGACAGGCAGAGAATTAATTACCTTCTGTGATTAAATCCTAAAGATCAACCAAAAATTTTTTTTGTATATTTTTAAAAGAGCTATCGTGTTTCCTCAAAGGATATTACAGTTAATAATGAAACACACACTTTTCGTATTGCTCTTGAGCAGACCTGTATTGGGGAGGGCTGGATCTGTCATACCTGTGAGTTAGCGTGTAACAGAACATCTCCCCCGACCCCCCAGCCCCAGCCAGTGTACTGCAGCTTCTGAGATGCCCAGGTAACAGGTTCTGTTCCAGTCCTGGTTGCTCCTGTCTCTTAGAAACAACTGGTCACTGTGGTGCACCTTGTATTAACCAATCCCCAACTGACAAGCCATTCTGCCTCTGTACCACCTGCTTCCTTATCCAGTATGAGGCCTAGAGCACCCGAGATCAGGGCCTGATATTCTGGGAATGATCCGCTCTGTGCTCGGCTTTATAAATTAATCTGCCTCCAAATTCTGGATGTCACTCTGGTGTTTCTGTTTGTTGCTGGAAGCTCAGCAAAGTATATTCCCTGTGGAGGGAGCCTGTGGTGTTTATGGCCATACACTTTCACTCGAAACATTTTAGATACAAATATTTCTAATTTCATTCTTAAATATCCGGCACTACCTGACTGTCAGAACACTCCACCGCATCACTGTGTCTTGTTACATCCCTTTGAAGGTAGCCTGGATCGTCTGACGCTGTAGGCTTTGTGGTTATCTATGGTAAAGTCTGTGTGTAGAAATGCCTGCTGATTAAAGCGTTCTTTTGCCGTACACACACATGCATGTGTGCGTACATACCAACAGAGCAAGGAAGTACACACGAATCAGAACAGCCCATCTCATGGCAGCATTCTTGGTCAGCAAGCAACGTGGCACCAGTGCCAGGTGTCTAGACCGGGGATTCAAGACTAGAGACATGTCCTCGTCTTTGTTTGGGTTTCTTTTGTTTGTTGTTGTTTGAGACAGGGTCTCACTGTGTAGTTCGGGCTGGCCTTGAACTCATGGCAGTCTTCCTGCCTCAGCCTCAAGGGTGCTGGTGATGACAGGTGTGCATCTGCACGACTGGCTCTCCTTGTTTAACAAGTGGATCTCTGTAGCTTTAAGAGATGCTGTTGTATTTCTTTGTCAAAAGGATCTCGCGAGCCATAGGTAAATCCCCACATGTAATTAATAGATCAAACATCTGCCTGTAACAGGTGATCGACTGTTGCACAGGCAGATGCTCCGTGGAAGTGGGGTGGAGGAAGGCAAGGGCCTTTAAAACCCCAATACTTTCAGAAATGATTTTTGTTCTGGCCAATAAATGGGGACTGCTTTAGTTTACTCACTAACGTGTCTGTGCTAATCTCTCAAGCAGCGGAAATCTGAATCAGAACATATTTCAATTCTAAACTAAGGAAACAAAATGTAATAAACATGCAAGTGTTTAGCCATGTATTTATCAGTAATCTGTTTTCCAGTTCTAGAGAGAAAACACATCACTCCTGAATGTTAACCTGTTAGATTGTCCGTGCACATTTTTCTTTCAAAGCACCGTGCAAGTCAGAATTCTGAGAAATGCAAGGAACGTCAGATGAGAAAAAAGGGTTTCTGTAGTGTCTCAGAAAGACTTTTGTGCCTCTGATAGCAACAGTGTCTGTGCCGTTTAATCCTGAGAACGTGGCATGTTTCCACGTTTTCAAGATCATAAAGTCCAACAAAAACAAATGTTTTTCTTCTTTGTTGTTTTCCATTTCCGTTCTTGCTTAATAGCTAGAATGTAGACATTTATCCATCTTTGTATGATATTTCTCCTTTTGGAAAGGGTTATTCAAGATATATACGCACACGGCAATTTTATTTTGTATAATTGATGCAATTCTAAACTATGGCAGTCATTCACATCACTGTCTCTAAGTCTTAGCTCAAAAGTTGTAAAGTGTCTAAGTTAACTACAGCCTGATGTCACATTTTCTCACAACGTGGATTTCAGTAAAGCATCTGTAATGATTTCCAGTAAGAAAACAAAGTCTTGCCCATGGCCCAGGCTGACCCTAAACACTTGGGCTCCAGCTGTGCTCCCACCTCAGCCCCAGGAGCTGTGTCTGCGAGCGGATGCCACCATGCCTGGCTGAAGTCTGTCTCTGTGACAAGCCCGCTCCCTTCAAACCCACCCGTTCCCTCCATGACATTAACCCTTCCCTGGGCAGAGCCTCTGTGACTCTGCAGCCTCCGCCTCCCAGCTCCGCTGCACTGAGCTTCAGTTTGCCCCACAGAAGCTTCGTGGAGTCTCGTTCAAATCATAGCAGGCATGTATGTCTTAAAATTAGAAATTCCTATTGGGAATGTGTAGTGGTGCATGCCTGTAATCCCAGCACTTAGGTGGCTGAGGCAGGAGAGTTACCATGAGTTCAAGGCCAGCCTGGGCTACAGTGAGTTCAAGGCCAGCCTCAACTACACAGCAAGTCTCTGTCTCAAAAATAATAAGTAGACAAAAAATAACTAAGACGGATGAGACTCTCTGGCCTTTGTCAAAGCACTGTTTTCTCTTTCTAGGGCGTATCGGCCATCAGGTCCCTGAAGATGGGGGGTTTGCTGGTGGGCTCTGGAGCTGGACTTCTGGTCTTTTGTAAAAGCCCCAGCTACAAACCTGCTAAGTAAGTTTTGGACCCCAAAAGTTGGGACAGGTGGAGACTGTTTGGAGGGAGGTTCACTTAAAGCCACCAATGAACTGGTATTAGCACAGTGATATTTTGTCAGGGAATTCCACCTTATTATTGAGTAGCTGGACTCCGAGTAGAGAGTGATTTTTTTTTTTTTGCCATTGAAAAAGCTTGTGTTGATCAAATCAAAGTAATCCACCAGGACCTAGGTGGATGCTGCCCTTTTAATAAATATGTTTTTATTAACTCATTGAAACATGACGAAGAAAATAATGATGTTATAAACTTATTGCTAAAAGTGAAAAAAGCTGGGCACAGTGATGCCTGCCTGTAATTTCAGCACTTGGGAGGCTGAGGGACGGGGTTACTTCAAGTGTGAGGCCAGCCTGGGCTACAAAGTGAGCTCAAGGCCAGCCTGAACTGCATAGTGAAACCCTGTTTCAAAAAGACAAAAACAAACAAACACAAAAAATTGCTATGGGCTGGTGGTGGTACCATGGATTCCACTTAATCATTTTATTCTTTAGCTACTAACCAATTCTGGGATGTTGATGAAATATTTTTTGATCAGGAATTTATTTACAAACCTATAATGAATAATGAGATCTCTTTTTGGCAAGTTTAATAAAATGTGATAAGTATTTTTTTTTAAAAATATTCCTCTCACCTATTATATAAGGGAGTATACTCTGCCATACAGAAGGATAAATGTGAGACATTTCTAGTCAAATGAGTGCACCTTGAAACCTTACTCTTTGGTTTTTGTTTCGGGAATCGAACTCAGAACCTCAGGCTTGCCAGGCAGGTGCCGCACCATTGCACTAAATCCCCTGCCCCCAGACCACGTTCTTCAGTGAAATATATGAGACACGCGTTTTAAATACCTTGTTGTTTCTCTGTTGTGAGAAACCAAACGTATAACTAAGGACGGCAGTGTGCAATAGATTTTGGGAAATGGGAAGAAAACATTGAAATGAGAAAAGGGAACGAGGGAAGGGGCTGGAGGAAAGAAGAGACGAGAGAATAAGACAATAGAAAGGAAAATGAAAACAAAACTTTTGCAAATGAGGAGGAGGACAGGGGCTGAAGGGAAGGGAGGAGAAGGAGAAAAGAAACAGGTCTATCATGCACAGGTACAAACCCACTGTGATGAACGGTACTACTGTGTATTTCTAAAATGTACCCATGAAAATTAAAAAGAAAAAGCAATAGAAAAAATAAGCTAAATAAATAAACTATTTTCTCCATTCCCTGCTCTGAAGAAGCATCCATGTTGCTGTTAGGGAAACGGGGGGAAGACCGAATCTGGCAGCTGCCACCTGAGAAGGGTTGATGGAGGGGGACAGGGCTGAGAGCTGCTCTCCAGACAGCTCCTGGGGGGCCTTGACAGAAGTCCCACTGGGCTCAGCAGGATGGCTGTGCTCAGAGGGCCCGTCTGGTGCATCCCGGTAAACAGAGTCCAGCAATTCATGGCTGGCTCAGTGTGCATGACCATTTCAAGTGTGACAGCCTCCGGGCAAGAAGAAACAAATTCGCACCGAGAGATTAAAGATGCGCGGCCTAAACAGAATGACCAGAAGTTTATAAGGGCAACAAGAAAAGTAGAAATAAAGCTGAAATGGCTCAAAAGTCTTCAGTGCAGCAGCTGCAGGTACTTTAACTGGCTATTAAAACATTAAAGAGGCAGATGAACCAACAAGGAGCCAACAGAATGCACAGAATCAGAGTGCACGCTAAGGGGTGCTGGCCACATTGAACTAAATAGCCTTTTTCCAGCTTTAGGTTTCTGACTACAAATAGTCAATTAGATCTTGTCATTAATTAGTGCTGTTTAGACACTGAAAAGTAATAACAGTGATAAGTAATAACAGAGAGGCCTTGTGATTAATTAACACAAGTTAGAGTTACAAAAGAAAAGAAAGAAAAATCCAGGAAAACAAGGACCACTTTAAAAGGACCTCAGATTTACCGTAATTATGGTTTACTGTAATCTTTAGAATAGCTGCTCCACAAGGGGCGGGGCTGGGATCCTCTGTATTAGGGGTACAGTGCCAGACTGGCTCAAGGATGGCCTCAGCTGTGTCACAAGGGTCAAACGGTTAAAGGTACAATATTGTAATTAAAATTTTTCTTTGGCAACCACTTTTTTGTCTTTAGGCAGCATTTAGGCCAGGTGAGGGTGTAGAGAAAGTCTGGAGTTTAAGGAGCGTCAGCAGAGGAGTCTGTGCACTGAGCCTGCGAGGGGGAAACACTGGGGCTGTTAAGTGAGTGGACAGCGGTGCTCGCTCTGTTCCTCCCAGTGCTGTCCACACTTGGATTCTCCTCTGTCTCCCTGAGGGAAGGCTCAGGCTGCATACACGTGATGGTGGTTATGCAGGATAAGGTCTCTTGTCCTAACAGGAGCTTAGGCTTTCTGGTATGATCAGAAGGCACCAGAGAGAAAAGAAAAATCATCCCACAGCAAGCAGCTCCCCTCCCTGGTAAGTGGTGGCAGTGTGGCAGACTGTGGCCCTTCCAGGGGGAGAACCAACCACCAGTGTCTCCAGAGATCCGCGCCATGTTGGAACTTAGGACGCTGGGACACCAAGCAACCAGCCTGCCTCCCTGCTAAGCAGTGTGAGCCTACTGGGGCACAGCCTAGAGTCACACATCCCACTTCCCCTGCCCCCTTCCCCTGTCCTCCCATTAGCAAATGGGAGCCAGAAATCTGAGCATCTCCTGGGAGGCTGACCATAGCAAATAAGGGGGATTTCCTTCTACCATCTCTTTGAAGGCAAATATTTTTATTACTGTTTGGCTCTATTCTGATTAATGGTACCGCTATATTCAATATTCTGTTTTGATAAGTTCTATAATGTTCTGTATTTCATTTTATTTTGATATACGTGATTGAAAGAACAACTATTATAAAGATAACGAAATAGACTGTGATACCTATTATTGTTAAGAAAAAGAAAAAGAAAAACCATCCCAACTACAGCAGAGGGCCCTGAGAAATATCGGACATCTCGGGCAGCCAGGGTGGGAGAGGAGGCCAGCAGCAGCAGCTGCTGTACCTCGGAGGAGATTAATTTCCGTCCCCGCCACAGATGGAGTCACTCAGGGCTCCCAAGGGGTCAGTCCGATATATGGGAGCCTGCACGGGTGCCCCAGCCCCCTCAGTCTTCTGGTTGGACCAAATGGAAGCTGGGTTTGATCCCGGATCCCACGTCCCGTGGTTCCCCTTATCAGCAGGCAGGGGACAGGTGGCCCTCTGCCCTTCTGGTGGTGGGGACTGTGCTCACAGTCCCTGAGGGTTATTGCCAGCAGACAGCTCCCCTGGTTCAGCCGCCTGGTTGTGATCCTGCTTTTCTTGCTCTTTGGCCCCTCTTACTCTTGGCTGTAAAAGACCTCAGTGGCTACTTGACAAGGGAATCTAAAGAGCTCTCAGGGCCAAAGACCTGCTTTTGTCCTGCTGTCTGGGACAGATTGGGTTACCAGCTCATCCACTGGCTCCCCTACAGAGTCTGGGGGTGGAAGGTAAACGTTAGTTAAAGCCTCCCGGAGTCTTTGTAAAAAGGCTGAGGGGTTTCCTGTACCCCGATCAGTGATCAACAGCTTGCAACAACCCCTCTAGGATACAGGCCTTGATATATGTATGTGCCCTGCGATCATCAGGGTCCCGCTAGGAGTTGTGGGACGTGGCCTTTCCTCTGGCTGCAATCACTCAGGCCTCCAGTGAGAAATCTTGTGTAATTCATCTCCAGAAACCTCTGCTGCCTGTAAGGCCAACTTGCTTCTCCCTAGGGGTTAATGTTTGATTTGAAAGGAGTATAATTAACCTATCAGGCTAGAGCCCAAGATGGAGCTAAACTTTGAAATGTCTCTGTGCTCAGCGGGAACATCAGAAAATCTTCCTAAATCCTGTTTGATCTGTCTGATACCTGCCAAGGAAAAGGGCCCATGGACTCGGAAGACACCAAATGCTCCTCGGCTAACCCTGCAGGGCACAGAGGCCCCTTGTGAAGGGATCTTTTGGCCTGGCAGCAGTTTGGGTTTTGGGGGTGGGCCAGATGTCTTAGACGGAGCTGCCTGAGTTTCAGTAGGACCGTGTAAGTCCAGGAGTGACCTGGGCTCCCACATACATTGTTGGAGCGGTTTGGGGTTCCTTCTTAAAGCAAAAACTATCTGGACAGAGGGAATAGAATTCTGACCATTTTCCTTGTCTTACAAGCTGATCTAATCGAAGGATGGTTTTATAATTCTTAAATTGTTCCAGTGAGTTCGTGTGTAATCCAGAGGTGTGCGGTATCTAGTGAGCTCACAGATCTCACTCTGAAAGACGAGTGGAGAGAGGGCTCCCTCTCACCAGCCTGGCCCAGCCAGTAGCTTGCAGTGTCCTCCAGCCTGGACCTCTTCCAAGGCCGGCCAGCGGCAGCTGCCGGAGTGGCCTGGAGGAAGTGGCGGCCAGAATCCCGCTCTCACTGACTGTAAGAGTCGGAGCCCTCCAGTTGGGAAGCAGCTGGGATATGAGTGTGGTTTTCCTCTCCCCGCCAATAAACAGTTCCTTCAGGAATGTCCCTTTACCCGTGCGGCTCCTTCCCAAGACCCCGCCGCACACTGTCCAGAATAAACCAGGTGGAGAGCAATGTGGGGTCCTTGAGTTTTCTTCATTTACATGCTCTGTTTCTTTATGTTCTTTAAGTTCATATTTATGAAACTGGGAATTATGAAACAGTGTAGGGGCCAGGTGTGGTGGGCACACCTGTAATCCCAGCACTCGACAGGCTGAGGGAGGAGGAGCCGTGTGAGTTCACAGCCAGCCTGGGCTGCACAGTGAGACCCTGTCTGCAAAGTTCAAACCAAAACAAAACAACTCAGGGACAAGAAAGGGGGAGAAACCAGAAATGTGGAAGAAAAGGAATAGAATATCTGAAAGATATCAGTTAGATAACCATTACTAACTTTTTATTATTTTTTTCTTGTCTTTGTTATTAATACACATTTTGAAATAATTATGCTTATATGTAAAATTTTATTTACTGACTTTTTACTACATGAAGGTATGCATCAAATATTTTCAATATTTTACTACATAGTATTTATTTATTTTGTTAGTTCCTTTCTTTTCTTTTTTTGAGACAAGGTCTCACTATGTTGTTCAGCCTAGACTTGAGCTCACTACATTGCCCAGGCTGGCCTCCAACTCACAGCAATCCTCCTGCCTCAGCCTCCCAAATGCTAGGATTACAGGCCCGTGCCACCATGCCCAGACCTACATATGGTTTTATTATCATGGTGAAATATATATAAATGACACAATCTTTAAAACTGTTCACGGCCAGGCAAATATTCCATGAAGTTATGTCCTACCAATCATTTAACAATTTCTTTACAATTGGGTATTTAGATCGTTTCCGTTTTGTCACTGTTTTAGATAAGGTTCCAATAGCAGCCTTTGATAAAGGTCTCCCTTCCCCAGCTTTAGGGTTCATTTCCAGAGAGAGAATGAAGGATTTAAGTTGCCGTGGTCATTTGTTCCCGTAACCCTGCCCAGAATGTTCCTCCTACCCAAAGCCTGCCTGTGTTGCACAGCCCACTTCAGACTGCATCTGACTGATGGATCTTCTGAGTGTTTTACGGGTGCACAATACCATGAATAACTCACACTGCTCCAACAGTGTCACTTCCCGTGGGGTGTGCCCCAAATCACACGCCTGATTTGTATCATCTACAACGCTTCAGGTGCACAATAAATACGTGATGGCCACGTGAATCCACTTTAACTTTTGTCTTTTCCTTTAAAGAAAAATTCAGTTGCAAGGCGGCATCACTTCTATCACGCTTCGAGGAGAAGGACACCAGTTTTTTGTCGGAACAGAAGAATCACACATTTACCGTGTCAACTTCACGGACTTCAAAGAGACTCTCATTGCGACGTGTCACTTTGAAGCTGTCCAGGACGTCGTCTTTCCGTTGTAAGTAGAAGAAGACATTACAGGGGTCAGTGTGGTACAGTGTGCGAGAAAAATTAATCTGAAGAAACTGCATGTTTAACTTCTATTAACTAAGTAGGATTTCCCCTTACATGTTTCTAATGTACTGAATTAATTTTGTAAAGCTTCCTGTTGTCTTTACCATGAAATGACATTCTTTCTCCCAATCCACATGTGGGCCTCTTTAGAATGCAAATTTTGAAAAATAAACCCCTCATGGACAGAGTGTTTATTGGGCAAAACTTTCCTGTTTTCCCAGTGCCTTTTGCCCAAATTTTTCCCAGTTACTCACTGGATGCTCTTGGAGTCCTCCGTGTTTGGAGGACTCTGTGGTAGACTGGGGTCTTCTGGGTCCAGAGGGTGTGGTTCTTGGTAAATCCACCCAAGACAAATAAACAGTCATCGGCATTTTTATACCAAAAGGAGAGCTTTGGTCACATAGTGTACCACTGCTTCGTCGTGAAACGCATTCTGTCTTTGGTGATACCCACTTCCTGAAGTTTGTCAGGGTCTTTATTTGACCTTCTTTAGTTATTTAGCTTGAATTTATCTCAAAAAATCAGTGTTCCACAGATTGCAAGACATTTCAAAAGCAGCCCCAGAGATGATGAGCTGATAATGTTCGCTCAGTCCTCACGATTCCAATCTGCCAAATATTTCTCGTGGATAACTGGCTGGTGCTTTCAGTTTTCTGAGCTCACTCAGTGAAGTAAGCGAAGCTTTCTTTGAAAATGGCTCATTTCTTTCCAGTCTCAATTTTTACGGAATTTAATAGAGTCAGTCTGTAAAATTGCTTGGTCCCGGCACATTTTAAGAGGGTAGATTTTTAAAGTATCTTTGGAATGTTTAGATAGCTATTGGTCTATTCGAGTTTTATACCTTTTATTTTCTTGATTTTTAAAAAAGATTTTTAAAAATATAATTTATGTGCCATAACATTCACCCATGTAGAGATTTTAGCATACAGAGTTGGGCAACTACGATCTGATTCTAAAACATTTCATTTTTCCTCTTGACCAAAACATAAACACACAAAGCCCGCTGGGAGTCAGTCCCTCTCCCCCACTGTGGGGAACACTGATCTGCCTCCTGTCACTAGGCTTTCCTACTCTGGACACTTCATATAACAGGGACCATACAACGTCTGACCTCCTGTGGGGAGCTTTTTAAACTTACAATACTATTTTTCAGAATAACCCATGTTTTAGGATGTATGAATCCTTCATCTCTTTTAAACATGAGTAAATTCATTGCATAAAAAATACTATGTGTTTTTATTCTTTTCACCAGTTGATACATATGTGAGTTGTTTCTACAACTTGGGAATTACCTTTTTACTTTTACTTAGTGATTTCCTGTAATTTTATTTTTATTTTTTTGTCTTTTTGAGAGAGGGTCTCCCTACAGAGTCCAAGCTGGCCTTGAACTAACTATGTAGCCCAGAGTGGCCTCAAATTTAAGGAGGTTCTCCAGCCTCCGCCTCCCAGTGCTGGGATGACAGGTGTGTGCCACCACACCCAGCCTTTAAATTTTTAGTATACATATTTAAATTTTTTTCTGTCAAAGACTGAAGTTAACCAACATTTATGTCCTATTCATTACTAAGAAAAGAACTAGTATATTTTTATTTCCATCTTAATTCTTCCTCCACAATCTTCTATGCTCAAATTATTGGGAATTACAGATCAACATAACATTTTTATTGTTTTCTTTAATGTCAGGTGCTTGGGCTTAACTTTAAATTTTGTTCTTTGCTTTTATTTTTATTTTTTAATTTTTTTTGAGACTGGGTCTCACTATGTAGCTAGGCTGGCCTTGAACTTGTGGTGATCCTCCTGCTTCAGCCTCCCAAGTGCTGGGATTACAGACATGCACCACCATGCCTGGCTTTCTATATATTTATATCTAAAGGACATTTCTTGAAACAGCAGGTAATTGATTCTTGCTTTCCTATAAGTCACAAAAACCTTGCTTTTTATTTGGAATATTTGGCCCATTTACATTTAATGCAGTTTGTTTGTTTTCTTTGGTCTGTGGTTTGTTCTGCTGCCCCCTTGCTGCCGCCCTTTGTGATGATCAGCTATTCTCAGCGTTTCTCTTAATTGCTCTGTGGGTTTTCTAGCTGAGCATTTCTGTTTTCAATTGTAGCGATAGCCCTAAGGATGGCATTACGCATCTTGACTATTCCAGAGTCTAAATAGAGTTAACATTTAATTTTTCCCAGGGTATAAGAATTCTGCAACAGCTACCCTGTTAATATGATAAGCCCAATGATACGATAGTATAATTTTTTGTTTTAAACAATTGTAAATCTTTTCAGGAAATGGAGGAACAAAGCATTCAACAATCTTTTGTGGTTACACACAGATTTCGGCCTTTCTGATACACTTTTGGTTTTGTTTTTTTGGTGGTGGTTCCGGGAATTGAACCAAGGCCTCACTCACGTTGGGCAAGCACTCTGCCACGGAACTACCACCCCAGCCTTGCTTCTGCCCCCTATTTTTGTAACAGGGTCTTTCTCAATGGCTTAGGCTGGCCTCAAACTTGCAAGCTTTCTGCCTCACCTTCTGGAGAAGCTGAGATTCCTATCGTACCCAGCGTCATTCTTTTTTATATAGCTAGGTGCCGTTTAGTATCTTTCCCCCTTGGCTTGTAGAATTTAGCATTTAAAAAAAGCGTAAGTATGAAGAAACATTCCCTCGGTTTTTGCTAATATCATGTTTTTCTAGCTTCATTTTTTTTTTACCAGTATCAGGGATCGAACTCACGACCACAAGCTTGCAAGGCAGACAGTTACGCCGCTGAGCTAAATCCCCAGCCCCAGCCTTCATTTTTGTGTTCCTGCTGTTTCCGGTTTGTTCATGAGTCTGATGATGTGCGTGTTCTTTCTGTGCTCTTTCCGCCCCCTCTGTATCGCATGTCACTTGTGTCTACCTGCTGTCCAGGTCGTCTCTCTGCTTTTCCCTTCCCTCCCCGCAGCCTGCTGCTCTGCTTTATTGATGGTCAGGTTTCTCTCTCTCTATGATCACCGGCTTGAAGTCTGTAAGCCTTCTGGATCTGTAACTGGTGTTTTCCACCAAAGGAGGAGGCCTCCAGCCCGTATTTCTTCAGAACCTGTCACACTTCCCCCCTTCTCCTGACGTTCAGTCCACATGGGTTGAATAACTTAACGTTTTCCCACAGATTTCTAGCTGTTTATGTTTCTTTAGTTTTTCTCTTCTTTTATCCTGTAATGTCTACTAAATCTACCTTCATGTTCAGATTCTTTTGCCGTCTCCAATGAGCCCATGATTTGTTTTTATAGTTTTAACCTACAGAAAAATATGGAATTACATTATACAGAATAACCTCTAGTTCTCTGTTGAGATGACTGTTTATGTATTTATTGACATCACTGTTTCCTTTATCTTTTTCCAGGGGGGGTGGGGTGTGTGGAGCGATGGGTAAACCCGGGTTCTGTGCACATCAGACAAGCACACTTCCTCTAAGCTCCATCTCCAGCCCTTTTTATTTTAATGTTGGAAGAGGGAAGCCGGGTGTGGTGACTCAAGCCTGTAATCCCAACACTCAGGAGGCTGAGGCAGGAGGATCGTTGTGAGTTCAAGACCAGCCTGGGCTACAAAGTGAGCTCAAGGCCAGCCTGAATTGCATAGCGAGACCCTGTCTCAAAAAGACAGGAAAAAAAAGGAAGGGTCCCTCTAGGCTGCCCAGGCTGTCCTTGAATTCGGGATCCTCCTCACGAGTAGTGGGATGTATAGGTGTGTGCCATCATGCCCAGCTCTAATCTTTTGAAGGCGTTCTAACGTTTTAAACAGCTGCGTTGACGTTTCTGCCTGCTGATCAGTCCTCGGGCCCACCTGGCATCTGCTTCTTTCTTTCCCTGCTGTCCTTCCCTCCCCGCCCCCCGCTTCTGTGTGTTACTGAACCCCAGACCTCACGCGTGCTCAGCACATGCTCTGCCCCTGCCCTTCCCAGTCAGTTTCTTCTTTCTTTGCTTGTCAAGAGGGTTCTGCTGTTATTGTTGAACACTTGCCGTGTCTCACACACCCTGCAGCAGCTGTGTCCTCCGAGCGTGGCCGGCACCTTTTCCTTTCCCCTGGCATGTGGGAGACAGATGCCCTCCCGGCTCCCCCTGCTGCATGTTTAGCCTGGCCTTCGTTCTCCTGCGGGCTTGCATGGTTTGGCAGTAACCGGAGGGTCTGTGTGGAGATGAAACTGTCTTTTCCATGATTTCTTTGCTTCGAATGATTTATGAGTCACTGGGGAAAAATACATACAAAAAATATATGTATGTCTGTGTCCCTATGTATACACCTCCGTCTCATAGCATCTGATCACATCTCCACCAACTTGAACCCTAGTGATACACGTACCACCGAGGCACAGAACAGCTCTAGTGGCTTTGACCAGTTTTTTTACTAGTAAAATTAATAAAAAGCTGCCTGACAGGCCAGCCATGCATGCACCACAGGCGTGACGGCTGCCAGATCGTGAGACACACAATTTACTGCCGTAGACCTGGTCAATAAGAGAGTGAGGGCCTGGGATGGCACCATGATTCAGTCGCTTTGGTTCTTTCTGGACTTTGACTCGCACAACGTAAACTCAGGACATTTTCCTACGTGAAGGGAGTAGGATTTTCAGTTAGGCTTGAGTGTTTATGCCTCAGATGGCTGGGGAGCTGGGTAGTCCCCAGAGCAGGGGGTTTGGGAGTTCTCCAGGGGCATTGGCTTCATGATGTTGCAGTAGTCTGTCTCCCCCATTATGAGCTCATTTGTCTGTTAAATAACTATTATTCTGACACTGGCTTGATTTGATCTCTGCTAGGCAAGATCGTTTGGCTAGGAGCAGCCCCACACCTGCTGTCTGGTTCCAGGACTTGGTCTTTTTAAATAACTAGACCTGCATCACTGTTTTAACTCCAAGTCCCAAAGCTCAATGTGTAGAAAGGATCCGCCTATTTATTCTGTTAATTCCAACTGACTAGAGTCTATTATATGGAGAAGGGACAGTTCCTTTTTGTTTTTTTGAAATATAGAAATTACTTGAGAAGTATTTAGCTCTAAACGTTAGTTTTAGTCTGAAGAGACTACATGTTTATATTTATAAACAAAATGGTCTGTTATACCCTAATGTCATTTTCTTCTTATCAAACTTGGAGTAATCTGTAATCTTTTGATATATTGGTAATTTAAATTCTATACACAAGTTGCCTCTGGGCGTGTGCATGTGTCTGTTTCTAACCCTTGGAGTCATGACTCTGGGATAATCTGGCTTGTTCATGATCTCATATTTTTCCTATTTCTAAGCAAAGAAAGACTTTTCAGCTGTCTACAGAGATGATCTCTATCATCTTCCTCTTTTTCCTCTTTACAATCTTAAAAAGATTTTCTACTTTATGATAAAGTTTCCTCTTTTAAGCATTAATTTAAATTGAAAGTAAATAAATATTAATTTAAATATGTTTTTATTTCTAGAAATATCACTTAGCAGGTGTATACTTATCTCCAAACTCCTCAAGTTATATATATTAGATGCATATGGCTTTTTGTATCAGTCATACTTTAATGAAGTGTTTTTTTTTTAAAAGAAATATCACTATCCCCTTGTTTTCCAAAACTAAGAGAAATTTCAAATTGGCTTTTTCTTCCCGAGCACCTTGGTCCTAACCCTGTCCAAGCAGAAAGGGCTGCAGGATTTTCCCAGGTGCTCTGAGGATGCTGAACACTGCTTTGCATGGGAAATCTCCAAGGTCCTCAGCCTCCAGGCGATCGTGGGGCTCTGACCGGCGCACGCTGGCTGGCGTCAGACACTCGTGTGAGAAGCGCTGTGTCCTTCCTGGCCGCGCCGCTGACCCCTCCGCGGCTTCTTTGCAGTGGTACCTCTGAGCTGTTTGCCACCTGCGCCAAGAAGGACATCAGAGTGTGGCACACGATGTCCAACAGGGAGCTGCTGCGCATCACCGTGCCCAACATAACCTGCCACGCCATCGACTTCATGAGGGACGGCAAGAGCATCATCTCAGGTAGGAAGGTCAGGTGTCAAGATCTGGCGGCATGTGGAGCGCGGAGGTGGACACATGTAATCTTAGCACTAGGAGGCTGAGGCAGGAGGATCGCCAGGATTTTGAGGCCTGCCTGGGCTGCACTGTGAGTCGCAGGCCAGCCTCCAACAAGACCCCCACCTTGAACTGCCTTGCCTCTCACCACAGACAAAAGATCTTTGGTCCCCGGCGCCAGCTGTGGTTCTGAGCCTTGTCAGACTCCTTTCCTCCTGGTTTCCCAGTGATAACCTAACCGCCTCCTGCTGCCCATTTCTCTGTGTCTCTCCCCAGCCTCTCCTTAAGAGTTCTCTTTCAACCAGGAGGTTTTCTGAGCTTGGAGGAAGCAAATACGCAATTTCTCTTCTCTCAACCTTCGGGTATTTCGCTCGGAGGGAAATTTAGTAATTCAATTTTTAAGTGAGTTTGAGGCTTTAGTGAGTACTAGACATTTGTGTTAGAATACTTTTGTTGAGTAAAAGGTAAACCCTGCTGGGTACAGTGGCACACGCCTTTAGTACCAGCACTGGGGAGGCTGAGCTTTCAGGATCACTGTGAGCTCTAAAAAAACTAAAATAAAATCTGTAAAATTTGACTCAGTCTAAGTTTGGCTTCAAAGGGAATTTGTTTGTTTGTTTATTTGTTTGTTTGTTTGTTTGAGACAAGGTCTTACTTTGCGGTTCAGGCTGGCCTCGAACTTACTGTGTAGCCAAGGCCGGCCTGGAATTTATGGAGATATTACTCCCTCGGCCGCCCCGGTGCTGAAATTACAGGTATGGACCAGCATCCCGGGTTAGTGGGAATTTTTAAGAGCTTATGCCAAAGTTTTTTGTTCTGTCTTAATTTTATACCAGGGATTGAACCCAAGGAACACTGACCCGCATCTCCTGACCGTTTTACTTTTTATTTTGACACAAGGTCTCACTAAGTATTTGTGAGCCTCCCTGGTAGCTGGGATCACAGCTGTGCACCACACCTGGATATGACAAAGTATTTTAACAAGCTATAGATGCCATGATGGTCCACCTGTAAACTCTGCAGTGTACATCTCTTAAGGATATTTTTTCATGCAAACATGATGGGATACACCTGTGATCCCAACATTTAGGGAGGCTGAGGAAAGAGGATCGTCCCAAGTTCAAGGCCAGCCTGGGCTCAGCAGTGAGACCCTGTCTTAAAAAATTATTTTTCTCAGAATATATAATTTCTTAATATCTTTGTATCTGTAATCTATCAGCACATTTCCCCAGTGGCCCAAAAGTAAATTTTCTGGGTCACATCCTTGAAAAGTCAAACAGACTCACGAGGAATAGCTATTCCAATGGGGACCTCAGGAACCCATCCCTTCCCCGGGGCCTGGCTCTGTTCCTTCCTTGTTGGTGTCCCCTTTTCCACAGAGTGGCCACTAGGAGCCCCTGGACTACCTTACTTTGAAAGCTGACAAGTGCACAGGTCAGGAACCTGTGGCCATCACGGCCATCCCTGTTTCTCCCGTGCCCACCCCATGTCCCCTGATGGCTGTCTGTGCAGGGCGGCCACCGTCCCCGCCTAGCCTCAGCCACCACCATCTCTCACCTGGGTTATTCCGGTAGCTTCCAGCCAGGGCTCTCCACACCTGCTGCTGGTCTTCGCTCCTTCCCAGTGTATTCTGAATGCGGAAACCAGAAACGCCAAGTCTGATCACGCCCCTTACAAGGCTCAAATGTCTTTTCCCCTCTGAAAGGGAAGGCTCTGGCAACTGTCTGACGAGAAGGGGGTTTATCTTGGCTCACATTTCAGGCTGTCGTCAGCTGGCTCCGAGGCAGGAGGGCAGCCTGGCAGAGCAGCCTGGCAGGACAGAAGCTGCTTAGCCTAAGGGCTCCGGGAAGCGGACCGTGAAAGGAGCAGGAGGGACAGACACCCTTCACTGCACTCCTCCGGGGACCGCCTCTGCCTGCCAGGCCACACCGCCCACCAGCCGTCTGCTGCTGGCCCGTAATCCAGGCACTTCCCGAAGCCCCACAGAGGACACGAGCCTCGGTGGACATCAGATGTCCCCACACACCTTCTTCCTCTCCACCTCGCCTTCTCCCCGCCAGCTTCTACTGCTCACCCCTCCCAGGCACACTCGGTGCAGCACCATCCCTGTAACTCTCTGGGGGCAGCACTTCTGCTCCAGCTGCCCCATCCTTCTGGAATCTTCTTCCCCCAGACCTTCCCATGGCACACCCCCTCATGCTCTCACTTCCTTGAGTCTTGGCTGAATTAGGTCCACCCAACTATCTCATTTATGATTGCTCAGGTCAAGAATTGACACAAAACAAACGAACAGGTGTCAGCCAGCATGTGCAGTCCTGGGGGCAAAGCGTTCCATGCAAGGGGACAGACAGCAAGTCCAAAAAGATCCCGAGGTGGGACACCCCTTGGTGTAAGGAGAGGGTCACTGTGTCTGGGGCTCAGTGGTTATGTCTGGGCTGGGGGTTCAGAGACAGTAACCCCAGAGGGGCAGGTACTAGGTACTGTGCAGGATGAAGGGGTTGTTCTTTAATACTCTATAGAGAGGGAAAAGCTTGATCAAAGGTGACGTGGCTTTATAAGGTTCACCCCAACACCTGTGTAGATAACTGGTTTTAAGCAACAAGGGGAGACACGGTGGGGAGCTGTTAAAATAATTCAGGAGAGTCAGGTATGGTAATGGACATCAATAATCCCAGCACTCTGGGACGCTGAGGCAGGAGGATCACAAGTTCAAACCCAACCTGGGAAGCTTAGTGATTTAGCAAGACCTGGTCTCAAAACAGAAAAATTTAATATAAAAAAGGCTGGGGATACAGCTTACTAGGAAGGCACTGGATTCAGTCCCTAAAACTACAGAAACAAACAAAAGAATAACCATCCAGGGGAGATGGGCTCGTGGTTTGAACAGCGGGTACTAGTGCTGGGTGGAAATCTGGTCAGATCCTCAGTGTTCTGAAGGGTAGAGCTGACGGGATTCACTGATGGGTCAGATGTCAGGTTGGGTGGGGCAGGCGGGATATAAAGCCATCAGGAGGACCGAGGCTCTTGGGTTAAGCACCTGGACGGATGATGGCAGGGTTCGCTGTGGGGGAAAGAGGTGAGGATGGGGGAAGAAGCCAGGAATCATTTGGATCTGTTAAAGGATGCAGCCTGGCCCGAAGCAGCCAGCCAGCGGCAAGCACAAGTCTGCAGCCCTGCAAAGGTGCGCTGTTTCTCTCCATGCGGGATGCCCTGAAGGCAGTTTTAACTAACAAACCCTCCTTTCCCTCAGCCAGGCCTGGCCTGCTTGGGGCCGTGGGGACAGGCTGGGCGGCTGTGTCTGTCTGTCTGTCTGTCTGTGGCTTCTTTCCCCATCAGTGCCACTTCTCCCGAGTCTCACTCTCATTTGTCTTTTAGGAGCACACAGTCTGGAGGGAGGGCAGGGGTGCTGACCCTGCCTGCCCTCTGTCTCCTCTCGCCCCAGCGTGGAACGATGGCAAGATCCGGGCCTTCGCCCCCGAGACGGGCCGCCTGCTGTACGCCATTAGCAGTGCCCACAGGATCGGAGTGACCGCCGTCGCCACCACCAGTGACTGTAAAAGGGTCATCAGCGGTGGCGGGGAAGGGGAGGTAATGTTCCTGGAAACGATTAAGAGACATAATCAGAGCTTTAGAGCACTTAACTCACAGGCCATCTATTTGACTTTTAAAATACCAGGATTCAGGTGAACAGAATTAAGATTTTGATGAAACCATAAAATGCATTATAAAGTCCTAATCATGTAAATAGACACATACATATACTCATTCACGGGAAGATGTTTAGGATACAGACGTGAGAGAGCTCCGTGTGGAGTTCAGCTCTGAATCCAGGCCGGTGTTTGGCCAGGGTTTTGACGTACTTGTTCTTTTCCTCCAAGAACCACAGTTGTATAAACTGTCTCTATCTTTTAAAGTGGGTGATGTTTTGAGAATCAACTGCCTGTACTTAATATACCAGGTGTTTGGGCTGCGATTTTACAATCATTATGTTCAAACTTTCAGTCATTTCAAGGAACCCAAAATGCCTTCACTCACAGGTTTAGCCAGGTCTCCCTTCCCCAGTGCCCAGCTCCTCCTCCTCCTCCTGCTCCTCCTGCTCCTCCACCTCCTCCACCTCCTCCTCTTCTGCTTCCTCTTATTCTTCGTCTTCTTTTAAATCCTAAACCTTTCCCTTTGTCTGTACAGAACATTATCTTTTCCTTCTTTTTCTCAGCTCCTTTAGTGAGATTTGTCAGGCAGAAGAACGATACAACGTCTGCAGGGAGTCTTCAGCAGAATCTAAGCAAAGCAGACGAATGCTGGGCTCAGATCTCCCTTCTGCCACTTCTGCCTTCAAGACCTGGGCATGCGCTTTAGCTTCTCTGAGCTTTGGCAGCCTCAGTCTGAACTGAAGAAGACACTTCTGTTAATTAGATATCTCACATTCTTTATTTTCTACTATGTCTTTAAAATCTGGTCTGTGTATGGGACAGGCAGCGTCCCTGTCTGACCAGCTCTATCTCCATCACCTCCCGCCCCGCCCAAGGCTGCCCTCCCATGCCCCCCTCTTGGCCTTACTGCCACCCCCATCACCTCCGCCACACCTGTGCTGACCTCCCAGCATCCCTCCTTGCTCCCTCCCTGTTTGGAGGAATGATCTGCGATCTGAGCTCTAACTGGTGAGAACCACCAGGGCAAATTACACTTACCAAATGCATTGCTCTGCTGGGTGTATTCCAGACCTGTATTCCAGCTACTGGGGAGGCCAAGGCAGACCAATCCCAAGTTCAAAGCCACCCTGGCCAAGTTAGCAAGATTCTGTCTTAAAATAAAGGGTGTGGGGGATGTAGCTCTGTGGTAGAGCTTTGCCCAGGCATGAGGCACTGAGCTCAGTCTCCAGCACTGCTGCAAACAAACAAAACCACAAAAGCACCCTCTTGGCCCGCTCAGCCTCTCTTCCAGTCCCACATTTTCTCCCTTCTTTTATGTTCCACTGGGCTATTGCAAGTCTCTCTAAAGACGCCGCCCTCAAGGTCTTTGGAGGTGAGCTGCAGACCAGAGCAGCTAGTGAGCAGGCAGGCGCAGGCGGAAATGCAGCAGTGCTGAAGTCCCTGGCACTTCCATTTCCTGCGGTAAACGGTCACTGCCTGAGCGCCGCCCATTTTGTCAGTTCTTCAAGGCCTCCATCCTGTCCCTTCCCTCAAGTGGACCCTAAGCTCCCAACACTTCCACAGCTAAAGGGTTCATGCTTGGCCTAGCCAAAGGGCTTCTAAGCCCCAAGTCAGAATCCTGGGCTGTTTGGTGCTTCCCTGCTCCAAAAGTCTCAGTCTCACCCTTGCTAAATAGTAAAGCTTCCTCGTGTAGTGGGGATCTCAAGATACATTTGGTGGGGGGATGTGGCTCAGTGGTAGAGCACGTGCTTAGCAGGCACCAGGCTCTGCTTTTGATCCTTAGCACCCAAAACAAAGAAATAAACAAAAAACAACAGAACAAAAGGACATTTCTTTTCCTTGATGCCAGCAATGCCATAAGAATCTGGATACTGTAGTGGGGTGACTTCACATTTTGTCATTTTCTTTGACAATGTACAAAGTATTTTAGGATACTTTCCTTACTTCATTTAAGTTATTTTCATCTTATCAGGTGAAGTCCAGTCTCTTGTTATTTATCCAAATACCAGTTTTTAATCCAGTGTTCACCTGGATCACTCTTCCCTCCCCGTCCCGGACTTGTGCAGAATCGTTTCTGCCTCCTGAGTGCTGGGAGTCCAGGCATGTGCTACCATGCCTGGCTCCTCTTCTTTTTTAAAGTCTTTTTTGGGGTGCAGGGAGGGCACTGGGAATTGAACTCATGACCTTTTGTTTACCAGGCAGGTGCTTGTGCTACTGAGCCATATCCCCAGCCCCCTATTTTTAAAAATCTAACATTCATTCTAAGACAGCATATGCTACATTACACAGTGACTACATTACTGTGTGTGCTGGTGTACTTGCAACAGAGCCTTTATCTATTAAAGGTCATACTATAGTAACTAAATGACTTTCCTTTATTATTAAAATTAGGATCACATGCTGATTATTCCAAACTTGGCGTATAGATGTTTTATTACCTATGAGTTTTGTTTCAGGAGAAAATGTTTGCACTGGAGAGTGAGTTTTGGGTTCCACAGGGTTGAGAACCATTGGTTTTAAGTGATTAAGACTGAACGGCTGATATGAAAGTTTAAATATGGTTCTGGATGTTAAGAAATTCCCTGATGGCCCTGGAAATCAGGGGGCAGGCTCAGCGGGAATGAGGAGGCATCTGCCCGCCCTTGGTTTAGAGGAGGCCGTCATAGGACCGATTTTCCTAGTGGGTGTCTGCTGAAGTTCTCAGCCTAGAAGTGGAAGCAGGTGTAGAACCACTGGTCCCATTTCTCAGGTTCCGTGGAAGATGACTGCATCTCGTCCATGAATATTTTTTCCCTCTAACAAAGCATTTCCGCTTCCCCCAACCGAGATGACAACAGGACCTTAGTATGATGACACACGACTGTAATCCCAGCATCCCAGGAGGCTGAGGCAGGACGTCTGCAAGTTTGTACCCAACCTGGGCACCTCAGCTACCCACTGAGACGCTGTCTCAGACTTTAAAAGGAAAATGGGAGAGGGCCCTAGGGAGATAGTTTAGTGGGTCCTGGATTTACTCCCTGGTACAACGAAAAAATAGTCACAGACACTGCAGCATGGAAGGCTTTCAGGGTCTCTTTTGATCCTGCGCCTTTCAAGGTCCCAAGTTTGTACTGAGAACCTGTGCTTTGGGTCCCCCAGGTGAGGGTGTGGCAGATCGGCTGCCAGACCCAGAAGCTGGAGGAGGCCCTGAAGGAGCACAAGTCCTCCGTGTCCTGCATTCGGGTGAAGAAGAACAACGAGGAGTGTGTCACGGCCAGCACGGATGGCACCTGCATCATCTGGGACCTTGTGTAGGTACCCGGGAGGGGAGGACCCAGGCCACTCGGCAACCCCAAGCGTGCCAGCGCTGCGGGAACAGGGCTGGAGATTCTAAAGGTGGGCAGAGATCACATCAAAGTCAAGGCAACAGTACATGGACATTCGTTCCTCAGCAGCCCTCGGTCTCCTGTGTGGCCAGGGCTTACAGGTGCCAGCGGGAAGGGAATAGTCTCTAGGAAGAACCAGGGCATATTCTGGGCAGATAGGGCAGCAGCTTTTGGGGTACCTACAGGCAAGCGTTATGTAGCTTGCACAGATTGAATTCTAGCAAGGGAAACAAATGAAGGAGGCTTGCAGGTTCCCTGGTCACTGGGCGCAGCCACATGAGGTCCAGAATGTGCTTGCCATGGGAGGGGACAGGAGCGCCATAGGTTTGCCCTTGCCCTCAGCTGGCCGAGTTCCCGGGACTTCTTATATTGTGTGCATACCACACCCCAGCGAGGGTGGTAACTGCTCAGCACACCGGACCAGAGCCTGTGAACCCCGTCACGGGAGTAACTCAAAGGATTTTCAAAGGTGATGTTTGAATCACATTTGATTTTGGAATCAGACTCTATTCTCCCACGCCTCCTTCCCATCCTCCTCTAGAGACCCGAGTAGGGGCAGAGAAGGAGGAGACAGGCGAAAGAGTGTAAAATATCCTCGATGTGAGAGAGCAGAGACTGAGAGCTGAAAGCTAAGACAGAGCACCTTTTATTTCCATGAAAGCGCACAAGCAGCCAGTGTGGTGGTGCACACCTGTGACCTCAGTGCTCCGGAGGAGAACACAGGACAGCTGGGAGCACAAGGCAAGGCTGAGCAACTGAGGGAGACCTGTAAGGTCTCACAACAACACAATAAAAAGAGCCCAGGCTGGGCCTCAGTTCTCCTCGTGCTCCGGGCCTGGTACTGGGGCTGGGAGGAGGAGAAGTTCAGCACGGCTGTCTCCAGACCTGTGTGTCTCCAGCTTGACCCTCAGTCACCTGGAGATCATGCGGAAATGTAGATTTTGGCCCGACACCATCCTGGTAGAAAGGATCCGTCTACACTTGACCTTTCCTTCGGGAAAATGGGTAATAACAAGGGAATGTTTAAGTTTGTGACTGCCTGAGATCCTTAGAGCCTTTCTGCTGCACAGCAGCAATATTAGGTTTATCTGTACTAAAATCTTCAAAACTCAGCTCAGCTTCCATATTTGGAAACTTCCTAGTGAGGAGAAAGTGCCAGGGGAGATTGGTTTTTGCTTGTTTGTTTTGCCAGGAGAACCGGGCCTTTGAGAAGGTTACCCCCAGCACTTCTTCATGGAAGGAGAAATGATACGTATTTCTTGCTACTGATCTGAAAATCTGATCAGCATTTTCCAAAATCAGGTGCTACTGGAAAAGTTTATGCAGTATTCCCCAAACTCCTAGAACTCCCAAACCCAAAATATTTCTGGCCCTAAGCGTTTTGGTTAAGGAACATACAACCTGTCTAGCACCTAAGGCACGAGTTCTCAAGCTGTAGTGCACGTAACAGTCAGCTGGAATGCTGAGTTCAAATGCGGATCCTTGGGTCTCCTCCCAATCTACCCTGTCCAAATGTCTGGGGGTGGGGCAACAGCATCTATTAAAAATCTGTCCCCACTCTTCGATACTTAGCTTATGGGAGGCTCCACCTGCCTCCAAATGGTGGCCTTGGGAATGAATATAATTGTGTAGGAGACAGCACATTGGCTGAGAGTGCAGCCCCTTTGACTTCCCTTGATCTGGAACTTAAAGTTCCTCATTGAGTTCTGCACTCTGTCTTTAGAAAGGGACCCTGCTCTCTGAGTGCTGCTGACAGATGCCATCGGAGGAGACAGACGTAGGGAGGACAGAGTAACTAGATGTCAGATTTAGAATGCTGGGGACTGAACCCAGGGCTTCACACACACAGGGAAACAGGTACTCAGCTGCCGAGCCACATCCCCACTCCAGAAATCTGTATGGGAGACTCCAAGGGCTGCTGTCAGCACCTGTCTCCCAGGAGCCATGGGACAAGTCTGAGAAAGATAAACCAAACCAAGCGTGAGCCTGTGCCAGGTGCACCTGGTATAGTAAATGCAATTTCAGGTCAGAGAAAGTAGACTTTCCAGCTTTTGAATCTACTTTTCAGGCGTCTTAAGAGGAATCAGATGATCCTGGCCAACACCTTATTCCAGTGTGTTTGTTACCACCCTGAAGAGTTCCAGATCATCACTAGTGGGACGGACAGAAAGGTGGGCACAGCTGGCTCTCCACAGTCACGCATTCAAATCAGCTCTGAAGGACAAAAGTACTTTGGGAAAAAGTTTACACCTCTACCGAACATGTACAGACTTGTTTTCTCTACATCATTATCTTCAAACACATTATAACACAGCATTTACGTTCTATTAGGTGGTACAAATAATCTAGAGATGACTTCAGATACACAGGATGCCAGACATGGCGGTGCTCGTCTGTAATCCCAGCACTTGGAAGGCTGAGACAGGAGGGTTGCCATGAGTTTAAGGCCAGCCTGGACTCGATAGTGAGTTCAAGGAAAGCCTGAGCTACACAGTGAGACTCATCTGAAAAAAGAAAAAGCAAAAATATAAGAGAGGATATGCATAGGTCTCTGCTAACACTATACCATATTATAGAAGGGACTGAGTGTTCATGGAATTTTATAGCTCTTGGAGGGCCCTGGAAATACCCTTCTGGCCAATACCCATGCATGACCATTATTCAAAGAAAACCCACCTCTCTGTCCCTCCCACCTAATCCCCATCCCCTGCAGGAACCAACGTAATCAGTCTGTCCTTAGACCCCACCTTAAGATACCCCTGTGGACTGTTTTATGGCTTTGGGGCTGCAGGGGAGGTTGGGAAGAAGGGTGGTTTCCAGAGAAGGAGCAGCCAGCTGGCGGGGTGTGTGTGACTGCGAAGGTCACTGTCTCTAGAGCTCTCTGTAGCAATCTTTCCCAACCCCGCAACCCACACGGGAAAGAAGGGACTTCTCCTCCCAGCAGGCCTGTAGCTTTGCTAGCCTCCTCTGAGAGCTGCGGCGGAGGCAGAGGCAGAGGCAGAGGCTGGTCTCTGGTTCACTTTACATCTTGCTACCCTCAATCTGCTTCGTCTTATCCAAAGCTCTTTCTGTCCCCATCCAGGTTTATCAGCATATCAACATCTCTTTAAATAGCATGCAAATTGAAAGACCAATACTAAAAATATTAGACTGGCTTCTCCACCCCCGGCTGCAGCCTATTTATAATTTCAGCCAATAGCATCCCGTGATGTATTTTTCTACCTTCTATATAAAGTGGAGCCATCTTTTGTAGCATGTGTGTGGTGCTTCCACCGAGCTGAGTCCTGCCTAATGCTGCTTGTCTGCCCTGCAGATTGCTTACTGGGAAGTATTTGATGGGACAGTTATCCGAGAGCTGGAAGGTGCCTTGTCTGGGTCAATAAACGGTATGGATATCACACAGGAAGGAGCGCACTTTGTCACAGGTTAGTCCTGGGACAAGAAAAGAGAATCAGTTGTGGTTATTTAGTGGGAGGCCGTTGGAATAGCTAGCAAGAGGTGTTAAGGGGGATGCGGGTCTCAACAGGACAACCTGTGTGGCTGGGAAAAAATCCAAAAGTGGCATCTCAGTGAGAGGAAATGCCGGGATAGATACCACAGTGTCCCAAATAGAAGGGAAGCCTTGTGCTGCTTTTTGTTGTGGGCACCGATGGTGGAAATGGGCCTTCAAATGTCACAGGCCAGCAATGGTGAACCTTTTAGCATTTTCAGTGATACAGACAGTACACTGTGGCACGTGTGCCCTGGGTTCGCCACCACCCTCCAGGCTTTCCAGGTGTCTTTCTGTACAATTTTCTACTGAATCCTACACGCTATTTTTTTCCTCAGTACTAGCCATCAAACCCAGAGCTCTCTCAGTGAGCTACATCTGAAGCACTCTTTACATTTTTTTATTTTGACTCAGGGTTTTATTAGGTCACCAAGTTGCCCAACTAGGGCTCAACTTGGTACCCTTCAGCCCTTGCTTTTCAGAGTTTTGGGGTTACACAGGTGCCAACATGCTCAGCCCAAACAGTCTCTTTCGTTTCCTTTCATTGTTGAGTGATACGGAGCCCTCCCCAAATAAATGAATTAACCAGTATGTTGGGGAGATTTTTACCATACAACACACATACCAGAACAACGTCAATGAATTAAAGTTTCACAAACATATCGACTGGAGGCGAGGAACTAAGCATGCTGTGATCCCAATCCTAGGTGTATGCGTAGACCTTTAGGGGAAATACTGCCGTTTGGACTGAACCAAAATGCTATTACCTGGTAGGAGGAAGCGTGATTTCACCTCTCTGTGTATCTTCACCCCCCAACTTACTACAACTTGCAGATTTTTTATAATCAAGCAAAAGTCTTACATGTGTATAGATTCTTAAGTCGACACGTGGAGAATTTGTTAAAAATGAGATTGCTGGTTGTTTGGAACCGGAGCTGTTTCTATCCTCCAGGGCCACCTAACCATGTTTTTCAGGTGGACGTGACCATCTGGTCAAAGTCTGGGACTACAACGAAGGGGAAGTGACTCACGTTGGGATGGGTCACAGCGGCAGCATCACTCGCGTCCGGATAAGTCCGGGGAATAAGCACATTGTGAGCGTGAGCGCCGATGGGGCCATTCTGCGGTGGAAGTACCCGTTTGCCTCCTGACGCTGCTGGACCCCAGCTGTCCCTTCCCTGTGTGCAGCCCTGAGCGCTGGATCTGGACAGTCCAGCGCTAGTCTTGATTTCTCACCTCTCAGTTTTTGCTCTTCACTCAAAACGTTTTCTCCTTTCTAGAATGCATCTTGCATTCCTAACTATACCTTTAAAAAAGGTACATTAAACAAAAAAATCTGTACCTTAAACTTGAAATACGTTCAAGAACACTTTGTGCAGACCGTGATTTTAAGTTTTTATTATGAATAAATTTCCCAGTTGTTAACGTCCTGTTATCATCTCTTTTTTTTTTGTGATTCTGTGAAACCCACAGACTTCCTGCATGATATATCCACAGGTACAGTATTGTTATCTTCCAAAAATAAAGCAAAGTGAAATTCCCTTCTGAAGCATCTCTTCCTTAATCAAGCTATAGGGAGCCAGAGAGGTTTGAACCCAGATCTCTGAGAAGCTTCTAAAAAATACTCGGCCCTCTTTTCTCTTTTGTCAAGTGAGAATGACTCTCTCTTAGGATTGCTGTGAGTTCCAGGCCAGTGTAGACTTCCCAGGAGACCTTGTCTTAAAAAAAAACCAAGACATGCCCAAAACAACAACAAAAATGCTCAAAAGTCTACTGCAAAAATCAAATGAAATCATGTGTTAAAAAATGAGGATTCCTTACAGAGGTGTGCTTTTGCAAAGAAAATACATGTTGTGGTGTCTTGAGATTCTCAAAGAGGAAATCACAGAGATGCTAGAGTGGGTCCAGGGCTTACCACCGAAGGCAATGAGATGGACCTTAAATACTAATCCTTCAACAGTGTACCTTCCACAGGAAATGCAGGTAGCATTTTCCAAAACACTTCAGGTCTCCAGGTCACAGCTCATTCTTATTTTCTAGGCTATTCTTTAACTACTGCAATCTCATGGATTCTCTGAGAGAATTGCTGCGACCCAATAGGAAAGATCAAAGAGGATATTTAATAAGTGATGATCACTTATTTATCAAAGAAGTCACATTTCAGGGTGCCGAGGTAATACTACATCTTGCTGATTTCTTTCTGAGCTAGACACTGATGAGAAATTCATTTGGCGACATCTCACTCTGTTAATTATAAACCTGACAGTTTGGGAATAAAGTGAGTAGAGGCCCCTGGCGGTCACCCCAGGGTCAGGGGGGGCGGGGCGCACTGGTTCTGATTGGGCAACCGCGCAGCCGGACTCGGCCTGGAGCAGAGCGCAGGCCGCCGCTGGGGGGCGCCCCCGAGAGCTGGGAAACCTCCCGCCGGCGAGCGCGCAGCCCGGAGGAGGCCGAGCCGGGCGGGCGCAGCCAGTCCGAGTTCCGGACTCCTGCGTGCGGGTCGGGGGTCCCTCCCCCGGCGGGGCCCGAGCCCGCTTTACACTTAGAATCCGGACGATCAGGCCTCGTGAGTGTCTGGAGAGTGACCTGAACCCCGCCTGTGACTGCAAAGCAGCACACACACTCGCGGTTCTGGGGTTTGTTCGCAGACCAGCGCGCGCGCTCGGCCCCCGCAGGGCGCCCCCTGTGCGCGCCCACCCGAGCCGGGAGGAGCCGCCGTGCGCGGCCGCGCCCCACACCCAATCCGCCCCGGGGAGGCCTCCCCGTCCTGCGTCCTCGCGGGCGTGACCTCGGGGAGCTTGGCGGGGGGCAGGTGGGCAGTTTCCTGGGCGCTTTCCAGGGTTCCCTTCCGTCATCTGCACGGCTGGAAGGCTGCGCGCGGAGCGGAGCGGAGCGGAGGTGAGCTCCAGGCCCGGGTTTATAGGAGTGAGGCGGTGGGGACTGGACCGCGCCGGCTCGGGGCGGCGGGGAGGGTCCGGCGCTGCCCGCGAGGCCGCCGCAGCCGGTTCCCGCGCGGGGTGGGCGGGGCTGCCCCGCCCCCGGCCCCGCCCCGCCCGCCGCGCACACCTGGTCTGCAGGTAGCTCGCGCGGGCGCCTCTCCGGGGCTGCCCGGGCCTCGGGAGCGGCGCTTGCGGTACGCAGGCCGGGGGCCGCGCGGTGGCCATGGAGGAGCCGGGGTCGGGGGACGCGGCGGGCGGGGAGCAGCCCGCGCCCCGGCCCCGCCGCCGCCGCTCCCTGCGCCGCCTGTTCCACCGCTTCCTGCTGGCCCTGGGCAGCCGCTCCCTCCCCGGGGAGGCGCCGCCCCGGCCCCAGCCCCAGCCGGAGCTCGGCGCTGGCGACGGCGAGGGGGGCTTCGGCTGCGCCCCGGGCCCGACTCCAGCGGCCCCCGGGAGCCCCGCCGCGGGGCGCCCCCCGGCACCCCAACCCCAGCTCCCCGCGGGCGACGGGGCGCGGCCGCCGGGCGCCCAGGGCTTGAAGAACCACGGTAACACCTGCTTCATGAACGCCGTGGTGCAGTGTCTCAGCAACACCGACCTGCTGGCCGAGTTCCTGGCGCTCGGGCGCTACCGGGCGGCGCCGGGCCGCGCCGAGGTCACCGAGCAGCTGGCGGCGCTGGTGCGCGCGCTCTGGACCCGCGAGTACACGCCCCAACTTTCCGCCGAGTTCAAGGTAGGCGGCGAGCGCCGCGCCCGGGGTTGCGCTCCGGGGAAGTGCGCGCCCCTCCGGAAGGGGCTTTCCGGGCGCCCCGGGAGGCGCCCTTCCCCGCCGCGCCCCGCATTCCCCCGCTGTTTCCACGGCATGCGTTTCGCCACTCCTGGATATAGTTGATCAGTTAATTCCTCCCGGGTACTTTGAGCAGGAGCGGAGAGGTTTTCGTGGAGCCAGCGTTTGTGCTGTGAAGTCTTGTGCGCCAGGGCTCCAACTCCAGATGGTTAAGCTGCCGGTGAGGAGCGTTAGAGCCGGGGGATCATGGAGGTCCCCGGGGGACCCAGCCTAGACCCCAAGGAGCTCAGTGTCACAGGCACGGGCAGGAAAGCGGTGTCGCTGGAGGTCAGGAGGTAGACAAGGGTCAGGAGATCAGGTACAACCTGTGGGCGGTGGTAAGGGCTGGATTTTAGTCCAGGTGCTGCTGAACTGAACAGAGTAAAGACTGGCTTCTATTTTAAGCAAGACGGACGCTAAGAACCCGTGGGACATGTCCTGTGGTAAATGACAGAGAAAAGGCAGTATGTGTGCTGTTTTGCAAAGGTCAAACTTATTTTTTCTTTGAGACAGGGTCTTGCTATATAGTTCAGGTTGACTTTGAACTCACTTTGTAGCCAGGCTGTCTTAGAACTCACAGCAAACCTCCTACCTCAGCCTACCTAATGCTGGGATCACAGGCCGAAGCCACTATGCCCGGTTGTTATTTTGTGTAGTGTAAATTAAATCCCCTACAGTGTGTTGGCATGGGTTGTACATTTATCATCTACAGAATCGCAGTCTGCTTGCTCAGGGTGCTAGGAGCTTGTGAGACCTGGTAAATTGTGTGTATCGCATCGCTGGGGTTAACGTGAGATATGGGTTTGAGGGGTCCCTGTTGGATGAAAGACCTCCTGATAATTGGTGCTCATGGCTTGTTTCCTACTAAAAACCGCAGCTCTGGACAGAGCTTGAGCTCCTGGCAAAGTAGTGATTGTTCTTCTTGGGGGAGGGAAACCTGTCCGTGTTCATTCCACAAGCATCACGGTCTTGAGTTTCAGCCCCAGAAGGCCGTCTTGGCCCTGTGATCCTCCACCTTCTTCTCTCCTGCCTCCATTAGTGAAGAAACCCTGTTTTGCAGCTGTCATAAATGTTTCTTTTTTGCACGTAAATGTTTCTTTTTTAGGCAGTATGTATAAAGGTTAATATCAAAGTGGCCATGACTTTGTGACCTTGAGCAAGTGGCTATAATTTTGTAGCTCAATTTTTCTCATCCGTGAAATGGGATTGTGATATTATGGGCATTATCACAGAGTTGGTGTGAGAATTTAAAACACTACCTGGTCCCTAAGAAGTGTTCATTATTCTAAAATTACACCTCCTCACCACAGAGGCCTAGGAGGGAGGTATCTTTGAGTAAGATTTCCCTTGCATTCCACCCCAGTTATAGCAGTGACAAGGGAGAGAGTGTAGTTTGTAAAAAATTCAAATTAGTAATCATCGTCAGTGACTCATCAGGATTTTCTTTCTCTCCAGCTGTCAAATACCGAGGCTTGGGATACACCAGTGAGCCTCGGGGATTGAAGCTAATTGTTGTTAATAGGTTAATGAGGGAGGTGTAATTCGGGGCAGGTGGTGTTTCTGGGACTTTCAGGTGACCAGCCCTGTGGGCTTGAGTAGAGGATTCCAGACTCAGAGCCTTTAAGCTTGAGGAGTTGAAGTCTCAGTGGGCTTTTTTTCTGTTTTGTTTTACTTTTGACTACTTTTATTTCACTAAGGATGAATCATTCGTTCAGTCTGCACATATTTAGTGAACATCTAGACATGCAATTGGAAACAGGAAGTGTGCAAGGGAGGGTTTGCACACACCGAGGCCCTGTGTCTGCTCCCCAGAAGTTCGTTCTAGAGTGAGAAATGGATGTTAAGGAACTGGTCACCGATCACGAGGAGAGCTGGTGACGTGTGTTAGGACCCGTGTCTAGATGTCCCCCCAAAGCCTTGCGTAGTCATAGGTGGGGCTTTTCAGAGCTGGCTGGATCTAGAGTGTCTGATTGATCATGGCACAATGCTAGGATCTCAGCAACAAGAGAAAAGTTACGACAGCATGATAGAAGGGGGAAAAAATACACGGTGTTGTGACAGGTGTGGCAGGTAGGTTTGATTTGATTGGGGGAGTGAAGTAAGCTTTCTCCAGAGCAAACCAACCACTGAGTTGGGCTTTGACAGCTCTGTCAATTAAAGCTAGCAAAGTGCATTCCAGATGCTGGGAAGGGAAACTGCCAGCCACTGGAGGCCCTGGGAATGAATTAGCAACAGCCTATGGGCAGGGAGAGAGAGGCTGGGGAATTGGCTCGGGGCAAAGTGCGCAGCATCTTGTTAGGGAAATGTGAAGGACTGCAATATTGAGACCCAGGTGGGCCCAGTGAGCCGTTACTCCTGCTCTCCAGCGCTGCAAGTGGGGTTTGTGGTAATCCTCCTTCCTGACTCCGGGGCACCCTAGCCTCCCGCCCTGGTAGGACCACTCTGTTTTAAACCCAGCAAATGAATTAAATACATGAAAATATTTCTCCCTACAGTATTAGTATTGTTCCGTGCTTTTCTAATGATATAGTTAAGTGTATGTATTGAATGAAATTGGTAAGCGTAAAATATGAGGGACCTGTAGTTCCACCCTCCGGTAATAACCACCGTGAGCATAGTGATGCATTTCAAAGTATACTCAACTGGAGGTTCTAGTTTTGTATTTTGCTTTTTTCATATAAAGATTGTCATAAAACTTTCCCCTGGTCACCTACATATTCTGCAAAATTTGATTATTATTAGTCTTTTTTGGAGGTGCTGGTATTGGACCCACAGGCTCAAGAATGTTAGGTAAACACTTCCAGTGAGCCACACCCTCCAGCCTACAAAAACATGTTTTTGTTTTTTTATCTTTTTGAGACAAGGTTTCACTATACTATGCAGTTGGGACTGGCCTTGAGCTCACTTTGTAGCCCAGGCTGGTCTTGAATTTGGAAAGATCCTCCTGCCTCAGCCTCCTGAGTGCTAGGGTTACAGGCATGCGCCACCACGTCTGGCTTTTTCAAAACATGCTTTTTAATGATTGTACGTTATTAAATAAACCCACCCCCCTCCTGTGGAGACCCTGGTGTACTATTAACAGTTTTCCAACCGCCACACAGTATCAAAACTTCTTGGGTTTAAATCCTTGTCCGCAGCTCTGATCATTTCCACAAACTTCTGCAACTATAACTATATAGTCTAAGCAAAGATACAACTTTCACCAATCTGTTCACCTTTTAAGTCAACTTTATTGTAATATAAATCAAGTACACTTATGTGTACTCATTTTAAGTGTAGAATTTTATAAGTTTTACCAAATGGGTGAACCTGTGTAACCAGAGTAAATGAGCCTCATTGGGTTTTATTATTTTTACAACCCATATTGACACTTCGTTTTCCAAAAAAGGTTTTGGTATACTTTTTTTTTTTTTTTTTTGGTACCAGGAATCAAACTCTGGACCTCGTGCTTGCCGAGCAGGCGCTGATGCTGCTGAGCTGCATCGCTGGCCCTTTGTGGTGTATTTTCTTGGCTCTTGATTATTGCTCTTGCCAATCTTCCAGCTCTATGAAGCTCATAATTGACAAAAACTGTACATAGTATGTATCATGATGTTTGATACACATGATATACATATAGGTGGTGCCAGTTAACATGTCGAGTAATTCACATTCTTGGGATTTTTGTGGTGAGACATTCAGGATCTAGTCTCATTGTAATTGTCAAGTGTTGTAATACATTATTATACTTACAGTCACTGCTGTGTAAGTCTCTATCACTTAGTAATTTGTTGAACAAGAAGTAGCGCCTTTTTGTTTTCGTTCCATTGTTTAGGAGCGAGGTGAGAGATTTCCCATGTTGCGTGACTGTTTTGTACTTGGAATTATCTATTCATGTTGTATGTGGTGTCATCTGCCTTGGTCTTAACGATCTTCTTCTTCTTTTTTTTTTTTTCCTGTCTTTTTGAGACGGGGTCTCACTGTGCAGTTCATGCTGGTCTTGGGCTCACTTTGTAGCCCAGGCTGGTCTCAAACTTGCAACGATCCTCCTGCCTCAGCCTCCTGAGTGCTGGGATTACAGGCGTGAGCCACCACGCCTGGCTTAAAGATCTTATTATAAGGTCCTTCAACCCTTTGCCATATTTGCTACAGATATTTTCTGCAAACGGTCTCCTTTTATCTCCTAACCCAACGTTGTAAGCTTTAGATTTATTTATGTGATACCTTTTGATAAATATTCTATTTTACATACTTGTAGCTTTTCCCTAGTTATATTAAGGATTTAAGCCATCTGGAACTGAGCTTATGTGCTTAAAATCAATTTTAGCTCTACAGTGATATACTAGAGGCACTGCATTTTAAAAAACAAGGATTCCTTCTTCACTCTTGGTTTTAGAAGTTCTGAGCAACAGCAAGATGTAAGATGGAAATGGAATAAAAATATCAAACAAAGAAAATTGCTGAGATGATTCTAGAAATCCATGCCTTAGAATTATTGTTGATATTTATGAGATCAGATATAAATTAGGAAGTCAAAAGCAGTAACAATTTGGGATATATAAAACTTAGATTTAATTCACCCAAACAGAAATATGAACAACTAACAGTACTTTTAGTAAGAAATATGTTAAAATTATCAGTGTTTAGGAGAGAGAAGCCATGTACAGAATGTCATATTGCAGGGTAGAAATACCAAATATGTTTCCTGAATACTATTAGCTTTAATGCAATTCCTGTTGTGTTTCAGGGGACTGTCCATGGGACTGTCTTCTATGGGAATCATATATAAATTCTGGAATGTGTCTGCCAGAACTTTATAATTGAGAAAAAAACAATAAAGAAAAATATTCATTGTACAAACAATTGGAACGTACAAATGGAAATGACAGAAATTGTCCCTGACCCCATAATTCTATGTTTTTGGGGGTTTTTTGAGACAAGGTCTACTTGTTCAGGCTGGCCCTGTACTCACAACAGTCCTCCTGCCTCAGCCTCCCAAATTCTGGGATTACAGGTGTACACCACCATATCTGGCTGGGTACAGTATTTTATCTATTTATAAATATCTCTAAAAAAGCAGTATTTTTTTGGAGATATAAATATTTTTATAAATATTAAAGAGTATTTTTTTAGAGATATAAATATCTCTAAAAAAGCAGTATTCTTTTATTTCATTTTTTTTTCCTTCTTTGGTGCTAGGGATTGAGCCCAAGCTCTCACACATAGTACACATTTATTTATTACTAAACTATATTCCCAGCAGGGCTGGGTTTTTTTCTTCTACTCTAGACCCCTCCCAACTTTTTTTTTTCATTAGTGGCTCCTTAATCCTAATTTTAAAGGCCATCTACTATAAGTGTCCCATCATTTTCCCCAAAACAACTTTGATGCACAAAGAGGTGTCCTTTCTTATAGCTGTCATTTTAGGCTAAAGGGATATTTTTATGATCCTAATTTATCTGTTGTCAAATTCTTTCTGGGGCAGTTTCCCAGCACCAGAGCCAGGCTAAGATGAAGATGACCGGTCTTTAAGGATTATTATGCTTAGCTGGAAGGGAATGACTTTCCTATGAAAGGGAAAATGAGAGTCAATACCAGGCTGCTGTGCAGGAAAGCGTGTGGGGGCCCGAGTGACTTGTGCACATCCCTAGAGACAGGGGAAGAGGTAGCTTGGGACTGTGGGGGGGGGGCAGAAGGGTGAGGAAAGGTTGGAGCCCCAGCTGGGCTGGGAGAGCCCAGTGGGTCGCCAGGGGCAGGGCTTCTCTTTAGGTAGGGGTTAGCGGCTGGGTCAGGAGGAGCCCGGATCGTGCTGCCAATGAGACTGTATGTTGGGGAAGGGTAGAGACATTTTGGAAGTCGGAATCCAGACAGCCTGACAGCAGATCTGACAGCTGTGGATGTGAGGGATGCCTTCGGAGGAAGTGCTGACTGCAGACATCCTAGTTCCGAGAATAACTATTTGATATTAGGGGTTGAACCCAGGCACTTCACACTGAACTACATCCCCAGCTTTTTGTTATATTTTTTATTTTGAGGCAAAGTCTCAATAAATGACTGTGCCGCCCAGGATGGTCTCAGTCTTGTGATCTTCCTGCTTCAGCCTCCCAGAATGTGGGATTACAGGTACCGCGTGTCATAATCATGCCTGGCTTGAATAATTTTTCAGTATAAATATATTCCAACCTTGCATGGGACATATTTATTTCTACTAAAACAGGCATTCATTGTTTATTTGAAATTCAAATTTAATTGGCATCTTTTTTTTTTTTTCCTTTCCAGTGCTGAGGATCAAATCCAGGACCTCACAAATGCTAGGCAAGTGCCCCACCATTGAGCTGTACCTCCACAACCTTTCTTTTTCTCCATTTTTATTTGCTAAATTAGCAGCCTTCTCTGGAGGTCAAAGTGCAGAGAAATGTAAGGGAAGAATCCAGATGAATGGAATCAGAATAACGGTGTAGAACAAACATTAATTAGACCTTGAATTTCGCTTTATTCCATGCAAATGTTTTCTTTAAATCTCAAGGGAAGAGTAAAAGAAGGCCAAAAGCTCAGGCCATCTGAGGAACGTGCCGTGGTGAGGCTGGTCCTGGTCCCTATCTTTGCTCACATTGGTTGCTCGGGCCGCCTGGGATGGGGCTGGCGGTGTGGCAGGCTGCCGCGGTGTGCCCCTGCACGCGTGCTCACACAGATGGGCTTTGCTGACATCCAGTTGTTGGTGTTCTTGCACGTGTGTAGCAGGAGTCCCTAGGAAGGTGCTAAGGGGTGGCTGCGGGTGGCCGTCTCTTGGGAAGGGACCAAAAAGCAAAGGAGACCGTGCAGAAGGGAAGGTTTTCTTTCTTCTTTTTTATACTTTTAATTCTTTTAAAAGAATAGTGTATATCTACATTACCCTTTGAAATAAACTTCGCAAAAGCTGGAATAAGCATTCCCTCAAAAGATGACGGAGTTGTTACACAGCTTAACCAAAGGACATACAAAAATGGCAAGGGGCCACGAGGACAGGGAGTGGTGTCTGTTTGGAGACAGGGTCTTGCTCTGCAGTTGAGGCTGTGCTTGAATTCTCTGTGTAGCCCCAGCCTGGCCTCAAACAGTGATTTTCTATGCTCAGCCTCCCACCCTAGTGCCGTGTCCTATGCTTAGCTCTTTTTTTCTCTTGCTGTCCCCCAGTCCCCCCATGGAGCACTGACTGAGCTATTTTATGGTCAAGAATTTTATAGTCTTAAGTTTTCATCCATATTTGAAAGGGGCGGTTTGGGAGCTACGTCCATTGTATTTGAAGAAGTTGGTTTTGCAGGGAGTGTGGTCACTGCCAGAGAACGGAAGCCACGGGTGTGAGTGGAATTGGTGGGGGACAGAATAGGACACAAAGCCTGAGGTCACTGGAGAGAAACCCTGTGGGGACAGACCGATGGCAGGAAGGCCACTGCCACCTGGGAGACCCCAGCGAACAATAGATGAGGGGTTCAGGGAGAACAGATGGTCACCAGCATAAAAATATTCAGCAGGAAACCCTGTGGAACGTAAACGGATGGGACGTGTTAGCAGACCTCTGGAAAAAGGGACTGAGCCTACTCCAGGAATGCTCAGACCTTTTGGGAGCAGGTATCAGCAGGAGAAAACATTTTTACCCCAGGTCCCTTGTGAGCTGTCATCCCTGAAGGATGGATACTTGGTGGCTTAGTGCTTCTGGGACTTTGCTCTTGTCACTTGTATGCGGGGCCAAAGTGACCTTTGTTTTTCTCTGTTTCCTTTTAGAATGCTGTTTCCAAGTATGGCTCCCAGTTCCAAGGCAATTCCCAACATGACGCCCTGGAATTCCTGCTCTGGTTACTGGACCGCGTCCACGAGGACTTGGAGGGCTCGTCCCGAGGGCTGGTGTCCGAGAAGGTCGGTCCCTCTCAGAACAATGCGTGACATTGAAATTTCTGGCTTTGTTTTTCCCTTTGACTATTTACCCAGCACCTTAAATTCCTGTGTGTGCTGGAGACTGCACACACAGAGTGTTCCCTGCTTCCTCCTTTCAACTTGTTCTTTTAGACAAGGCATTTCCTCCCACTGCAGTGTGTCTCATCTTCCTTAATCCCAGAAATAATGAATAGGGCTCGTACTTTGACAAAAAATGTTTCTTTCTGTCTGTGGGCTTTGTATCCGTCCGGCCATCTGAGACCATGAGGGCTATTCCTTATTATTTCTAGATGGTGCCGTTGCTCATCTACGGTTGCTTTTTCTGTTAGGCACCCTGCAGAGCAGCAGTGCCTAAGCTTTTCTTTCAGTTCCCAGGATGGAGAGTTTTTACACTGTGCACTTAGCATTTTCGGTTTTGATGAGACTTTGCAAAGAGGCAAGCATCACAATAATCTGTGATAGCCACAGTTAATTGGTACATCAGCTATTTTCTTTATGGACTTTGCTAAATAAAGATCAATAATAGCTTATGCTTTAATATGATCCCCTTGTCTCCCACTTAAAAAAATAGAAGTGAATGAAGTTATTATGAGTGGGCTGGGGGTTTAGCTCAGCGGCATAAGCGCCTGCCTTGAAAGCAGGCAGTCGTGAGTTCGATCCCCGGTACCGATAAAAAGGAAAAAGACAAAAAAAAAAAAGCACTGAAGTTATTATGAGTGATCGTTACCATAGCGGTATCTGTGAATATTCTGCTGTCATTGAGAAAGCTGTTTCTGTAAGCTTTGTTTCTGTCTTTTGAGTCAGGGTCATGGTCTGTAGTTCTGGGTGAATTTGAACTCATTATGTAGCACGGGCTGGCTTCAGACTTGTGGCATTCTTCCTGCCTTAGCCTCCAGGGGTTCTGGAATTAAAGGCATTTCGCAAGCTTTGGTAATTAATCAGTAACACATTCCTTTTGATATGTCTCATGGCTGACCCAGGTATAGCTCTGAGAACAGCTTTATCATTTTTTTCTTTTTCTTTTTTTTTGAGACAGAGTCTTCTATGTACTTGAGGCTGGCCTTGAACTCACTATTGTAGCCCAGACTGGCCTTGAACCCGTGCCAATCCTCCTGCCTCAGCTTCCTGAGTGCTAGGATCACAGACACGCACCCCTATGTCAGGGTGCATGAATAAACTAAAAAGCCCCTGGGAAGTGGATAGGTTGCTCAACCATTACCTTCCTAGCTCTTTATGAATTTCTGATTAACAGGGGAGGAATGTCCTAGGAAGCTCAGCCTTTTGTTCTGTTTTGAACTTGTTTACACAACCAACTGTTCTTTTTCTGATTCTGTAGTATTTTATGGTTTTGCTTTGTTTTCTTTTGTCATGGGATCTTGCCTTGTATTCCCGGCTGACCTTGGACTCACTGTGTAGCTTAGGCTGGCCTCAAACTAGAAGCTGCTATCTTGTGGCCTCAGCCTCCCAAATGACTCTTTTTTTAGGAGGGGATTTTTGTTATTGGAGTTTTGTTTTTGTTTTATTTTGGGTTTTTTTGGACAGGTTTTTACTGTATAGTTTAGGCTGTCCTTGAACTCACTAAGTTTAGCTCAGGGTGGCCTCAAACTTGTAGTAATTCTCCTGCCTCAGCCTCCTGAGCCTTTACAGGTATGTGCCACTATGCCCAGGCTTTCTGTGAAGCTTTAGGAGGAGGAGGAGCCCGTGACAATATACAGCCCATGCATCAGAGAGGTTGCGTAAACTTGAAACTGCACAGGTAATGGAAGGGGATACAGGATTCTAGCTTATTTTTTAATTTTGAAAATGATTACCCCAGTGAACCTCAAAATGCACAAATGAAACAAAGCCAGTGATCATCCAAACAAAACCTGGGAGAAACATGCACAATATGGTTATGGAGGTTTCTCTGGGTTATGGGTGATTTTTATTAACAGTGATTTTTCTGGGCTGGGCATGGGTGACACACACCTATAATCTCAGCACTCAGGAGCTGAGATATGAGGATCCCCTCAAGTTTAAGGCCATCCTTGACTACATAGTGAGATGGAGGCCAGCCTGAACTACAGAGCAAGACCCTGTCTCAAAACACCTAAAACAAACATAAACAAACCATAGTGATAGTCCATCAATCTTATTCACACCCTTTTATTTGAGAGAGATTTAATTTGATCAAATATTTCGGGTCCATTTTAGAGGAAGACTTTTATTGGCTTTTATATCCTGTAACTCCCAAGGATGGAAGAAGCCACAGGCAGAGCTGGATCCAAGGCCCTCGGGTGATGTCAGCAGGCCTTTGCCTGTCTCTAGCTGCATCCCCTCCCGGTCTCCCACACAGCAGCCAGGGAAGCCCCTCAATGCTTTTCTTCAGAGCCTGGGATTCTAGAAAAGCCCAGGACAGAGTCTGATTATCCCTGCTTGGTTCCCAGATCCATTTCTGGGCACATGGCAGAGGAATGGGATATTCTGATTGGGCCACAGGCCTGTGGGGTGAACATGGGCCAAGAAGCACTTTCTAGAATCAGCACCATTTGCTTTTCAAGGTGCAGGGTGTTATGCAGGTAAACAGCCCAACTATATTGTGTACTCCGAGTGTTTAAGGGAGTGCTTTTTAAAATCACAGTGTGTTCCAGATGCATTCAGATACTGATTCTGGATGTTTCTGGTGAGCCACGCATCCGGCTTGTGCTCTTCAGGACTTATTTTGCTTCCTGGTGCATAGTAGACGCTCAATAAACTTTTTTTTTTTGGTACTGGGCATTGAACTCACAAACTTGCTCTTGCCTGGCAGATGCTTTGCTGCTGAGTTATATCCCCAGCCTGGATAACTCTTAAATTAATAGTTCCATGCTTTCATATGGATAAAGCTGACTCGTGTAGTAAAGGGAGATTTCAGTGAATTAAGTTGTTAAATGACTCATCTCTTACTGGGTGGAAAGAGAGCCCACTGAGCCTGGGCCTGTCTGCTCCAAATCCAGTGTGCTGGTCACCGTGTGAGTGATTCATGGCTTCTTAGTCACCCGATGAGGGAGCGGAGACTAGGGATGGGTCGCCCCTCCTTGTGCTGCTGTGCAGGAGAGGCCTCTTCTGTTTCCCCCTCTGCCCTCCCAAGTCCTTCCTACCTGGGAAGTGGGCGGACAGATGACCGTATTAGCTCCCGTTACTATGATAAAACTCCTGAGACGGTTTAGAAAGAAGCACGGCTTGTGTTGCCTCATAATTTCCGAGGTTTTGGTCTGTGGTTGGGTAGATCCATTGTTTGGGGGGTTCTGGCAAGGTCAAACACGGTAGCCGAGACCCCAGGATGGCAAGAGCTGCTCGTGTCCCCCTGCTGGGAAGTGGGAGAGAGTCCTGTGCAGGGCTGGGCCTGCAGTGCCCTTTGAGGGGACATCCCTGCGACCCAAGACCCTCACCGGGTTCCACCCCCACGAGATTCCATCCCTAGTACACCACGCTGGGACAAAACCTTTCACGTGTGGGACTGTGGAAACATCCCAGGGCCACGTGTGGGTCTTCCACGTAGCCTTCAGTTTTCCTGTGCAGTTCTGTGGCAGCAGGAAAAGTCACTGGGCTTAAGGATGGGGAAGATCACAGCGAGTGAAGTGACTTGTCCTAACCTACGCAGTCAGTAAGCTAGAGAGCCAGAACCCAAATCTAGAAACGCAGCTCAGTACCAGGGTTTCTTCACCTCAACACCTTTGACAGCTTTTGAGATAGGGCCTCACTGTGTGATCCAGGCTGCTCCTAAGCTCATGATCCTCCTGCCCCAGCCTCTCAGATCCAGAGCATACCAGTGTAACCATCATGCTTGGGGGCCCATTTTGACATTCTGAGTAGGTGATGCTTTGTTGGAAGGGCTGTCTTGTCTGTTGTAGCATTTGCTCTTACTCAGGAGATGCCAGGGGCTGTCATCAGTTTCAATAAAAATGGAAAGTCTCCAGGTATTGACAAATGACTCCTGAAGGATAAAGCCACTCTCAATTGCAAATCACTACCCCAGGACCTCTGTCCTTAACTGTATTCCCCCAAACCTTCCTGTGAGACAATCTGCCAAGAATTCTTTTTAAAAAAAAAATAGCTTCAGTAATAAGTGAAAACAGCCATAGTTGGTCTTCCAAGTTCGTTCTTTTTTTATTCAAAGTAGTTCTGAGAATTGGACCCAGGGCCTTGTCTTGGTAGGCAAGTGCTCTATTAGGGACCCACATCCCCAGCCAGCCCCAAGGATCGGTGTGCCCTGTGACAGTGTTCTCCACAGGCAGCCAGATCGCCTCAGAAGGAACATGAGATTGTCATGCTCCTTCCCACACTGCTTCAGTGGCTTCTTTTAAAACTGAGCATAAAATCTAGACTCTTGTGTTGCTGACGTGGCCCTAGCTGGCAGTTCTAGCTAACCAGTCAGCCAGATTCTAAACCCCTTGCCCCGCTGACCCACTAGCCTGGGACCCCTCAGCTGCCCTCTGTTTCTGGGCCCAGTATGTTAGGGGAATGGCATTCTGCGGGCATGTCCAGGGCACAGCTGTTGGCCATAGACAGGAGTGTAACCGGCCCTCGCTTGTCCCGATGAAGGCAGAAAACATTTTTTTCTCTCTCTTGGAGTCAGATCAAAATCCACGCTGAAGTTTGCACTCAGAAAATCAGGCTGCCAGGAGGCCTGGCTGGGTGTGCTTAAAGGTAGAGAGCAGAGCTCTTGCGATTACCTGGCATGAAGCTTCATTTCCCCTTTCTGAGAAGGAGGGTTGCCGTCCTTGGCGTAACTCCGAATGATTTTTCATTTTGAGGTTATTTTTGTTTTGAGGACATAGGAGAGCCGTATAGCTAGATTTATTTGTCACCGGAATAGAAAACATAAGCACCATTTTTCTTTCCCATTGCTTTAATGATGCTCAAATGTTTTCATCCTGCAAAAAGGATGTGTTTTTACTACCCTGTAAACACCAACACATAAGCAATCTTTCTGGCAGTTTGTCCTCCAGAAAATGCCACTCTTACAGAATAAGGAGAAGGGCAAAGCTGGGCAGAGGACCAGCAAACCAGTATGTGTCAGGTACCCACCGTGTGCCAGGCAGAGGCGTCTGCCATCTCCTGATGTGTACGAGAGTGCCATGATGTTGAAGGTGTCATTCCCCTTTGGGATAGAAAGAAGTCTCGAGAGAGATCACCGAGCTATGTGCTCAGTGGAGTTGTTAGCTGACCTCATAGTCAGTCATGGTGACTTCAGCTTCTCGTCACCCGGCTTTGCTCAGGTTTTTCTTTCCGCACGTCACTCCAGGGTGATCCCATCCACAGCCAGTCCCGGTTTCTTGCGCTCCTACCTTGATGGGAAGCTTCCTAGGTCATTGTGAGTTCTTGTCGCCAACGTGAGATGACTCAAAAAGGACGAATAAGAGAGGACCAGGGTGGGGCACGGGGACTAGGAAAGCCTAAAGAATCAGGTGTGTAACAGCCCAGCGTCAGCTCCTCTGGGAAAAGGAGGAGCCTCGGAGGCAGGGTGCTCGGCTCTGTGGCATGGCCATGACTGCTGGAATCTGTCGCCTTTGGCCGCTTTGCTCATGATCCACATTGAGAGCAGGAACATTTCATCAGTGGGATGTGGGTCAGAGACCTGTATCCTGACAGGGGTGCAGGAACCCTCGTGAGGGAGCCCTTTCCCTCCCAGGAGTAGATGCAGGGTTCCCAGAGTTGGTGCTCTTCCCACAGAGGCGGAGAGGGTCCTGGAAGTGTCCCAAAGCATCCCACTGTCCACTCTGCGTCCAAGCTCACTGCACAAGCTTGCACCTTTATGTGTTTGTAGTTAGATGTCTCTGTCTGGATGTCAACGAGTCACCCTCAAACTTGCCGTGTCCTTCTGAAGCCCACTGCTTCCTTTGAGGTGCCCTCTTCTGCCGATGAAACGGGTATTGGCATCAGATTGCAATTGGAGTCTAAGGTCATCTGTCTCTTCCCTCCTGCTTCCTGGTCAGGTGCAGAGCCATGAGATGTGCACAGAGGGGTCTTGAATCCACCCTTCCTCTCATCTCTTGGTCACCTTGTTACATGGACCCTTAGCCTCATTTTTCTGTGTTTTAATCTCTAAATCTATTCCCTGCAGTGGGATTTGCTCCCAAAGCATGTGGCCGCTGTTTAACTCAGAACCCCCTGGCTGCTCCCCATTAGGACACACTGCCACCTGTGAGTGCTGTTCGCTGCTCACTTTGGGCCAAGCACTTGTTCATGAATATATTTAACTCTTCAAAAGCTGCCATCAGATAGACATTATCATGATCTTATTAGAGGGTAGAGAAATTGCTGTGGTTTGGCCGCGTCTCCCAAAATTTCATGTGCTGGAAGGTTATTCTTCAAATTCATATGATAATAGACTTGAGGATGGGATTTGGGGAGGGGGTTAGGGTTAGATAAGTTTATGAGTGTATCTCCATGATGGCACTAACGGCATATTAAGACAAGGAAGAGTGTGAATACTCCGTCTGTCCGTGGGGTGCCCTTCCCTATTCTGTAACGCAGCAGGAGGGCTCTCCCCAGGTCCAACACCATGCTCTCAGACTTCCCATCCTCCAGAGCAGTAAGCAAAATAATCCTCAGTTCTTTATAAATCACCCAGTCTTGGGTATTTTGTTACACCAATAGCAAATGGACTAGAAGAAATAAGAGTAACTTTTAAACTCATAGAGGTTGAATAACTCTTGAAACCAAGCCTCAGCGCAAGGATTTGAACCCAGCAGTCTGACTCCGAAGTCTACGTTTTTGACGCTGCTCCTCCGTTGTTCACTGGAGCAGGTGCAGTGGTTTCATAGGGAAGCCCTCCCCAGTGAGAGGCCAGGCTTGCTCCTGAGCTCCGTTTTAATAATCTTCCCTTTGTATATCCTGTATTCCAGCCAAATTGGGCACAATAAAATATTGGGACAAATAAGAGTGACCATCCTGAATGCATTTATCTGTCCCGATATTTTATTATGAAGACGATCATAGCATGAGAATGTTGAATTGATTGTATAGTGAACGCTCGTCCCTGTCACCTAGAATCTGTGTTTTACTGAACTTGCCATACTTAGCCTCTGTGCATTCTTGCATCCATTCATCCCCGCCCCTCTCGCTCTGTTTCTCTCTCTCACTTTTGCTTTTCTCACTGTTCTGTTTTGGAATGCACTGCACATGTTGGCACACCGTACCCCAGGGGTTTCATGTGCATTCCTGATGCCTGGCTCCATCCTCTGCTTCCCAAATCCTTGAACATTCACTGAACTCCACCGGACCTTCCCCTGCCCTTCTACCTGTGTGGTCCTCTAACGAAAGCTCCTTGTTTCCCAAGGGGGTTGGTAGCACAGAAGACCCCAAAGGGCCCACGATTGGTCCTGGGTCACAGGGTCCACAGACACATGCAAGGTGTATCTGCACTATTACCGTCTCACTTTGGGAGTGGAGGAGAAAAAATGTCTAAAAAGACTCGAAGCACAACCCGGTAGTTCTCAGCAATCCGGGAGGCTGAGGCAGGAGCATAGCAAGTTGGAGCCTGGTCTGGGCAACTTCGTGAAAACCTGTACTCAAAAAAAAAAAAAAAAAGTTAATAAAAAAGGGCCTGAGGTGTAGCTCATCGTGAAGCCTTGGGTTCAGTCTTGTGAACCATTAAGGCATTAAGGAAGAGAAGGAGAGATGCCTTGAAAACTGGGGGACATTGCTCTCGAGAACCTTTAAGAGCTGTTAGGGACACAGAGGGCCTGCTGTGACACATGTGCACAGGTGTGTCACCTCTGCTCTAGGCATCTCTTAGGTGTGGCTAGAGCTGAGCACTCACATAGATAATTCAATATTTTACCAAATAGCTTTGGATGGTGAATAGCTCTGATTGGGGATTGTCCTCAAACGCAGACCTTTCAAGCACAAAGATTTTTGCATATGGAGGCCATAATACGTGCTTGGGTCCCTGTGTGCAGGACTAGGCGGATAGGGTCAAGAGTGGAGAGTAACGTAGGGAATCTAGAAACTGGCATAATTCATATTGGGCGTGGTAGAGGGCCATTGGGTTTGGTGGTAAACAGGACAGGCGTGAGCCCTAAGGTAGGCACGCTGAACAGTGACCTCTGAACTGTCAGATCCAGAGTCCAGAACCCTTTAGTTGCTCCGTAATACATGCCAAGGACTTTACAGGCATGATCGAGCTAAGGGTCTTGGGGTAGTTAAATTGGATGCCAGAGCGAGGGGTTAATTCAATATTGTCTTTATAAAAGAGGCGTGGGGAGCCTGGAGGCTCACGGGGAGAAGCTGACGGGGACAAAGCAGACAGATTTGAAGATGCTGGCCTTGAGGACCAGAGTGATGGGGCCACCTGCCAGGGACTCTGGGCAGCCAGCAGAAATTGGAAGCAGCAAGGAGTGGGTCCCCCCCACCCCCTCGGGGTCTCTACTGGGAGTGTGGCCCTGCCAACGCTGTGACTCGAGCCTTTTATGCTGACTTTGGATGTCTGGTCACAAGAACTGAGAAAATGCGTTTGTTGTTCAGAGCCGTACTCGGTGACGGTTCGCTGTAGGAGCTGTGGGGACCCAGCACAACTGCTGTATGTGGAACGAAGGGAGCTCATGCATGAAATCATACAATTTCAAGGCTGCTCTGTCTGAACGATGGTGCACACTTGGAGGAAGCCAGGCCTGCTGGAAAGCGTGGGCAGGGAGCGTTGAGTGGGTGGAGGCTGGAGAGCTTCGGGGTGACTCGGCTTGAGGTGATGATTGCCCACCTGAGTGGACATACAAGAGGCATTAGTCAGGGAAGGCCTGGGAGGTAAGATAGAGAGGGGCCGTCCCCCCCAGGGGTGGATGAGTGAGCCTCACCAACCTTTACACTTTTGTTTTGCTCTTCTGTTTTTTAAAGTTTTTTCAGACAAAGTCCAGACTGGCCTCAGATTTGTGGCAGTCCTCCTGCCTCAGCCTCCCAGGTGCTGGGGTTACAGACATATGCCCAGCTAGTTTTGCTCTGTTCAGACAGATGCATTCTCTTTCTCGGGGATTTTGGGAGACCAAGAGATTGAAAGAGTACTAATGTTCAAGTTAGACTCAGAAAGGTGACAGGGGCCCAGAAGGAAGCTTTGTGGCCTGGAAGCAGTCATGTGATATCCAGGAAGGTGAATTTTGTTTGTTTGTTTGTTTTATGAAATGGGGGTCTTTCTTTTGGAGTTCAGGCTGACTTTGAACTTACTATGCAGCTGGCCTGGCCACAAACTTGCAATGATCCTCCTGTCTCGGCCTCCTAAGTGCTAGGACTATAGATGCACGCCACCACACCCAGCCAGGCAGGAGGACAGTACCTAATCTTTTTCCTTTCCTGTTCCTTTGCAGCTGCTGCCTGAAGCCAGTAAAATCCCTGAGAACCCCCAGTCGTCCTCAGCACAGCTTCCTCTGGGCCAGAGCTTTGTGCAAAGCCACTTTCAGGCACAATACAGGTAGGACCGGGTGTCTTTGCACTCAGAGGCTCAGCGCACCTCATCGCCGGTCACCCCTTTTCCTGTTGGCACTGAGCGTGAAACTGCACAGCCGCAAAGCCGTACACACACATCCCGTCACCTGCGTGAATTCCCGTCAGTCTCTGGCTCTTGTTCTCTCTCTGGTTTTCTTTTCCTTCTTCCTGTCTGCTGGGCCTTTTATTTCCCCTCGAAGCAGGGGCGATGGAGAGCAGTTCTCCAGTGAATGCGGAAGCTGGACCATCACTAGCAAGCAGCCCCGCTGAAGCTGGTGAGACCTTGTTTACTCTCTGTGGCCTGAGAGCCCAGCTGAGCGAGTCATGCTGGGCACACGCTTTCCTGCATTCTGCAGGACACAAAAATAGATCAGATTCTGTGCCTGTGACTTTAGAGAGCGTGTGCTCTTCGGACACTTGTGTGTAAAAATATGGGGCCCCATGGGCAGAACGTGTTGATGTGTTACAGTGTTTAGAGGCAGGCTCTTGCCCTGTAATTCAGGCTGGCCTCAGTCTTCTGGCGATCCTCCTGCCTCAGCCTCCTGAGTGCTGATTACAGGTGTGTGCCACCGTGCCTGGTGTACGTGTGTTTTTACCAGATACGTGAAAAATTGTATGCATTCATGGGACGTGTTATGATGTTTTGATATAGTATAGTTGCACATTTTGTGGTGTTTAAATTAGAAGTATACAAACTCAATTCTCTGATGATTCTGGCTGCAAACTGAACTGGATGAGAACCGAATCAAATTTCCCTCTACAGCCAATGTTGAACCTAACTACTGAAATGGATTCGGTTTTTGTGCAACTGGATTTGGAACCAGAATCATGGCAAAAATCAAGTTTATGAACCAAGGTACTGCTGTACAGCTATTTTCTCAAACATTGATGATTTCTTTATGGTGAAAATTTCAAATTTCTTCTAGCTTAAAATGTACAGTATGTTAATCGTCATCCGTAGTCACAATAGCAACAGCACACACCGAAATTCTTATTTCTCTCTATCTTTGTACCCACTGATAGCCCCACGCTCTCCTGCCCTCATATAATTTCGGTTCTGCACTCAGATTCCTTGAGCAAAGTTATTTTTAGGTTCCACATGTGCTTATCGGTGTGTGTGTTGTTATTTTTGTTTTTTTGAAACAGGTCTCGTTGTATAGTTCAGGTTGGGCTCAGACTCACCTTGTAGTCCAAGCTGGCCTCAACTTGTGGCAGTCCTCCTGTCTCAGCCTCCTGAGTGCTAGGATTAATGGGTTTACGCAACCATGCCCAGAGTTTCTACGTAATTTTTAAATTTTTTTTTATTTTAAAGAGGGTGAGATTAAACATATCAAAACAGAACAAAACAGTTCAAAAAGAAACAATTTAAAGAAATACAGATTTTAAAGCAAGTCCACTGGAGATCTTCACTGTCTATCATATTGTCTCTAGTTTTCTTCCAAATAGTTGTCCTCATCTTTGCACACATTGAATACATATTGCGTATTATAGAACTAATCAAATCATGACAGGATGATGAAGGCTTTTTAGGTCTTCAAGATCTGACATTGGGGAAGTCAATAATGACTACCATAATGTCTCTCATTCTTTGTAGTAGTTGTCTTTATCTTTACATATGCTGAAATTGATTTTAAGAGACTAGACTAATATCACTCTGAACAGTGAATAATAGTATTGCTAGATTTTATATCATAATGTTACAGAATTAGCATCGGGTTTCTTAGTGTCTCTTCTTCTTCAGAGTATCTGTTCATTACATCATGAATTATATAATCTATTCCCGTAAACTGTTTAGAAATTCTCCACATGTGTGAATCTCTACGTGTATATCTGTCCTCTCTGTATTATAAGGAAAAACAGATCATAACAAGATAACAAAACAAATTCCTAGAAAAACATGAAATGAAAAAGACATATAAAACCACAATATTAGGTGATCTACAGTAGTTACTATGCTTTCTCTTGTTATTTTCAATAGAATTGTCCACATCATCAGACATAATATAATTGAACATAGCATTATATAGCAATTTTAATAAAAACACATCATTGGAGACATTGTAGGACTTCAAAAGCAGTTAATAATCAAACCAAAATGGGTATCTTATCATGTTCAGAGTAGTTGCCTCTGCTCTTAGACTTGATACTATCAAGCATACCAAATTCGAATGAAATCAGTCAAGGCTAAACAGTGGTCTAACCAGCTTCAAATAAGATCAGTCATAGTAAGACGATGTTAATAATACCGGGCTGCAGTTTAAATTAATAGGAAATTAAGGATAGTTACCATGGTATAACCTGCTATTTTTGGGTTAGCTGTCTGTGCCCTGAGTAGACAGACCGGAACAAAATAAAACAAAACTAAACAGAGCGATAAGACTACGGTGGCTTTTACATCCTGATACACTATATATATTATATGCTATATATTATATTGAATGTAGTATATTTATAGGGCGTGTTGTTATTGTTGTTGTGTCTGAGGATTGTACCTAGGGCCTGGTGCATGGTAGGTGAGGGTCACCACTGAGCTCCATCCCTAGCCCCAGCATGCTTACATTTTTTTTTTAATTTTATTTAAAAGGAAAAAGAGAAAAAAACAAAACAAAACAAAGCGGTGTAAGGGAACAAGTAATACAGAACTACAAAAAAAAAAAAAAACAGTTAAGAAATCATCAGTTAATAGATTACACCTTATCGTATTAGAGATAGTTGCTCAAGTCACAGTATCAAAAAGTGAACATTCAAACAGTGAGACTGCAAACAGTTGTGTTCATTGATCCAACCAAAAACATTAATATGGTCAGCTATTTAACACCCCTAAACACACTTGCAGTTGTATCCTTTAGAGCACTTTTTTTCCCTCTCTTTTTTACAACAAAATTTACACATTTTGGGTTTTATTACTTCTTAGTTCTTATTACTTTTTTTTTTTTTGGAAGAGAATAAAGTCAAATGTGGCAAAACAAAGCTTTCAGTAAAAACCAAGGATAGACATAGCACATGATGTAAAACAGAGTACAAGGTTATCAACAATGGTTATCAACAATGTCTTTTGTTTCCTTAAAAAGAATTGTCTATCTCATCATGTATTATAAAGTTGAACAAAACAGTAGAGAACAAGACCAATAAAACTTAAGCATTGTAAACATTACAGGACTTCCAAAGGAGACAATAGTCAAATCAGAATGGGCATCTTAGTGAATCTTATTGCCTTCAAAGTAGTTGCCTATACCCTCAAACTTGATACTATCATACAGAATGGAACAGAGTCTAATCAGTCAAAACAAGATGGTGGGAGTATTACAGGACTTCAAAACAAGTTAATAGGAAATCAAAAAAAGTTACTATTATATATCCTGCTAATGCATGTTTACATTTATGTATGCACAGGCTGTAGTTTGTATTTAATCCTTACTATAGTGCAGGGGAGTGCTGTGACCTGGGAGGGGGCTTTTCTCTTTTTCCTGTGGTACCGTACTGGGCTTGAACCCAGGGCTTCAAATTCCCCAGCTCTTTTAAATTTATTTTGAGACAGGGTCTTGCTAAGGTGCCCAGGCCGTTCTGAGGTTACAGGCGTGCACCCCCATGCCTGGCTTAGGTGTGGCTTTTTGCAGGGAGCTTTTGTCCTCTGTCTCTTCTTGAAAGCATGAGCCTGGTTTGTTGTGGTTTTTTTTGCCATTCTTCCTCTTCTTTTGCTTTTCTGGTCACCTTGTTCATTCACTGTGATTTTCACTGATTTCCAGTTGCGCCCTGCTGGGCTGTCTTGCTCTGTATCGTGGATACCAAATATAACTAAGTTTTTCCTTCAAGATGTTCCATCAAGTCATCTCAAAGCAGGGCTTTTCTCTGGGTGTTTTAGATGATCACCCCTTTCCTTTTTCCTAGGGGGTTTTTCATAGCTTTCCTTACTTCTCTTCAAGCTAGGTGATACTTACTCAGTCTTTTAGAATTTTCTAGTCCTTTTTTGCTTCCATACCTTTTGGGGCTTTCTATTCTGTGTTTCAGTGAGAGGAGGTTATTTGCCATTGCTTGGAAACCGTCCTCCTTTAGGAGTTATGTTCAGTGATTGCAGATAAAATGATCAGTCTTTGAAGGGGATTGTGTTCTTAAGAAGGTCAGAGAGTCTCTCAAACATCTTTCCTGTGTGCCTGGAGTTGCTCAACACAAACAGTTCCCAGCATGTGGGAAGTCTGTGTCTCCCTGCCCCCCAGGAGTGGGGAGCCCCGGAGAAATGATCCGAGTGATGAGAGCAGGAGGCACTGTTTCTGCCTCTTTCCAGGCGAGAACGTCTCTTCTGAATGAGCCTGACTTACTGTTACACTGACGCATGCCCCGAAAGGCATGCAGAAAGGAAGCCTAGACTTGCAGCTGTGGCCCCTGAAAGCTGCTAGCCGCGACGTCCTCTAGTTGGCCATCGTTCTTACCCTTGGTTGTCCAAAGCAGAGGCTGCCAGCACTCAAGATAAAGGATGGACAGAGGGAATCTAAGGCGAGGGCTGGTAGGGCAGCGGGGAAGGGTCACAGTCATTAGCACTGGTGCCTTGTTCTTAAAACACTCATTTCTCTGCTCATTTTGTTTTCTCTGCTCTCTTTTATATTCACCCTCTTCCTTTCTCTTCCGTAGGCTCAAGTGCCCGCTGTTGGCTTGGTCCTGTGGTGACCATGAGGCGCTAACTCCTTGCCCTCCAGAAGGAAATACAATCAGATGTGTACGCTCAGCTCTTATCTCCTGGTTCCGCCTCTGCAGATTAAACCAACTACAGGTTCAAAATAGTAGGAAAAAGCTTGCATCGGGACTCTGTGTGCAGAGTATTGTTTGGTCGTTATTCCCTAGACGATACAGAATAGCAGCTCTTTATATAACATTTACATTGTGTTAAGCATTACAAGTAAACCAGAGATCACTGAAGGTATACAGGAGGATGTTCATGCGCTTTATGCAAATGTGGTAGCATTTTTTTTAAAAAGGACTTGAGCTTCCATG